GGTGATACCATGAGAAAACTGGATGAGAGGAAGGAAAAGAAAGTGGTGCGGAATACAAGCCGGACAAAAACAGCAAAGTCAAAATCTCAAGAGGACTCATCGTCTCAAGCCACGGTCCGGAGTTTGCATATAGCTCTCCAGGCAAGTAGCATCGATTTTGAAAGTGGGGAGGCCAGCCTCACAAAATTTTTTTTTTTACTTACCTGAAAAAGTTGACAAGCAAAAAATAAAAAAGGAAATACCCCAAAGTCGAAAATCCTATTTCGTGGGAGGGGGGGGGGGGGGGGTAGAGGCAAACTTTTTTCACTACCAATTCCTTTCAATATCCATTTTTTTAAGCTTACAATACTATACTTCCTTCATATTACTTTACTTTAGTATAAAGTGGGGGGGGGGGGGCAACCACCCTTTCAATGAACATTTTCAATAGTAAAAGTATTGTTGGCAAAAAGAGTGGGGGGGGCGCTCCTCTCTCCTACACGTGGCTGCTTGATCACAAAAAATTTCTTAATCTTGGATATTTACGTCTCTCTTTTATGACGTCATATTCAGTCAATGACAATTGAAATCAACAATTCATACATCTGCAGTATTTCGTACAATGTGATTGGGTATTGAAAGGTCGCATGAAAGTTCATTATCCGACTATGCTTTACTTGCATTGGTCAATATTTTAATAAGCTACGAAATATTCTCTTCTCATTCAACCCCCCCCCCCCCGCCATCGACTTTGAGAAAGCATTCGACAGCATGGACCGAGAGACATTGTGGTAGATACTGAGTCACTACTGAGTACCAGAGAAGCTTGTGTCCCTGATTCGAAACACCTTCCAAGACATGATATGCAGGGTTGCCCATGCCGGCCAGATGTCTGGGAGTTTCGAGGTCAAGGCAGGAGTTCGACAAGTATGCTTGCTGTCACCATTTCTTTTTCTTTTGGTCATTGATTGGATCAGGAGGACTACCACATCAGACAGGAACAATGGTATACAGTGGATCCTTCTGACACAACTCGACGATCTTGATTTTGCATATGACCTGGCTCTCCTTTCACACAACCAAAGTCAGATGTAGGATAAAACAACTCACCTTGCAACAATAACAGCAGGAACGGGCTTCAAAATCAACTTGAAAAAAACAGAATTGATGAAAATAAACACCACTGTTCAAACACCAGTCGCAGTTGGTGGTGAGCCCATCAAAGAAGTTGAGTCCTTCATCTACCTCGGGAGTGTGGTGGACAGACAGGATGGCACAGACCGTGACATCAAGTCAAGAATTGAAAAGGCAAGAACTGCATTTACCAAGTTAAACATCTCGGCCTCAAAGAACATCCGTATTACCACCAAACTGCGGATACTCAACTCTATTGAAAAGTCCGTCCTATTGTATGGTGCAGCGACGTGGAGGTTGAACAAAGCAACCCTGCAGAAGATTCATACATTTTACGACACCTGTCTCAGGCGCATCTTCAACATCCGATAGCCTGAAAGGATCTCCAATAAAAAACTATGGAAGAGAGCAGGACAGGAACCAATGGGTGTACAAATAAGATACAGGAAGTGGGGCTGGACTGGAGACACATTAAGGAAGTCACCATCTAGCATCAAACGCCATAATCTGAGTTGGACCTGACTTGGAACCGGAGGCGTGACTCGGAGTCAGAGTTTAAGACACAGGATATACTGGTAACCTGGAGGAATGCAGCTAAAGCAGCTCAGAATCGAGTCCGTTGGAGAACTGTCTTCGATGACCTGTGTTACTACACTTTTCTGTCCTGTTGCTCGGACTGCTCTTAGTTTTGAAATCATAACTCCCCTTTGGGCACCGCGCCGACGTTTGGATTGTTGTAAAGTAAAATACCCCTGTTTCGTACACTGGTTTATTTGATACTCCTCATTGTTCTATACATGTATATAAAGTTGTACAGAAACCTTTATGACAACATAGTAGTAAGACGTCATCGTTCAGTAGATGTCATTTACATGAAGATCAAGGTAAATTAGAAAATACAAAAGTCTATAGTTTACAACTTGCGCACACTGGCAATCTAGTCAGCTCATTATCTGTCACTGAAACCAGCCTGCTGCTCACGGAGATTTGTGTCCACTTTATCCTCTCGAGAAGGATCCTGTTGAGGACCTTGCTAGGCACTGATAGGAGCATACTCTCCTGTAATTACTGCAGTCCCTCAGATCTACCTTCTTTGGCAGCTTAAAAAGGATGCATTCTTTCCATTCCTCCGGAATGTTTTCTTCCTCCAATACTTAGTATCTTCTTAAAGAGGCTGCATAGGATGTCATCAGCTGTCTTTGTATCAGCATTGATGGCTTCTGCTGGTATCTCATCAGACCCTCCCGCTTTTCCATTTTTAAGTTAATTACCGGTAATTGCTCTCTTGATCTCTGTTTTTGTTGGCTTGTCGCAGTTCATCGGGAGGTCTGTATTGGCTGGTAGTTTGTCCAGAGGTGTTTCTGGTATGGGTCTATTTATTACTAGTAGCTCTCAAAAGCGTTCTATCCACTTCTTCAATTGTTCTTCTGTTGTTGTGAGAGGTTTCCCATATTTGTCCTTCACGTGCACTGGCACGTCTGTTCTGCTGGAGCTTGTTGGAGAGCTTCTTTGTGACCATATACAGTTCTATCAATTTTCCTTGTCCTGCTGCTTCCTCTGCCTGTTTGGACAGGTTGTCAATGTGATCCTGTTTATCTTTCCTGACGCTTTTCTTAACGTTTTTATTTGTAGCTGTGTAGTCTTCTTGAGCTTTTGCCTTTGCTGATCTCGTCCGGCTTGTACTCAGCGCCACTTTTTTTTTCCTTCCTTACATCCAGTTTCCTTTTGGTATCAACAGAGATTCACTCCTTGTGTTCAGCCTTTCTTCTGTCAAGGACTTCCTCACATGTGTCACATTTCCTAGATGTGTTGTTACTTGGTTCCATGATGTTGGTACCATTGTTCTCTAGCTGGTCTTGTAGCAGCTGGAATCTGTTGAACAGGCTGATGTGGAATGCTGTCTTCACTTCCTTTGAGGACACTCAGTCTGTACCTCTGTTTGTCATGTTCTTGAACTTTTGAGGCGCAGTCTTAATGTCGTCATAAGCAGATGGTGGTCTGATGAAATGTCTGCTCCTCTCATCACCCTGTCATCTTTCCATGCTCTTCAAAATTTCTTGTTGATGCAAATAAGATCAACCTTGCTCTCCTTGACATGGACAGGAGATCCCCATTTAGCCTTGTGGATCCGTTTATGAGGGAAGATTCTTCCTCCTATTACAAGCTGGTTAAGCGAGCTTATGTCAGCAAATCTCTCGTCATTCTCATTCATTTAGCCCATCCCTTGTGTGCCCAAGACTTCATTGTAGCCAGTGTTGTCAGCTCCAAGTTTGGCCCTTAACTGAAGTCGCCCATGAATATTGTCATGCCTTTCTTTCCTGTTTTATCCAAGACTGACTGTAGTTGATGGTAAAAGATGTCTTTCTTTTCGTTATCAGAATCATTGGTGAGGAGCATAACATTGTATGATGTTCAGTTTGATCTTAATTTTCCTTGAATTGGCTGTTATTATCCGGAAGTTGAAAGGTTTCCATCCGATAAGAGTACGTTGTGCCTCGAGGAATAGTATATCAGGCCTACACATTCGGTGTGCTGGGCTCCTCCGCCATGTTTCCTGAATACAACAGCGTTTCCCCGTTGGTCAGTCTCAGCTGTCCTGTCTGTAGCCACCTCCTCTCACTTAACCTATGAGGAGACAAATGTTGTAGTGCTTCATCTCTTTTGCTACCTGTGCTGTTCTTCCTGCTTTATGCATTGTTCTGATTCTCCAAATAGCAAATCTAATGGTTTTCCTGTGTGTCAGAAAGGGAGTCAGCTCTGTAGTTTGCTTTCGGCTTTCATTGCACAAGTAGGCCGAATCTTACCCCGCGGGTTATATGTTGGTTTTGGTTCACCGTTGTTGCTTCTAGTTGTAACTAGTTTTTTTTTTAATAGGCATAGTTGTTGGCTCTTCGCAAACATCTGGTAACCTTGAGGGAAGGTGATTTGATTTTGGAGTGGAGTTTCCTTCCTAGGCTGCTTTCCTTCCCTGGATTTTATGCACAATCTGTCCATTCGGTTTTATGTCCGTTTTTCCTTCATGCACCTAGCCTTTCCCATAATTTAGTGGGTATGGCCGCAAGGCAGCGGTGGTTTGGAATCAGGTTTCCTTCTTTAAGATGAGCTATCATCCTAGACTGATGAGCCCCATTAACCCAAAGCACTGGTTTTCAGGCGCCAGGTAAACTCGCTTTCACCCTTTCTTCTATCAGCAGGACTTAACTATCGTAGGCGCACACGATAAGGAGTATTCTATAGACAATGGGATCTTATCCCCATTTTCCACCCCTCAGCTATGACAATCCATTATTCACACTTAGAATTGTCGGCAGATTTTTCTGCCATTTACCGATCATGACAAGGAGCACACGGCGGGTTTCACGTCGGTAAGGGATGCTCACTCCTCAATGGCACATGAGCCGACCTCTGATTTTTTAGAGGTCTGTGTTTGCTCTGCTCCTATTTTGTATTGTTTTGTGGACTTTTGATCTAGAATACTGTTCGTTATCTCCATATATGTTTCATTAGTAAGAGAATACCATGATTTGAATGGACTCTTGAGCTAGAATATTTTAATTATCTCCATATATGTTATACTTTGCATATTTTTTTTTATATTTACCATTCTTCTGATAATCGCAAACGAGTTAAACTTTTAAAAAGATGCTTTGTACAAAGTCTTCAAAATGAAATGAAGTGAAATACCCCCCCCCCCAAAAAAAAAAAAAAAAAAAAAAAAGAAAAATGGACTCAAATATTTAGAACTTATTAAGCTTATATGTTCTTTAGATATTGATTGCTTAAAGAAAATCAAAGCTATTTGAAAAAGCTCTACCTAATCAGTGGATGGATATCAAATAAACGAACGTACGTGTTCATATCACCCGAGTCATTTATGAACAGTCTAACTTGCTTTATAAACCGGAACTCCCTGATTTTGCTCGCAGGTACCCCAAAACATAAGAAAAACGTATCACGGCCTTTGTGGGGTTAAACATCAAAAGAAAATACAAATACTCTTTACATTACCTTCATTTTAAGGAGGACGAAGAAAACTGTAAGAATAAAGGTTGTTTTGTTGAAATAGCTAAACTAATTGTAAAGAAAAGTCTGTGAAACTTAATAAGTTTACGCAGCGTCATGGACGTTTATCAGCAGGTGCAGATCCTGCACAATGATTATCTCTTGATTTAGCGATAAAGTTATATAGTTTTTTGATTCTAAGACTGATTTTATTTGATTTGAAATATTTTTCAGATTGAGAAAATGGCAGATGATTTAGATGTTGAGGCAATGCTGGAAGCTCCATACAGGAAAGAGGCAAGTATTGTGGGATTTCATTACCGAGTATATGTTGAAGTCACTTTCCTTGTTATGGTTGTTGTGAGTCTAGTATTTTTTCAGTGTCAAGTAAGTTCCTTGTGTGACCCGTGGAGTGGGCAGCCTTGTACTTTCAATGTTGAAAATGGTTTGAGAAAACGTGAAGGGGCCAATTTAGCAAGCAATTCATAATTAAGCTTTTGCATTTACAAGAAAAATCTTGCGTAAAGTCACCTTTTCTATATAATGTTCCTTAATAAATTCCATTAATTAGAGAAAACCAAAGGTTAACTATTATTGATGAATTATCAAAGGATATGACAACCAGATCTATTTTTTGGATTCTTTAGTCTGTTGCAAGAGTAATTACATTCTTTGTAATAAAGGTTTGTTTGGTTCTATCCATAGATATCCATAGTACCACTTCATGTACACAACAAAAGTGAAATTCCCATGCAAGTAGAAAGGTACTGATGGTTGTATGCCTATCAGAACTCCATGAAGCCGATGTTCACTTTTTATTCATTTATTGCATTTCATTAAATGTTAAATATGACAAAGTTAACTCTATCACTGATCTAAAATAGATTAATAAAGTGAATATGATAAAATGTTTATGCCATTAAATTGTGAAAGACAACTGAATTTTGCCCCTCCCTCTCATCATAGGGTTGGCATAGCAAAGGAGGACTGTTGCCAGCTAAGGAAAGACGGAAGAGATACTGAGATCGGCTCTGACTGATGATGTACTAATTTTCATCCCTATCTGAGATTTCTTTTCTGTATGAGAGAATGTGAGAATGTTTTCTTGTACGACAGCAGCATTCCTCAAGAATTTGCATTTGAGCTTATTTCTAAATACGCTGAGAAGTGCTAATGTATTTAACTTGGAGGAATGCAAGATTGAAAAGTAGAATTTGATTTATTTTTGTGCTGATTTGACCTGAGGAGAACAATTCCATTCCAGAGCTGTCAGTGTGTGGAAGTGTATGTTAATGTGTGTCTAGAATGTAAGGTTTTATTGCAGGTTTACTCTTTCAGATTTGTAATTCGCATTGGTACGTAAACTTGATGTTGTAATGTATAACAAGCTTTTCAGTTGGAACATTTGGCAAGAAACTTTTAACCAGTCAATGTTGATTTTAAACAATAAAGTAAGAGAAAGAAGACAGTTGAAAAGCTTGTTGAGACGGTAATGGAAATTACTTTGAAGCATACTAATGCATTGTCTTGTCTTTTTCTTTTCTTCCTTTGTTTTTGACCTGGTGTGACTGATTGTTTGTTTGGGACAACAGGATGATGGAAGAGGAGATGCTGATAGAGATCGACACAAGAGGTAAGAAGCCATCAATACAGTATTCTCCCCTCTCCTTGAAAAAAAGGAATGTATATATATACCTTTACCTTTTCAACAGACATTAATTAAGTTATGTTTTCTTGGCACCAGGATTTAATTCCTCAAATTGCTTGAAAGGTTATAAAATATAATTTCACTATTAAGTGATGTCGGATATAATTTACCAAATAATAAAGGTTTGTTAAACTTTCTAAACAAATCTTTTTTTCTGTGTAAGACAGTAAGGGGAAAACATATTGATGTTAAAAATCTATATTGATATGTACTTTTGCTGTTGAAAAAAATCACCTTCATTGAGAGGTAAATGCTTAAGAAATTACATTCATTCATTAGACATTTCAGTCTCTAGCATTCACACTCATGATCATGTCATGTGCAGCAAGCAGCTGAAAACAGGAATTTCCACACTGTAGGCTTGAATTATTTTTTTTCCACATTGGTATGTTGTAGATATGTTCATTGCCCTGGTTAAAAGACGTACACGTATTAGGGAAAGGAAATTGGGTATCTTGTCATATGTCCTATGTTGCATACACAATCATTTCAAGAGTTATTTCTGTCATTTACAGGAGGCCAACAGTGTTCACTTTTTATTTGAATTTCATACAGTTAACTGGAGTACGGCATGAGCTCAGATCATAGTTTGAGCTTAGTACAAGAAATCCACAAATTTTATTGAAATCACATTTACTTAACTTGTAGGTGATGTGGAAAGAAAGAACAAAGAAGTGTTCAATTCTTTAAAAATTAAGATCTTTATTTTAAACTAAAGGGAGTTTTAATGTCAAGTTCTGTATGTTATATCTAGGTATTCTCAATTTGTGGGTCCCATCAAAGGGGATAAATCTGGCATTCTAAGCTGTTGAATTATGTCACATGTTAACCAAGGTACAGTATGTCAGATGGCAAGACTTAATTAATTCAGGTGACACCAAGGTACAGTATGTCAGATGGCAAGACTTAATTAATTCAGGTGACATCCTGATCTTGCACTGTGTTGCCATCAGGGTTATAAAAAGAAATATCAATTCATGTTTCTCTGAATTGTGGGTCAGCATAATAATAATTCATATTCCGCCCAATACATGTATATGTTCTCTTCTGAATCTGGTCAACATTGTTGGGGGATAGGGATTTATATTCAGTGAAGATGAACTATTTTTCATGTATTTTTTAAAAAAAAAGACCAACATGTTGAAATGAACATCCATCTTCAATAGTAAAACTATCCACATATTAAATGTAAAATTTTTGTGATTATTAAGTTGTTTGGTATTCTTGAAAAAAAATGAAAATCCTAAATGCTAAAATCCTAAATAATGGAATAATTTACTAATACTAGACATTCATTTGTATTATTTAGAGTACGAGTTTCCTACTGTATCAGGATACAGGGGGGGCTAGACCCCAAAAATTATTATTAAACATATGATATAAATGTTTTAGGAAAAAGAGAAGTCGAGATAAAAGTCGTGACAGAGACAGAGAGAGGGACAGAGATCGGGATAGGGATCGTGACAGACGCAGGTAAGTTATGATAAATATTGTCATTGGAATAATTTACTAATACTATATACATACTCTTTTTAATTTATCAACAAGTAACGATTTCACGCACATAGTGTCTTGACATTCATTTGTAGAAATTGACTTGTATGCATGAACTGCAATTATCACAATAATATAATGTACATCCATGTAATTAAAATGCATTAATTTTAATTACATATGCTGGTAACTATTTACAATCTTTGGAATGATACGACTTGATTTTGTTAAATCACTTGCATTTGAATCTTTAATGCAGGAGTAAAAGTAGAGAACGCCACAGAGACAGGGACAGAGATCGGGACAGACATCGTGATCATGACCGACACCGAGGACGTGACAGAGATAGAGAGCGAAGGGACAGAAAACGCAGTAGGAGTCGAGAAAAAAGGAGGAGAAGTCGCAGTAAATCCAAGGAAAGGAAAAGATCACCAGAACGTGAAAGAAAGCCTCGCAGTAATAGCACAAGTCCAATGAGATATATCAGGTGTGTGTAGATGACATTTTAGATTGACAGTCATATAACTAACTAAACTTTATTACTAAGATGGCATAAAAAATTAATTAACTGAAGTTCAGTTTCCTTCAAATTTCATAGTAATGTTGGTTAAAAAATTTAAGTGCTTGATATGATGTACGCGTAGCATTGGGAAATATGATTACATAATGCTATTTTTGTTTTGATAGGCAGCCAGGTCCTGAGTTGACTCCAGAGGAGAGGGATGCTAGGACTGTGTTCTGTATGCAGTTGTCAGCTAGAATCCGACCCAGGGACCTTGAGGAATTCTTCTCTTCTGTTGGAAAGGTATTGTAGATAGGATCTTTTCTGCATATGTTATACTGGTTTAATATTTTCAGCAAATATGTTTTATAAGAAATAGTCAAGTTTAAATGGTTAAATTTTGATAAATTTGGATTGTTTTTTTTTAGGTCAGAGATGTTCGTTTAATCATGGACAATAAAACCAGGAGATCAAAAGGCATTGCCTATGTGGAATTCCAAGACACTGATCCTGTGCCATTAGCTATAGGACTAACAAACCAGAAATTACTAGGTGTACCCATTATAGTCCAGCCCTCTCAGGCAGAGAAAAACAGAGTGGGAAACCCCAGCAGCATCTTGACAAAAGGAAGCATTGGACCAATGAGGCTGTATGTGGGCTCCCTTCACTTCAACATCACAGAGGAAATGCTTAGAGGAATATTTGAGCCATTTGGAAAGGTACAGTCTGTTTTCTGAATTGCTTACTGTAAAAATAACATGACTATTTGCCTGTTGTAAGGATGATTAAGAATTCTGTTTTCTCTATTTTCAGATTGATGACATTAAATTAATAAGAGACCATGAAACCAATCGATCCCAAGGCTATGGCTTTATATCGGTAAGTAAACACTTATTCCAAAATTAGATTTGGATATTTATTGGATAATGAGCAGAACTCCCATTGGATCAAAAAATATTTTGCTATTTTTTATGACAAAAGAATCTAGTATTTTGTAAACCCTTTACTAGTGTGGAGAGTACTTTTTTTTTTTCTCAGATGTTTTTCATGTTTATTTCAAGTCTCATCTTTACTTTCAGTTCCATGATTCTGAGGATGCCAAGAAAGCTTTGGAACAACTAAATGGATTCGAGTTGGCAGGACGACCAATGAAGGTTGGTCATGTGACTGAGCGACAGGGAGAAATCCAGGGGGCTTCAATGCTAGACAGTGATGAAATGGATCGGGCAGGGATAGATTTAGGGGCCACAGGTCGTCTACAGCTAATGGCCAAACTGGCAGAGGGTAGGCAAAATTAAAAAAAAAAATTTATTTATTTAATCTTTAAATAAGATCATTTATAAAATCATGCAGACAATGACAATAATAAAAGAACACAAAAAGTATGAAATACCAGGAATAGTGTTTTGAAAAGAGAAAGATGTTCCAATTTAAGGAATTTGATTTCTTATTGGTCTTTTCACAATTAATAAATTGTGTGATTGTGACATATAGACTGTTATTAAAATGTAGTTGCATTTACAGGCACAGGATTTCAGATTCCTGAATATGCAGCGTCAGCCCTGAATATTAGTCAGCAGACACCAGGCGTGGCCACAGTTCCCCCTGCCGGGGCACCCCCAAATGTATCGGCCATATTGGGAAGCCAAGGCCAGGGACAAGATAGCACAGCACCTCCAATAGCCACACAGTGTTTTATGCTCTCAAATATGTTTGATCCTACTGTGTAAGTACAACAGGATATCTCTAACAGAGAGAGAAAAAAAATCTGCTAGATATACATGTACAATTTCAAAGGATCAGCAGGTTCATTTAGTTGAAAAGTTAGATATTTACTTCACTAGAGCATACTGAAACATTGTCTTATTATTCAAGTCATTTTTAAAAAGGGTATCTGTTTTTAAATGCATTGTTCACATTCCTTCCCAACTTAAAAAGCCCAGAGCTAATACGTCTTTCTAAAGCATTGTAGATAAATAGCATACCTATTTGTTTTGCAGAGAATCAAGGTCTAACTGGGATCAGGAGATCAGAGATGATGTCATAGAGGAATGCAATAAGCATGGAGGAGTCTTACATCTGTATGTAGACAAGGCCTCACCCCAAGGAAATGTGTATGTGAAATGTCCCACCATTTCTGCAGCCGTGGCCTCTGTACGAGCACTTCATGGAAGGTATTTTGGAGGTAAGATATACAATTATCTTTATATTCAGCCGGGAAAGGAATGCAGTGTAATTATATGAATAAAACTTTGTCAATACCTTGGCCTGATTAGTCATGAAAATATGATTAAGATCATGATTGTAAATGTTTTAAGTTGAATTAAGATATCTTTACATTTATATACTAACAACAGTTCTAGCCTCTTCCCTCTTTTTAAGCAGTGGCATCATGCCGTGCTTTTTTTCTGATATACTAGTTTATAGAGGTTGTAAGGGATGTGAAGGAGACAAGTATATAAATGGTGTAGCTGACAGAAAACTTTAGATTACAAAGTTACTTAAAAGTTATACGTATGGCAGTTCTTCCTTTATAACAAATCTTAATGGAAATGAATTTATTTTTACAGGCAAGATGATAACAGCAGCCTATGTTCCTCTTCCTAATTACCACTCCCTGTTTCCGGATGCAGTAAGGGCCAACCAATTACTTCTCCCTTCTGCCCAGGCTCTACAGACAGGCTTCCCCACATCCATGTTTCCTAACATGCAGTCAGTGATCAGATAACCCTCCAGGGCCAGTCCATAGGTCTTATCATCACCATGTGAATATTCCACATAGACAATGTGGTCATATAACTGCTAATCTTAACTGTTCATCATTCAATGCAACAATCAGAAAAACTGTTAAACAAGCATCTTCTGTATATTTGGAAAGGGGAACGTTTTAGTGACCATTTGAATTAAAATTTATGATGAATTGTAAAAATCAAAAGTACATGTATGTAACAATTTTTAATGTCTTCTTTTACCCAGTTAAGATTCATTTTTTACACTCATTTGTTAAAAACCAAATTAATTTTGGATGTCATCCATCATGTCATTATCATTGAATGTAAATTCATTGACAAAAATAGGAAAATTTTCCTTCTGTCCATTTAAAATGACAATAAAGAAGAATCTTAATTTCTTTTTTATTCATTTTTCCTGAACTCAAAAGACCTTAAAGTGATAACGGACAAGTCAAAACTAAAGATCATGAATTTTTATAGTTACAGATTTCTTTAAAGTGTTTCTAGTTAGAATATAGATGAAGGAGAAAAGAAAACAAGATCCCTGATGCTCCTGTATGGCAGCTCAATGATAAGGTTAAACTTGTACAAATGTAGGTCAAAACTCAAGATTAAGAGGTTAACAAAAAATTGATGCCAAAGCACTGATTCATTTTAAGAAAAGTCAACATAGCTTCAAGGAACTTCTCGTAATGGTTATAGAGTCCCATGCCAAAATTGGTGCATCTTGATTTCATGGTATATATAAAAATACACCTATATATAAATATGACAACGAAAAATTAAGATTAACTATTTGATAGGGGTATTGGACACATGCTATTCTGTTGTAGCTTAAAGAGGTGCATTTTGTCAGCGAGTAGTATGTGACATGAAAGTATAATACATTTTCAACTTGCACCTTCTATTCCATGTTTAAAGCATTATCTTTGACAGTGTACATATGTACATCAGCTGTTCTAAAACATACCCAACATTTGAAGTTTTTACTGTCAGAAATCAACAGCAAGGTCTTTGGTATAAGAAGTGTAAAATTCATAACAGGGTTATAATTTTCTAGAGATGTACCGGTACCAGTTCTGTTCACACATTTAGAAAACCTGGTTTGCTGTCACATGGACAGCTTTTCACTAATTTGTATTGAATTTTTAAACACACCTTTTTAATTAATTGTATGAGAATCAGAATTATAGAATAGAAATAAAATCATACTGCCTGATGCTCTGATTTGCATTTTAAGGTCACCTGAGTGCTTTGGGAGACCTTTTGCTACGTACTAATCGACGCAGTGCATATACCGTGTAGCGGGTTTTCTTGGCAGGTGTAAAATTTGGTGTTTTGCATGCTCAGAGGTATGCCAATAATTTTGGCACAATTTATTTTAGCGGACACGGGGTTTCAGCTCTTTGCAGATGTACACCATGAAGAGAATTTACTATTTTAGCGATTAATAATTTAGCGTACTACCATCAAAACGCCAAAATAAGCCAAAATTAGCACCTTGCTAAAATAACCCGCTATACGGTAATTAACATATAATTTTGCTATACGGTAATTAACATATAATTTCTGTGCAAACATCATTAGGAGCTTAAGTTCTTTTTGAGGAGGGATTCTTGTCTGGTTTCTATTTTAATTCATTTGGAATATATTTTTCAGACAAATCCCTGAGTTGTTATTAGCGAGATTCTTACCTTTGTTGAATATTTAAACATTTCACGGTCATGTGATCAGGTTTGTTTCAAAGCAAATTAGTTGAATATTCTCTGGAACCAGTGAACCAATTTCAATTAATTTTGGCACATGGCATGTAGATGAAGAATGAGAGACAAAAATTTAGAATTTTATTGTCTTGGTTCTTCTAGGGCCCAGGGGGTTGGGCTATACTCCATGATTACAATTTAATGCAATCTGAAAAAATCCTTTACTCTTGGACACTTAGTAGTCAAATTGTTAGCTGCAGAACTGTAGCTCTCTGCTTGAGAAAATTCGGACAGATCTCTGCTTTATCTCATTCTGTCCAAATTTTCTCGAGCAGGGAGCTCCAGTTCGGCAGCTAACAATTTGTGAGCAATATTGTAATTATCCTATCCAAAATGTGAAATTTATGTCTCCTGTATAATCAAGACAATACCACATTTCCTTTTGATAAATTTAATTTAAATTGATGCATAGATTCAATTTAACATACAGCAGGTTGAAATTCAAATTGTTAATATGTTTGGATCTTCCCACCCACTCTCATATATTCCTCCAACTGAACTTGAGATTCTTTTAGAAATAGTCAAACTTCAACAATCCATGAGCGATATGAATAAAAGACAACGTAAAAATATGTAGCAAATACATCACGGAAAAACAATCAATACTATGCACGTACATGTAATGTACATAAACATATTAAATGCAATATACACAATCCAAAGCCAGAGATGGTCTAGCACTCAAGTTAAAAATTCATACACCCAATTAATATATCTATGCTATTAGAACCGGGGTAATTTCATGTTCTCAAAGATACTTTATTTCTAATATAATCACTGTCGAAAAAAATAACGGCCACAGTCATGTCGTCTCTTTGAGTTCGACATACATGGTCCGGTAACGAGAGGAAATAGGAGATTTGTCTATGTTCTGGACCTAGAGCATTGCGAATAAGATGAGTAGCGGCATTGTCATCAATACTTCTATTTGCCAGCTTTGTTTTTCTCTCCATCAGATATTGATTCATTGCTTTCAGGTTCATATCTGTATCTATCTGAGGATCAATCAATATTTGTTTCCCGTCAATATGACCCGCCACAAGTTTAACCACTTTTTCTGGGGATAACATGTCAAACAGTCCATCTGAAGCGATTACCAGAAATTTGTCCTTTGGAGAGAGTTTGTGATGAATCACCTCAGGATCTGCTATAAGATAAGGTGGAGTTTTGTAATTATTGGGAACTACTTTACCTCCATAATGACCCCTGACTTCAGCAGAGGGAGAATTCAAATACCTCTCGATTTCTTTTGCCTCATTAAATGATAATTTGTATCGAATATCACCAAAAGCCCTTAATGGAGCAAGTTCACCAAAAAGACGATTGTTTTTAACAATGTTAGTTGATTCATTCTTGTGTTGATCTAAAATTCTGCGAATTTCCGATGCATTCTGGGCATTGTGAGTATTTGAAAGTGGTACAGCAGCATATTCCGATTCTTGAACTTTCACTCCAAGCACAGCTCGACAGTCACCCACATTAGCCACATACAAATCTGTGTCGTCTATGTATGAAACTGCTGCACAAGAGCCAGCCATAGCTGACAGAAGGGAATCCGTGTTGAATTCTTTATTCTGCTCACTGGGAATAGCCTCCTGGATTATATCATGGTCCAGTCTTAGAAAAGCATCTTTAAGATGCTGCTCTACGCTGCTGGGTTCATGAGCTGCAAGAGCTTCTCGTGCATATCTCAAGAGTGCTCTTTGATACAAACGATTAGGATGCTCTGAGTAATGGTCTTTTTGATACCAGTGAACCAATTTGTTAATGCCTTGATTCCCAGATAATAAATCTTCTAGGATGTCGTAGGAAGCCAGGGAAATAGCAATGTACTGGAATAAACGTTCATTGACAGCACTGGCACATCCGTAACCACCGTGTCCGTCATAAACACCAAACAAAAACTTTAATGGACTGAGCTTAGCATAACCATCCCTGTCTTCAATAGGATCATTGGCAGCTAGCCTGTTGATGTCTACACTTTTCACAGCACCCTCCTGGATGTCAAATCTTCTCTGCTCTAACTCCAGAATAGACGTCACTTGCTGTGGAGATAATTTTGCCGATGTCTCTAGGTCTGGAATTTTTGTGGAAGACTTGAATGACACCAACACTCGACTTCTATTTCGTCTGAGATTTTGTGAGCTGACATGCAGCCGACAGGGCTGTAAAACATGATGCTGGATTTTATCCAAGGTCACTGATTGAAGACGGAGAGAAATTTTTCGCCCTAGGGCTACGCTCGCCCTGATCATAATTCAGAATCTAATCTTTTTTGTCAATCGTTGAACATGTTTAAATCGCTCTGATAATTTCACCACCACGCATCAGTCGCATGTACACAAAATCTCACTGGGGGTTTCTGCATCGTAATATCTCTTTCTTGACTTATTCGTGATACCAAAGATTACAAGAACGAGTTATCAAATCTATTCAATTTCCGGTAGTTTACAAAACAAATCAGAAATGGCTCACACGTCAAAAATTTTCCCTGTTGTATTTCGCAGATGCATTGCTCAGGTTCCACGACAGCTACAGACATGCACAGCAGTTCGGAAGATTCATCTGGACAGGGAAATGGCTTCTGCAGCGACTGCCGCAGCAGGTATGACAGACAGACTATTTGTCAGCTTTAGATTGATTTCGTAACGATGCCATGTGGTTATAAATAGAGACATGTAAGCATGATGATATATCCTGCTCTCTGTTATGCCATTACGAAAGTAAAATAAACTAAACATGAAGAAATCCTGCTTTCTTGCTAACTTTATTATTTGTCTACACGATATACTAATTTGATCACGAATCCAGAAAAAAGTTAGGCCCAGCATCTGAAAAAATACCTGTGGAGATGAATCATTATCTAATATATACATTTGTGGTATCTTTCCATTATATAAACATACAGAGAGAAAATATCTTCAATTCTGTATGAAGTTTGTCAGAGGTCAATACATGGCCGAATCACACGGCGGAATAATATCTACCGTTACTTATAAACATAAAATGACTTGCTTTTCATGTATAAAAATGAACAAAATAAGCAAGTAAATTAATTGTTTTATTTACAACGTAAACAAGTACTTCATACATTTTTGACGATCGATTTAAACTGTATACATAGAGAATATACCGATAGAAACTAGCCTATGCTTTGTTTACATGTTTTATGTCACTTTTGTCCGCTGCACAGTCTCTAACGTTTGTCCTTATTTTTGGAAGACTTTAAGTTAAATCTTCATGATAGGCAATAAGCTAAAACTATATTTTTTTTCATTAAATTCTTCTCACAATAAATGTGCAAATCTGTTGGAAAATATCAAAGCATTGCAATCACTTGCCAATGAATGTAAGCTGTCGCCAGTGTCGCCGAGTTAACATCATAAATATGCCTTTAGTTACTGAAATCGTAGGTTGAATGTTTTTGATCAAATTTAACTTGATTGCAAATTGACTGGCTCGCACAATTGTCTCTATCCATCGGATCCATCCATCCCTTTTAGGCGACCGAAATTCCTCCAACTTTTGTCATCAATCTTCGGACGTGTTTCTTGTGTCTTTTCAGCATAATTATCAATTTTCACAAAAAGAAATATTTCCAAACAAGAATCTTTTCACTGTTACTGATCACAAGTAGCCTTTAACAAAATATTCCCTTCCAAAATAGAATTCATAGCCTGACGAATTCAAAGCGTAACCGCCTTTCAAGCCGATTTACACCTTGCGTACTTTTGACGGAAATCTACGGCGACCGGTTAGTGCAATATTTATATTAGAATATATCTAATTAAATATTTAATTGTCAATCTCAAATGTATATATAAGTAATAAATAACAATTTTATAAACTTCAATGGGAATTGAAGAGGGTCGGTACGTGATCAAATCTTCTGAGAAGGCCTTCGGCCTTCACAGGATTTGATCACGTGACCGACCCACTTCAATTCCCATTGAAGTTTATAAACTTGTTATTTATTTCTTAATTGATTTTCTGGTTAAGTTAAGAATTTAAGGTATTTTTGGATCAGACCTGTTCATGTTTTTTTTAGTTTTTTTAAAGTATGTGTAATGGAAGAGGAGAAAAATGCAGCAGACTGAAGCTACTTGAACACAGTCCTCCTGAATCTGAAGTCAGGTGCTTTACCAATTGAGCTTCTGGCCACTGGTGATCAAACCCATGTTACTGCCACATTCCTCCCTCCATAAATGTCTTTGCACCCCCCCCCCCCTCCCCTTAAGACATAAACTCTGGCTTTTCTCAGACAGGCCTTTCACCTGTCACTTCCAGGGCATGGCGCAGCACCAAATGGAATAGGACTTTATGGAAGAGGATAAAAATGCAATGTATCAGACCAGGATTCAAAACTGGGTCTGGCTACACTTTCTCCTTGTCAGTCTCTGATTACATTTCTTGCTGTGACCAGGATGTGACAGGTGAAAGACCTGCCAGAGAAGAGCCTAGTGGATTGACTTTTTGAAGGAGGGGAGAATGTGGCCAGAAAGCTCAGTTGGTAAAGCACCCAGCAGAAAGATCAGGTGGGTTCTGGTTTAAATCCTGGTCTGATCTGCAGCAGTTTTCTTCTCTGGTGTCGTGCCAATGCCCTGGTAGTGACAGGTGAATAACCTGCCAAGGAAGAGCCTAGGTTGGTGTCTTCAGGGGCTGAGGACCTGTAAGGAGGATGGAATGTGGTTGTCAGATATGGGTCCATTGGCCAGATAGCTTAGTTGGTAGAGCACCTAACTGGAGATTTAGGGGACCTGGGTTCAAATTGTGGTCTTCTGTGCTGCATTATTTTCCTCTCCCATTATACATGCATTGATCAAACACCCTAGGGATAACTTGATTCTCTGAATCTGATAATTTGATTACTTACATCCGAAAACACATGCAAGATTCATCATGGCAGGACTGTGATTGCCTAGAAACATGAAAGTGGACATGCTTAAAAAAATCCCTTACAAATATCCAGAAAATATGATTCACTTACAAAATCTAAATTATCTTGATTATGATTGATAGTATTAATCTGATTGTATGTTTGATATTTACAGTGAAACCAAGGATTCCACACTTGGAAGAGGAGAGAAAAGATATGCCAGAGAGAAATATGAAGCCGCTGTATCTGGATGCCCAGGCAACTACTCCACTGGTAAGGTTCCTGTACTTATAATGGCACATACTTAGATGTAGAGGCACTATATTGATTTAAACTTTAAAGCCTTCCATAGTACATTTTGAAAATTGATGCAAACTCAAATGCATCATATTGAAATCACTACTACTGTAAAATAAAATTTGATATATAAATAAAAAGTAAATAATAATGAATTGTTTTGAATTGTGTTAGGACCCTAGAGTTCTTGATGCTATGCTTCCATACTTTGTGACTCTATATGGAAACCCCCATTCCCGGACACATGCCTATGGGTGGGAGAGTGAGGCTGCCGTGGAACATGCCAGGAAGGTAACTGTATTCTTATATATATAGTGACAATTTTAATGAAAAATCTGGTTGGGATGTTAGAAAATTAGAATAAATGTTTATTTCATTATTTTTTTTGGGGGGGGGTATAGGAAGTTTCTTAAATTGATTAGGTTTTTTTAAAACAATGTGTAATATTATTAAAGCAACATGTGTATTTAAGGTTCTTTGGAGTTTTAATGCTTATTTAAATTTTTCAGCAAGTAGCCACATTAATTGGTGCAGATCCAAGGGAGATAATCTTTACAAGTGGTGCCACAGAGTCAAACAATATAGCTGTGAAAGGCTGTGCTCGATTCTACAAGGCTAAGAAAAACCATGTTATCACTACACAAACAGTAAGAGCCTAAGACTTCTAATAAAACACTACCTATATATGCAGTCAGTACCTGACATTAATGCACATTATACATTTATAATTATCTATTCTTATGAAGAACTCCTTGTTTATGAGTACACTTCTAATTTTGTGTGAACTTTGACAGGAACACAAGTGTGTGCTGGATTCCTGCAGAGCTTTAGAGGCTGAGGGATTTAAAGTGACTTATCTACCTGTCCAGAAAAATGGATTGATAGATCTGAAGGTGGGTTCTGAAAATTCATGACAATTTTTACCAGGGCATATTTCATGAAGTGTATTAGCACTGCCTGACTGCAAAATATAACTTTAAGTTTTAATTATTAATTATCCCATTGAATTCAAGAGAGCAAGGTTTGACTATATGTCATTACAACAACTGTTCACAGAAACATCCACAATTAAGATGACAAATAGTAATATGTAATAATTTATGATGCAAATCTAATCTGCTACAATAATTTGTTGATAATAATAAGTTGATTGTCCTGATTACAGGCCCTGGAGAATTCAATGAGTGATGACACAGTGCTGGTGTCTGTCATGGCTGTCAACAATGAAATTGGTGTGGAACAACCCATCACAGAAATTGGTATATTACAGTTGATTCTTCAAAGTTTAGCTCTCCTAATCAGAAACCAACTGTTTTGATCAAATTGTCTTTATCGACTACAGGCATTTCTGTTCCTAATCACAGAAACATAAAGATTTTCACTTTGGAGCAAGGATAAGGTTGCCAAAGTGTCCACATTAGGACGGAAAGGTCCAGCAAAACAATCATAATGTCACGTTAACTCAATAATATAGATTATGAAAAAAACCCATACTTTTTCACATGCTTAATTGTCCTCTCTATAAGTAGATTAAAATTGTTTATGGAACAAAGTGTATTAGGATTCAATAACATAAAAAATAAAGCTATGTAACATTTCACTAATGTTTTATTAAATGTGTTCATATACTCGGCTGACCACTGTGGCCTGTCACCATTGTATTATAATTAATTCTGATGTATTGTATATGTAATGTCAAGACTGTGCAAGTTTTATTAGTATTAAGTCTAACATTTATTTATACCATCTCAATGATATAAATGCACAGCTGATCTTGTATTAGAATGCAGAGGTCATACTTTTGACTTTCTTTACAGGTGAAATGTGCAGATCCAGAAAGATCTTTTTTCACACAGATGCTGCACAAGCGGTGGGCAAAATTCCACTGGATGTCAACGCCATGAAGATTGACATGATGTCAATCAGTGGCCACAAGGTGTATGGACCTAAAGGTGAATTTTAATTCTCTACAGTTATGCCAACTGTAATGTAACATATGTAAGACTAAGTAGCTTTCATTTTCAAGGAAGAGAGTTGGTTCTCGTGCCTTCAGAACGACAGATACATTCTTTGGATTTGAATATTTTGGAAAATGTATTTTGGCAACAGTAAGTTATATACATGTATAAGCATACAAATAAGCAGTAGTTTCTATTTTTTATTTCTCTCAGGTGTTGGGGCTCTGTATGTCAGAAGACGTCCTCGTGTCAGGATTGATGCACCCCAGAGTGGAGGGGGTCAGGAGAGAGGGATGAGAAGTGGCACTGTCCCCACCCCCTTAGTTGTGGGACTAGGGGCAGCCTGTGAAGTAGCAATGCAGGAGATGGAGGTAGGAAGTTTCTAACATGTGACATTTTTGTAAATTATCATATATACACTGTATATTTACAATGTATAAATTTGCTGTTATTACAATATTTACTTTGATAATTGTTTACAGTAAATTACTGGTGAGAAAAAAATGAAGTTCCTCATTAATTTCTTTTGCAGTATGACCATGCTCGCATCAAGTACCTCTCAGATAGACTAATCAACAAGCTTCAGTCAGCATTACCAATGGTGATCAGAAATGGAGACCCCGATAAATCTTACCCAGGTGTGTTATCTGTCAAATTCTGGATCTTATTTAGATATAAAGGCTTTCTTAAAATATAATGGATATATGAAAATATGAAAATTATTCTGTTTCACTTTGCTAGAAAATAAAGGATAGGCCCAATAAGCTTTTCTTTACATTTTTATTTAAAATGTATTCTTGTTGAACAGGTTGCATCAATCTATCTTTTGCTTTTGTGGAGGGAGAGAGTTTATTAATGGCTCTCAAGGACATTGCGTTATCATCTGGAAGGTAAGTCTGTCCTTTTATCTCCTGTTTTACACTTTAATCTCCTGTTTTACTACATGTAGCAAACTAGAATTGACAAGAGTGAACAATAAATCTGAACTGACCTGTTTTTCAGTGCCTGTACCTCTGCATCTTTAGAACCATCTTATGTGCTGAGAGCAGTTGGAGCAGATGAAGATTTGGCACATTCTTCTATCAGGTAGAAAAATCAAAATGTATTGAATATTCCTACCAGGTATTTTCAAACTATGGTTGTTTCCTGTATCAGTATCAACAAATTAAACCATAAAGCAGGTACCCTCTAAATATTCTGATGGGCATCCTAATCCTATGAAATCCCCAAAAGATGTGAAAGTAAATCCATATTCTTTTAAAACATTTAATGACCACCAAGTGTATACAATTGCACAGCACTTTTTAGCTCACCTGAGCCGAAGGCTCAAGTGAGCTTTTCTGATCAAAATTTGTCCGTCGTCTGTCGTCGTTGTCGTTGTCGTTGTCGTTGTTGTTGTTGTCGTCGTTGTAAACTTTTCACATTTTCATCTTCTTCTCAAGAACCACTGGGCCAATTCCAACCAAACTTGGCACAGAGTATCCTTGGGTAAAGGGGATTCAAGTTTGTTCAAATGAAGGGCCGCGCCCTTTTCCAAGGGGAGAAATCATGAATTTGTTAAAAATTAATGGCATTTTTAAAAAATCTTCTTCTCCATGGGCCAGGAAAGATGAAACTCATGTGGAAGCATCCTCAGGTAGTGTAGATTCAAGTTTGTTCATATCATGACCCCCGGGGCAAGGGTGGGGCCAAAATGGCCGACCCAAGTTTTACATAGGAATATATAGGAAAAATCTTTAAAAATTTTTATACTGGGCCAGGAAAGATGAAAATCATGTGGAATCATCCTCAGGTAGTGTAGATTCAAGTTTGTTCATATCATGACCCCCGGGGCAAGGGTGGGGCCAAAATGGCCGACCCAAGTTTTACATAGGAATATATAGGAAAAATCTTTAAAAATCTTCTTCTCCAGAAGCACTATTGAAACTCATGTGGAATCATCCTCAGGTAGAGAGTTCAAATATGACCCCCAGGGCAAGGGTGGGCCAAAATGGCCGACCCAAGTTTTACATAGGAATATATAGGAAAAATCTTTAAAAATCTTCTTCTCCAGAAGCACTATGCCAGGAAAGATGAAACTCATGTGGAATCATCCTCAGGTAGTGTAGATGCAAGTTTGTTCAAATCATGACCCCTGGGGCAAGGGTGGGGCCAAAATGGCCGAATTACAAAAATCTTTAAAAATCTTCTTCTCGAGAACCACTGGGCCAGGAAAGATGAAACTCATGTGGAATCATCCTCAGGTAGTGTAGATTCAAATTTGTTCAAATCATGACTCAAGGGTGGGGCCAAAATTACCGACCCTTGTTTTACATAGGAATATATTAGAAAAATCTTTAAGAATCTTCTTCTCCAGAACCACTGGACCAGGAAAGATGAAACTCATTGGAATCACCTCACAGTAGTAGATTCAAGTTTGTTCAAATCATGACCCCCGGGGCAAGGGTGGGGCCAAAATGGCCAACCCTTGTTTTACAAATATATAGGAAAAATCTTTAAAAATCTTCTTCTCGAGAACCACTGGGCCAGGAAAGATGAAACTCATGTGGAATCATCCTCAGGTAGTGTAGATTCAAGTTTGTTCATATCATGACCCCCGGGGCAATGGTGGGGCCAAAATGGCCGACCCAAGTCATAGGAATATATAGGAAAAATCTTTAAAAATCTTCTCCAGAACCACTGGGCCAGGAAAGATGAAACTCATGTGGAATCATCCTCAGGTAGTGTAGATTCAAGTTTATTCAAATCATGACCCCCGCAAGGGTTGGGCCAAAATGGCCGATGATAGGAATATATAGGAGAAATCTTTAAAAATCTTCTTCTCCAGAACCACTGTGCCAGGAAAGATGAAACTCATGTGGAATCATCCTCAGGTAGTGTAGATTCAAATTTGTTCAAATCATGACCCCCAGGGCAAGGGTGGGGCCAAAATGGCCGACCCAAGTTTTACATAGGAATATATAGGAAAAATCTTTAAAAATCTTCTTCTCCAGAACCACTATGCCAGGAAAGATGAAACTCATGTGGAATCATCCTCAGGTAGTGTAGATGCAAGTTTGTTCAAATCATGACCCCTGGGGCAAGGGTGGGGCCAAAATGGCCGACCCTTGTTTTTCATAGGAATATATTAGCTTTAAAAATCATCTTCTCGAGAACCACTGGGCCAGGAAAGATGAAACTCATGTGAAATCATCCTCAGGTAGTGTAAATTCAAGTTTGTTCAAATCATGACCCCAGGGGCAAGGGTGGGGCCAAAATGGCCGACCCAAGTTTTACATAGCAATATATTAGAAAAATCTTTAAAAATCTTCTTCTCCAGAACCACTATGCCAGGAAAGATGAAACTCATGTGGAATCATCCTCAGGTAGTGTAGATTCAAGTTTGTTCAAATCATGACCCCCGAGGCAAGGGTGGGGCCAAAATGGTCAACCCTTGTTTTACATAGGAATATATAGGAAAAATCTTTAAAAATCTTCTTCTCGAGAACCACTGGGCCAGGAAAGATGAAACTCATGTGGAATCATCCTCAAGTGTAGATTAAAGTTTGTTCAAATCATTAGGGTGGGGCCAAAAACATTTTAATAATATATAGGGAAACTTTTTAAAATCTTCTTTTCAAGTACTTCAAAGCTAATTAGTGATATTTATATGGAATCATCCTCAGGTAGTGTAGATTCTAATTTGTTTAAATTGAACGCCTGGAAAATGTGGCCCCTGGGCCTCTTGTTTAAAATGTCATTTAGAGTATCACTTGTTTTTATCTGTGGATTTTGTATGTCAGGTTTGGAATTGGACGTTTCACAACAGAAGCTGAGGTAGATTATACAGCAGATAAGTGTATAGAGCATGTCACCAGGTTAAGGGAAATGAGGTAATAATGGACGTTACATGAAGAAATGAAGAGAAAAAAAAGATAAAGTTTGGAAAAAAAATTCTGAAATTAAAAAAAAATGAATATTAACACCTTATGATATTTCAAATGGTGAAAATCACTATGTATTACAAAACTGCAATATATTCTTACATTTACCAGCTCTTCATTATATATTCATTTCAATTTGCAGTCCTCTGTGGGAGATGGCCCAGGAAGGCATTGACCTGAAATCAATCCAGTGGTCTCAGCACTGACCGTGATATGACCAGTGGTCTAAGAACACCGACCATGAAAATCTCTAACCTTCTTGTTTAGTGTGTTTAAATGCCACCAGTCTGTGATGTCTGCAGTCTTTGCCAATTTTAGAATGCAGTCTAAATGTTGTGGAAATTTACTCAAACAAGCTTTAATGTTGCATTTGAATTATATTCGAATAGGCTGGGTGAAATAATGATGTGAACCTGAGCATGCATTTCTTTGGTGTCTAATTGTAATTGCTGACTTAGTTTCTACAAAAGATTGTAAATTTTTGTGTGTAAATCTGTTAGATTGCTTTAAAATACATGTTCGTGTATTTCATAAAATATAATGTCAGCAGTCTTCCCTCAAAACTAAAATATACATGTACATATACACTACAGATATGTTTAGATAGTGCATAGACCACAGTAAGCACATTTACATTTGGTATTGATTTCACTTGTGTAATAATTGTGTATTATTTGAAAAGAATTGGTTGTGTGTTTTCTGAAGTGTGAATGTGTTATTTGTATGTGATATTTGAAACCGGTCAAGCATAGGAAGCACATAGAAATGTACACGAATGACTCAAATTCAGGACCGTGTGTAATGTTTGGAAAAAGAGATTTTTTTCTGTTAATTTAATGCCCATGCTGCTGTTGATATTAATGAAAAAAAAAAAAAGAATTATTTTGACAAACGAATTTAAAATTATTTATTGTGTGCTTTATACTGTTCATCTATTATCCAGTATTACTTGCATCGTTGTATAATTCCTTGGATCACCAATAAAGAACTGGTAATATTTACTTTAAGATTTTCTTGTTTCATAAACCTTGTAAAGATTTGGACTGTTTTACATAAATAACCATGAGCAAGAGCTGTCCTTAAATATTAATACATATACATATATGTAGTTCTTAAATCCATATATAAGTTTATTTATGCAAAGTGTGAAAGTTTTACAAAATTCAGTGAAGGTTCATTTTCTTAATTGAAGAAAAATTAATTGAGATAGGATTGGAATGATTTGATAAGTGGGGAGGAAAACAAAATCCAGTTTTGTGTTTGGTAATACCTGTGTTTAGCATTAAGGTCATACGCAACGTAGTTTGAACTTTATTGGGCTCTTCCCTGGAGTTGAAGAGTTCCACTAAATGAAGGACCTGTGTGCAATACTTTTAATGTCTATGTATAGATTTTTACCCCACCTCTGTTGATTTTTCTGTGAAATCCTGGCTACTCCTCCTACAGTTTTGGTCTGATTTCAATATAACTTGGCACACATGTAGACTACACTAAGTAAAACAATTTTGTGTATTGATTTTTGATGAATGGCATTGCCGTGGTTACTAAAAATAGAAATTTCTGTGATATTGTTTCAAAATGCTACTCCTCCTACAGTTTTGGTCTGATTTTAATATACATGTAACTTGGCACACAAGTAGACTACACTAAGATACACAATTCGGTTTACTGGTTTTCGATTTTTATGAACAGTGTTGCCATGGTTACTAAACATAGAACTTTCTCTGAAATACTTTCAAAATACTACTCCTCCTACAGTTTTGTTCTGATTTCAATATAATTTTGCACAGAAGTAGACTACACTAAGAAACACAATTTGATTTATAATTTTTTGCTTTCGATGAATGTTATTGCCTTGGTTACTAAAGGTAGAAATTTCTGTAAAATACTATCAAAATGCTACCCCAAATACAGTTTTAGTCTGATTAATATATAATGAGCATGCAAGTAGACTACATAAGAACATGAAGATACTTAATCAAGGATCATTATTCTATTTATTGCTGTTGTAAATTTCCAATTCCCAACTGCTACTTTTCTCTTCCTTTGCTATAAGTAAAAACCAGTAGAGCTTCAGTCTCAACAGAGACTTCTGGTTCTTTGAATAATGCAAAAAATTTCACAACTTATATCTTTTCAAAACCCCTGGTAACGCATGCTTATTTTTTGTCAAAGAACATGTAATGGTATTATAATTTTAAATTTAGAATATCTTGAAAAATTATCAGTAGGTAAAGTACGTTGTGTATGTCCCTAAACAATCAAATATTGATCAAAATAGAATTGTGTATCTTGATAATGTACTTAAGTGTACATTATTAAAATCAGGAAAAATAAAACTTTTGGATAGATAGCATTGTTAACCATTCAATCGATGGAAAAGCACTCCAGCCAGAAGAATAAAAAGAAATCAGAAAAAATCATGGCGTCTTAAAAATTTTAATTGTTGACAACATGACAGAAACAACATTGAAATGAAAGTCAACAACACTGCACATAATATGAAAACATAATTAATTTCCAGATCATTAAAAAAAACTTATTTTAGTGTAAGTACACTGATTGAAATCATGAATTGTAATGGTACATGTACATGTACATACTGTAAGAGCACATGCAGAACACATTTCTAAATCTTCAGTAAATTATCATCAATGCAAAATAATGATCAATGTGGGAAAATTAATTTAAAATTAATAACTAGGCTGCCCATCTACTTTATCAGACTTCTTTTGTATTAAAAATGTATAAAACCAATGTGTTAAACAGGAAAAGAGAATGACTGCTCATATTTTGAAATCCAAAAGTAATATGATTGCAATGTACATTTCTTCACTCTATAGATTTGATTCTCAATCAGATTATAGTATTATATACCATATACGAGGGTTGTTAAAAAAGTTCGCGGACACATTGAATTACAGAAAATCTATTGTATACTGTGAAGTATGACCTATGTCTGAATGAATTCCTACATATTGTTTATTGGTATGTAAAAAATCAGATCCATATAATAAAATCTTAAAATTTTACAACTATTTTTAGTATGGGGTTATGGGATTCACGGAGCAATCACTTGACGTAAGCGACGTGACAACCAGATTTCAACCCTTTAAGCCTTGTCGCAGTTCTATAAATCTTTCATTTCTTAGATTTTTCTTATCTTTTTTCTACTTCAAAATTGAATGTTTATATCAAGACATATTACTTTTCTGCTATAATGTCTTTTGTACTGTTTCGGATATTATTGAGATATTAAAAAAAATTAAAAAAAGAAGTCAAATGATCAGATATGGAAACTATGCAAAACCATATAGGCGCAACGCAACGTCCATGCGATATTGCGAGGGTATTGTAGTATCGACGGAGTCAATCATTCAAAATGTTACTCCATCCATTCTTATGAAGCTACAACCATTTGAAAAGTTGTTCTTTGTATGTGTAGGATATTCCCGGCAGCATCATGAACATTTTAATCTCTTTTTAGACATTTTCCTGTCTGCACAAATAATTTTTACTTAGTGCAGTGCTCCATGACGCTCAATGACGTTCCGATTTTTGGCTGTGTTTTTACGCGTTGATCATTTATAAACGGCTATAAAACAGTCATATACCCTCCAATTTAGTTCAAATTTTCTCCCAGTGACGTTTCCTGCAAACTATAGCGGAAGGTAAAATATTATAAATCTCTTGGCACTACAATTGTGCAATTTTTAATTTTAATAAAGAGTCTTTGTGATGTAAACGTACCAAAATGTAGCATGCTCCGTGAAGCAAGAATTATCAAAATAAAAATGCCGTATATTTTTCAATAAAAACCGGAGAGTACTAAATTCTTGTATATTTATTGGCAAAAGGCTCAAGATTATATCTGGAAAGTTTGACCGGTGCGCTCACAATAGAACTTGTCCGCGAACTTTTCTAACACCCCTCGTATACTAGCCTATACGTCAGTTTTTTGGGGATTTAAATTTTAGTCCAAAAGTTAATGTCCGACTTTTAGGCGAGTCATAAAAGACTGGTATTTTTCTGGACGGCGAATTATAGTGTTCTATAAATATTTTCAACAATTATCAGGGAACAAAGTCTGGATTTATTATATCATATCTGTATTCTAAGACTATACATTTATCAGAAGTATAACATGTGTTTGATAATTTTATATTTTAATCTAAGAGGGCATTTTATATTTTTTCAATAAAGTTAAAAATCGACCCCCATTTCTAAAAAATAAATTGAAAGCAAGTTAAAACATCAGAGTATTTATTTAAAATTGTCATCTGATTCTGGCAAAAATTTGTACCAACTTATAAGCCGGTCAATGACAAATCCTTGCAGAATAACCTAAAAAAATACAACCGACTTATAGGCGGACCCACTTATAGGCGAGTATACACAGTACATATAGAGTGATAAACACAAGCATATCATACATAAAATAACAATTCTACAATTCATTAAAACAGATCAAATTAAAAAGTGAGCACAATTAGTGTCACATTATATTGCACAGGGCAGTATGTATCTCAGTACATGTATACATACACACTTAATTCATTAAAACTTGAATACAGGCTTTCATCATTTTTCAATATCTTACCGTATAAGTAGAATTTTTAGCGAGGATTTAATTTTGGTATTATTAGCGAGGGTGCTGACATCGCTAAAATTGAAAATCGCTAAAAATTAATCACATATTATTTGTAATAGCTTTTTAAGTTAGCATTTTAAAATCGCTAAAATTATTTCCTGCTAAAAATAAAATACCAGATTTTAGGTAGAAATCGCTAAATTTGCGTCTCGCTAAAATTTCCACTTATACGGTATTACATGTACACATTACCTTATATGGAAACATGCAAATGTATCTCATACATAATTGTTGAATTTGGGAAATAAAATATTAGTAAATTATTGCCTCCCTAGATCAGAAGCTGTCTTCTGGTCTATCCATTTAATGTTTACAAGTCCCATATAACACATACATTTAATACATGTGTTGAGATTTTCCATGCCTCTAAGACATCAAAGTCCATATTAATAAAAAAAAAATCATTTATGCTCGCCTGTGACATTTAATTTTGAGCAATCTATTTGGCCTCTAACATTTTTAACAATAAAATCTATTTATGCTGATAATTCTTTTTGAAGATCTAATCCTGAAGAACCATTTTCCTAGAGAACACGCTCCCTTTGATTACGACTCAGACTTCCTTGACTTTCTTCTCTGTACAGGAGCTGGCTCGGGAGCTGACAGACTTGATAATCTTGTTTTTGCTTCTTCTAAAATTTTCTTAAGCTCCTCCTGCAAATGGAACAAAATATTAATGTGAAAATCATGATGGATTGCATATCAATATCTGTATAAGACACGATCAGTTTATATCCAAAATGAAAGTTCTAGACAACCAGAAAAAATCCCCACAGAAATGCCTCCGTCTTACACCTCTTAGACATAAAAGTAACATAGACAACATTATTCCGACTTCTGTGGACAAACCTGACTTAAAATATTGAGATGAATGACTTGAATTATTACTATTATTATGATTTAGGATTATTAAAGCAGGGAGGTAAAAGTCATTCTCCACACCGATATAATACCTCAGAGTGCCTGTAGTAGAGAACACAGGTCTTTGATTTTTTCTTTCTTTGAGCCTGTATGACTCCCTGCTCCAGGGAGTAGGTTTGGTCTGTAGCTGTGTTCAGTAACTGTAAAAAAAAAACTCTGTATTAAAGTTTTGTAGGAATTTTGGAAATAAACACAAGTCCATCTCATTCTTAGTTTCCTAAAGATAAAGTGTGGTAAATATGTTTCCTAACTCAATCCTAAGCATCTTGTAATACATCTAAAATCTTTATCACATAGAGGAGCAGTTTCTCTGTATTGTGCATTATGTATTGTGTATTAACTACCTGTACCTTATCCTAGGGGTTCAAGAATTTTCAAAAGGAGGATATATTTTATTTTCCTCAAGTCAGCGAAAAATTGCTCTAAGGTGCAAAGTAAAATGGAGCTACCAATGCACTTTAAAAAAAAACAGACAATAGCCCCCCCCCTACATATTTCTAAAGACATGTCCTACCATTGATAAATAACAGATTTTTTTGGTGACTTCACATCGAGTGGTGCTCTCCTCCGTATCCACTGAGGCCCTGCGTGACACAGACTGACTCAGTCGAGTATTGGTGGGGGTGGCCATTCTCTTATTTTGGTTCACTCCAAGGTCGTGCAGCACTCTTCTATGGGACAATTCTCTGTGTCTAAAAGTAACAAGTTATAGGTCCAATATTAAATTGAGTAAAGAGACTAAACTTTGGTTGGCCATTCCTTCAATATACTGTCACACATACAACGAGCAAAACTTTCTCAAAATAAACTGTCTTCTTGAAGTTCCACAACTGCTTCAAGTCAGCGCTTTTAGACTGTTTATACTCCTATTGCAAGAATTATTTTAATTAGGGATGCCACAGAATATTCCAATATTCATTCAATAAGATTGTGATATTCTAGCAAATGGCAGAGTTAACAATAATGGGGTAACCATATCTTTTTTTCTAATATAATATTTGTGACTGAATTATATTAAGCCACATAATTTTTAGGAACATCAAAACCATTGCTAATAGCCTAATGCCAAAATTATATGTTTATGATAACGATCAAAATTGACATTCCTAATTTTAATAAATGTACATGGTTTTTATTGCAACTGGAACATGTGATAAGAATCATGGCATTTTAAATAAAATTTTGCTGTTATTTACAACTATGCTGTTTGTTCTGTCTTTATGTACCTACAGTATTTGTTCAAATGCTGGAATGCTGAGTCTAAGTAGATCAGGCGGTGTGGTTGTGTCCTCCATTATTTGACAGATGAGTTCATCCATAGAGAACAGCTCAGGCTCCTGACAAGTCTGCAGGGTCTACAAGACAAAGCAATAAAGGAATGGTTTAAAGAAATAATAAGAATCCAATGCTAAGAATTTCTCAGAATGAATTATACCCATCAAAATGAATGCTAGACTTAAGAGAAACATAGGTAATCAGAGATTACAGAGCTCACCTCAACGAATGTTGTCTTTAAATAAGGCAAAGTCACACAATTAACCAACAAAAAATGTACATTCCAAAAATGAAAATATCTAAGCAATTTTGATCTGATACTTTGAAGTAGACCAACATAAAAAATTTAAAGTAGTTCTTCTTCATGAAAATGTAATTCAGCATCTAAAGCAAATTTGAGTTTTCATCTCTTGATGCAACATTTGTGCAAGTTTGGTTTATACAATGTTATAAAAGCCTTAAAGTTTTTTGGTAATAGACCTGCAACCATAACTTTAACCTGGTCTATTATCTGAAAAATATATATGTCGAATTCAGCATCCGAAGCAAGTCCATTAGTGTGCATCCTAAGATGTATCGTCCATGCAAGTTTGCACATTATAAGGCTCATAGTTAATTGGAAATGAAACATACATCAAAAACTAACATTTTCACTCATCCACAAAATGTAGGTCAGATTCAGCATCCGAAGCAAGCCTGGTAGTATGCATCCTAAGATGTATCATCCATGCAAGATTGGTCATTAAAGAACTCATAGTTACTTGGAAATGAAACCTGCACCAAAAACTTTTACTTGTTCACTCAACCGGAAAATGTAGGTCAGATTCAGCATCCGAAGCAAGCCCGGTAGTGTGCATCCTTAGATTTATCATCCATGCAAGTTTGGTCAACATAGGGCTTAAAGTTACTTGCAAATGAAACCTGCTCCAAACACTTTAACCTGTTCACTCAACTGGAAAATGTAGGTCAGATTCAGCATCCGAAGCAAGCCCGGTAGTATCCATCCTTAGATGTATCATCCATGCAAGTTTGGTCAACATAGGGCTTATAGTTACTTGGAAATGAAACCTGCACAAAAACTCTAACCTGTTCACTCAACCGGAAAATGTAGGTCAGATTCAGCATCCGAAGCAAGCCTGGTAGTATCCATCCTTAGATGTATCATCCATGCAAGTTTGGTCAACATAGGACTTACAGATACTTGGAAATGAAACCTGCACCAAAAACATTAACCTGTTCACTCAACCGGAAAATGTAGGTCAGATTCAGCATCCGAAGCAAGCCTGGTTGTATCCATCCTTAGATGTATCATCCATGCAAGTTTGGTCAACATAGGACTTACAGATACTTGGAAATGAAACCTGCACCAAAAAACTTTAACCTGTTCACTCAACCGGAAAAAGTAGGTCAGATTCAGCATCCGAAGCAAGCCCGGTAGTATGCATCCTTAGATGTATCATCCATGCAAGTTTGGTTAACATAGGGCTTATAGTTACTTGGAAATGAAACCTACACCAAAAACTGCACCAAAAATGTTAACCTGCTCCAAAAACATTAACCTGGTCATTCCTTTGCTAAAATTGCAGCATCTGAAACTTTGACTGGTACAATGAAACACACTAGAACCATCTTCCATGCATGTCTAATCAATATAGGACATAGAAGTACTTAAAAAGAAAACTGCTCCAAAAAACTTAACCTTAACCCGGGACGCCGACGCCGACACCGACGCCGACACCGACACCGACGCCGAGGGTATTACATAAGCTCCCCCAACTTCGTTGAGGTGAGCTAAAAATGAAACATACTACAGTACGGATTCAGTAAACAATTCAGACAAGATTTTTTTCCTTACTTTATTTAGACACCACTATACCAGTAATAATATCCAATGCAATGTATTTCAAGTAGCCAACTTTTTAACGTCATGGATAACGCTTCCATGGCCATTTTTCAAGACAAAACTCATAATAAGACTACCTCAGCTGTTTGGAATCCAAGCTGAATCCATTCTTTGGTAGCGAAGTGACCTGACTCAGCAAGAGTGTATCCACAGCTGATGGTGGCTGTGTAACACTTAGGGAAGACGACAACAAACTGGTGGGGAGACTGGACGCAGCGACTCAAGTGGACCCCCTTCTGGAGGAGAATCTCAGGGGGCACCTGTAAATAAAGAAATCAGGGATTTTTTTACAGAGGACAGAGAGGAACATAGAATGTTGAGCACACTATTGATAATTTTTAGCTCTAATGATCAGAGACCAGAAGAGCTTATGCGATAGTAATGCCTCCAGCGTACGTCCGTCTGTCTAGCGCACTGACTGGACTGTCTGTCTGTAAACAATTTTTCAAAATGCTACTCCTCCTACAGTTTTGGTCTGATTTCAATATAACTTGGCACACAAGTAGACTACACTAAGATACATAATTCTGTGTATCGGTTTTTGATTTCGATGAACGATGTTGCCGTGGTTACTAAAAATAGAAATTTCTGAGAAAATCATTCAAAATGCTACTCCTTCTACAGTTTTGGTCTGATTTCAGTGTAACTTGGCACACAAGTAGACTACACTAAGATACATAATTCTGTGTATCGGTTTTTGATTTTGATGAACGGTATTGCCGTGGTTACTAAAAGTAGAAAATTCTGTGAAATTCTTTCAAAATGCTACTCCTCCTACAGTTTTGGTCTGATTTCAATATAACTTGGCACACAAGTAGACTACACTAATATATATAATTCTGTATATCGATTTTTGATTTGTATGAACGGTGTTGCCGTTGTTACTAAAAATAGAAATTTCTGTGAAATTCTTTCAAAATGCTACTCCTCCTACAGTTTTGGTCTGATTTCAATATAACTTGGCACACAAGTAGACTACACTAAGATACATATTTCTGTTTATTGGTTTTTGATTTCGAAGAATGGTGTTACCGTGGCCACTAGAAATAGAAATTTCTGTGAAATTCTTTCAAAATGCTACTCCTCCTACAGTTTTGGTCTGATTTCAATATAACTTGAACATAAAGAGGCTCAATCAAGGATCATTGTTCTATTTATTACTGTTGTAAAGTTTCAATTCCCAACTGCTTATTAAAGTATTTTCTCTTCCTTTGCTATAAGTACAAACCAGTAGAGCTTCAGTCTCGACAGAGACTTCTGGTTTAAATATATTTTCTTTTATTTACCAATTTTAATAATTTTATATTTATTCAAACCCCTATCAAATGTATGCTGATTTTTTTTTGTCTTAAGGTAGGAGTTTTAATTAATATTGTTGTACCCTTATAAATAGTTTTCTATATATTACTAATAACAAGTCCAACAAAAGAAATGTTTATTACATCGGTCTAACAATTTCACTGTTGACTGGCCTGCCGGTCCAACATAAGAATTGTTAGACTGCAACGTCACTGCTAGTAATTAATCATCGTTCAATATCGGCGACATGGAAATAGCCGAAGTTAAGAGCTGCGAGAGTTGTTGCTACCAGCAAGGTTAAGAAGAAGGGAAGAGCATGTTTTGTGATAAATAATTTTTGTGATATACATGTAATAAAAATATAATTAATTTTGTTCTTTCTCAGCTACTGTTTTATATTTACTGATTAAGCCATAATTTTCCATATAAAGTAATTGATAATATAGTGTGTATTGATTAAGCACTGAAGGGTATAACAAAACAGTTATAGACTGGGATTCGAGCAACATATGTTGCCCTCATACCCAGTCAATAACTGTATATTGTACATATATGAAAATATGGTTGAAGACTGATACAATTTCCACACAGTATGTGTAACTGACCATAGCGGTGTCCTCTTTGAGCCAGCGGGGTGAGTTACTGACTAGAGTAGGAATAACCTCCTTCATCACAGATTTAAACTTGGCCTCCTCCTGGGCTGGTACAGCATACCTAAAACATAGATTTAAGGAGTTAAAGTCATGACTAGGTTTTTTAAAGCACTTTTTTTGAAATTGTCATACTTGAGGCAAATGAGGTTAATTGGTATGTATGGGAAAGAAAAGCATGTAATTCTAAAATGCCCACTTCAAGCGACGACTAATGTCTGTATTTAAAAAGAATTGACACATACATCAAATGTTAGCTGCTATCACTGTACCATAAAAATCATAACTACTGTTTTTCATTTTAAAAAGAGACACTAATTTTGCTGGTTTTCTTACCACACAATGTCCCCCTCTCCGTGTAAATACTGGACGTAGGGCAGATGATGGATGTCAGTGGACCAACAGGAGGCAGTGTACAGCATACCGACATGTAGAGTGGGCACCGTCACTCCTACAAAATGTACATACAGTATTAAAGTTAGGAATTCAAGGAATGAAACTTACTGCAGAGACCAACTAAGATGTTTAAAGAGTGTCTGCAATCACAGTACTAAGATTCTAAAGCATTTACGGTAAAACATGGTTATAGCGAACATGCTTATAATGAAATGAACCTTATAGGTAAGTGATTTCTTTCCCATAGGCTTTAAAATGTAATGTAAAGATGACAGATATAACAAATTATGTTTATAATGAAGCAAAATCTTAATTAATTTTTACTGTTATATTTAATGTTTTAAGATTAAAAAATTGAATGTTTACCACACCGATTTCTTAGGGGGTCATCTCAAAAGTTGTCAAATTTTACTATTGGACCCTATGGGAATTTGTTGGAAAAGCGCCAAATTATCACATTTTTCCAATATTTTTTGTATTTTTGCACTAGAGATTTCTTCTTCAGTCAAGTAGATGAAAGTTATTATAAAAAGTCACCATATTGTGAAATTTAAAAAAAGTTGACCATCTTGTTTGGTCTAGTTTAAATTACAAAGTTTATTTTTTCGATGCCTAATACCTCTAACATTGCCATATTGTGGTATAAATACATATCGGTGTAGACGAATTATCGGCACAGATAATTTTTTTGGGTAAAAATAGCAATATTTAGATTGCTATTTTGTTTCCTTTGATGTTATGTTAACAGTTTTTAGTATAATATCCACGGGCGTCTGCAAATATATAAGCCAGTCATGTGTCATTCTTCAGCATCGTGCATTGCTTACAAAATCAGAAAACAGTGACGTTGTTAGAGCCATTTCAGCGTTTTTGCAAAATTATTGTTGTAAAATCACATTTTCAGACCAGTAGGTGTGACAGATGTTAATTTTGTATGTTTGTGGAAGGTGCACTGTCTGGCATATGACTGCATGTAATTAAAAAGCTGTGCAAAAGTCATGTGCACTTGAATTAGATTCGGCCTCGTTAAGCCCGTTTTACTGTCCCTGGTACAGGTCGTAGGTAGAAAGCTATCTGAGATGATAATTCTAGATCAGCAGGAACTGATATAATTAAGTTGAACTTTGGTATCTCTAACTTTGGTATCTTAAGTATTTCAAATACCATGGATTTTTTTAAGTGAATTGGAAGGCCCATCCTATCATTTTTTTAAATTATTTTGCTCTATCTCAATTACTTATCTATCTCATTTTTTTTTTTACTCAGTCCAATCAAATTTGAGATAATCAGGTACCGGTAGTTCTTTATTTTGCAGCATTTACCTGGTACAGGCCCTAGGTATCTCAGCAGGGACTGGGAATGTTGAGGGAGCAGATTCAGGTTCCAGGGATGTCTAAAATTATAATAATCATCAACGATTCTACAATTTTACATTGACAAGGGTAAAAGAAAATTTTATTAAATTTTATTTTTCATTTTGTAAGTCAATGTTCTCTTTTATTATAATGGTATATGCAGAAATATTGAAACCAAACATGCACTGTCTGTACGATGACTTGGTTTCAATGTATCAGATTAGAAGAAAGATTTCCTGTAATACTTACTTGGAGTATTGGTTTTCTTTTTTGGTAGGAAATAAGCTACAGTTCTGTGTCTTTGTGTCTACATGGCCTCCATGGACTGCTATATGTCTGGTTCTGCTACTCACTATCTCCCAGAACTGTTTCTAAAAGAAAATCACAACCAATTTCAATACTAGTGCAAAATTGCTAAACAGTGTGAAAAAAAAACATGGGTAATAAGAGAGTATAACTAGTATCACTAAAAAGCAGGTGTCTGAAAATTAAATTATTTTCCTGGCCATCACTTTTCGATTTACTAAAAAATTTCATATTTAAATTCATACAATAAGCATGAATTCAAATAAAAGCTTATTATTATATATCACAGTGATATTTGTTACTTGGTTTATTATTTATTTAATTTATGAAGGGCTGGGTAGTTACCTCCAGTTCCTCTGTTTTTAGGGTCTGGTCCTTCATATGTTGTGAGGCAGTGTTCCTAGCCATCTGAATGAATCGACCCAAGGACATATTCTTTCCCTGAAAATTGAGCACAGCATAAATTTAATAACATAACTATAAAACATAGAAATTTCTGATTATGTTCAACCAATGTTTAAGTTTCTTTACCTTGACAATACAGTCTTCTTCCTGGTCCTCTCGTTTGACCTTCATTCTCTCAGCCTTGACCTGACCTTCAAGTTTAGATTTCTCCTCAGAAGTCAAGTCATTATAAGACAGCAGAAATTTACAGTATGCATCATATAGTTTAGTGCCTCGATCCTGTGCCTACAATGTAGTAAACATTATACATTGTCAACAATGAAAGAACTCTACACAGGGGAACAGATTCAAAATCAAATTGAGAAAGGATCCAGTGTTTATTCTTGATAATTATCATATATTTTACAGTCAAGGAGAAAGAAAATAAATTCCTCTGCAAACTCAAAAATGTTCATCAATGAGAGAACCCATTAACGCTTCAAAAAAAAAAAAAAAAATCAAAGCAAATACGAACTTGGAAGTAAAATTAAATGCACTTCCTACCATTTTAGGAACATTCATAGCATCAGCCACTCTGGCCCACTTCTTTTTCTCCACTTCATGCCTCATTCCACCAAAGTCCTGAATTGTCCTGTCCAAGTCACATATATCCAGCTCTACACCTCCTATCTACATCAGAAAAATAATACATTATACAGTCATGTCAACTTCAGAAGTTCTGCTAATGGTAACAGCTATCAATAGAAGAAAACTGACCAGTCAGCAAGGGCCCCGCTGAGGGGTAGAAATATAAGGGTGCAGCTCATCGAATGAGAGTTTTACTTGATTACATTTTCAAAAAAAAAATATATGAAGATTATAAGTAACAACTGTATTTTTAAATTTTCAAGACAATTCCTGAATGTCATAAAACCTGTAAATAGTAACCTTGTATTTACACTAAACAAGGAAAACCTTATGTCTTTTCTTCTAAATTTACAATAAGAATTTTTTTTAGCTCTGACAGATTGGGGTTATTATCTGATTACCTGTTAAAATTAACAGCATTAAGGCAGCCAAAAAAAAAAATATTTAAAAAAATAAAATATTGATAGTAAAAAATGATATCTTTTAGAATTCAATAAAAATCATCATAAATCATTGTGTACAGTATTTTAACCAAAATAAAGTATGAATATTATCTTAAATTCATATTTCAGAGAATGTACACATCATTCAAAATTGACCTTTACTTCAAAACAAAGTTCATTTGCAGACAGAGGCGGTACAGTTATTAATCTCAATGTGACAGATAAAGATAATGCTTAGGATTTTCTTCATGTGGAAGGTTAATTTATCCGAAAGGACAAATTGCACAGCCTTCCAAGTTTACAATGGTTTTATTCTCAGCAGTTATCTTTCTTTGCCCATTCATTCTTATGCATAGTTAAGGAATCTACCCCCATCACTCCAGCTCCAAACCAGAAGAAATAGAGAACCAAACTTAGCATCAAAATATGTATTTCTGCCTACTGAACTACCATACCAAATTTGAACTTGATTGGGCAACCATAGACGGACAGACAGAGTGATTACTATAGGGCACCTGCAAATCCTTGCGGGGCCCTAATTATGATATTTATTTTTCAAGAAATGAAACATGTGAATATGTACCTCTGGAATCTGGATTTGATCTGCTGGATTTAAAGCTTCAAGATGTTTTCTGATACACTCTAGCTTCTCCACATTTGGACCAAATCTGAAAAATGCATGTGTATATTACACATTTATCTTAATTATTATTAATCACAAATTACCTTTGGAATGAATTCATAATTCAAATCATTCCTGAAATATACACAACTGACAGAATTTTCTGCTATTTGTGAGAAACAAAATTAATGAACAAGTTACCTATTAAACAGTTTGTGTGTGTACTGTTTCTGAGAGGTAAATCTTATATCTTCACTGATTTTACCTTCCTGAAAAATAAAACATGCACATAAAAAAAATTACATTTCTTTTCTCCAGTACAAATATGATTCAGAAAAAGGATTTATTTCAGCTTAAATATATCAGCTATCTCAGTGTACCTTCCAGCTGGCAGGGGGTATGATTTTACACATCCCATAAGGCTCTGCTCTTGGAGCAATGCTCTGGACGTATTGTAGGGGGCGCTGGAACTCCTCCTCGGTGGGGTAGAAGGTGGGTATCTCAGTAAGGCTTGTAGAGATCTCCCCGGGGGACTGGGGGGTGTCAGACCGCAGGGACTTTACAGGACTCTCTGAATCTCGTAATCTCAGGTTCTTACATCCAACTGAAATGATAATTCATTTAATAAAAAAACATAAATGAAGTTACAGACAAATGATGAGCAATTAAGAACCAGAAGTCTCTGTCGAGACTGTAGCTCTACTGGTTTGTACTTATAATAAAGAAAGAGAAAAGTAGCAGTTAAGACTTAAAACTTTACAAAAGCAATAAATAGAATAATGATTCTTGATTAAGCCTTTTTTTGTGACAAGACTGCAATAAGACTACAACTGTACAATTAGCAATTAATAAAATTTTACAGAATTTTCAATTTAAATTACTATGGCAACATAAATCATCAAAATCAAAAACACAAAACTGATAATTATGTATCTCAGTGTAGTCTGCTTGTGTGCCAAGTTATATTGAAATCAGACTTAAACTGTAGGAGAAGTAGCATTTTGAATGTTTTTCAAAGAATTTCTATTTTTAGTAACCACTGCAACACGGTTCATCGAAATCAAAAACCGATAAAGAGAATTATGTATCTTAGTGTAGTCTAATTGTGTGCCAAGTTATACTGAAATCAGACCAAAACTGAAGGAGAAGTAGCGTTTTGAAAGAATTTCACAGAAATTTCTATTTTTAGTAACCACAGCAACACACAATCAATTTTGAACAAATTTCAAAAACCGATATATAGAAAAATGCTCAATAATGTTTCAACTTGTGTGCCAAGTTATACTGAAATCGGGCTTAAACTGTCCAGGCGTTCATCATTTTGAACAAATGTATTTCAAAAAATTTCTATTTTTAATAACCACAGCAACGCCATTCAAGTCCAAAAGAAAAACTGATATATATATTATATATCTTAGTGTAAAACTTGTGTGCCAAGTTATACTGAAATCAAACTTAAATTTTAGGAGAAGTAGCATTTTGAATGATTTTCACAAAATTTTCTACTTTTAGTAACCATGGCAACACCGTTAATCGAAATCAAAAACCGATATACAGCATTATGTATATTAATGTAGTTTATCTTGTGTGCCAAGTTATACTGAAATTTTAAAAGATTTTTCTTATATATTGTATGAGAAGTAGCATTTTGAATGATTTTCACAAAATTTTCTACTTTTAGTAACCATGGCAACACCGTTAATCGAAATCAAAAACCGATATACAGCATTATGTATATTAATGTAGTCTACTTGTGTGCCAAGTTATATTGAAATCAGACTTAAACTGTAGGAGAAGTAGCATTTTGAATGATTTTCAAAGAATTTCTATATATTTATGTAAAACTTGGCAACAAGGTTGGCCCCACCCTTGCCAAATCAAAAACTGATAAACAGAATTTGTATCTTAGTGTAGTCTACTTGTGTGCCAAGATTTTTTAAAAATACCATTAATTTTTAACAAATTCATGTTTATCTCCTCTTGGAAAAGGGCGCGGCCCTTTTGAACAAATTGTCCCCTTCACAAGGATACTCTGTGCCAAGTTTGGTTGAAATTGGCCCAGTGGTTCTTGAGAAGAAGATGAAAATGTGAAAAGTTTACAACGACAACAACAACAACGACAACGACGACGACATTCGACGGAAAATTTTGAAAAATGCTCACTTGAGCCTTTTTAAAACCAAATAAGAGATAGATAGGGGCCTACCCTTTCACCCTTTGTAGTAATATTTTCCATCATACTTACCACTGTTTTTTCTTGTCTTTGGTTGTTCAGGTGAAGATTCTGAGTTACTGCTGGGATGAGAACTGGGTTCAGACAATCTGGTAACACGTTGTTGTCGAACAGAACGGCGCTCAGGGACATTTGGTTGATTTTTATCATTAGTACTTTTATCTTTACTACTTTTAATATTTGAGCCACTGAAATCTTGACTAATATTTCTCTTAGAAACATCACTACTTTCAGTAGAGGTGGAGTCACTCGATTTGCTAGAGGATCTAGTACTTCTTCTTTCACCATGTCTAAAATTTTTACTAAATTTTAACCTATTTCTTAACAGCTGTCTACCATGTGTTGTAGATTTAAGTGAATTTTTATTCATTTTTCTAAATCTGGAATTTTTAAAAGGGAAATCATGTGCCTCAGACATGAATTCTTTAAATTTTCTCTTATGAGGGAATGTGACTTCGTCATCAGAAGTTGAACGATCTTCAACGTCCTCAAGATCCTCCATGTAAAATCGGAGTGCATTCTGTTTAGCTTGTCTCCGTGGTAACCGCATGGCAATATAGTCATTGGGCAGTGTCATAACTTTGTTGATCTTTGGTTTCATTGGTCGTCTCTTGGTTATTTGTCGAGTCACCTGCAAGGCACACTTAGGTGGCTGTTTATTTAAAAAAAATTTAAAAGATCTAGTTCATTTTTAATTCATCCATATTATGTATATTTATTAATAAATTGGTTCATTACTAGTATTTGTAAATTCAAAACATTCAGATGTAAAATTTAGATCTTTATTTGAAATAAAACATTAACTATCCTGTTAACATTTTTTAAATCCAAACATCAAACTGAATAACATTACAAAACAAGAACCTATACCATAGCTCATAATTCAAACACAAACATAACATTTCTGTGAGAAAGATATACCAAAATTAATACATCTATGCAAAATGCAAACAAAATGTATACAGTCATTAAGCACCAGCAAGTGTATTAACAAAAGCACTAAAATTTATAAGCACTGGCATATTTCATTCATGTTTCATACTTTATTTACCAGGTATATGATGAAAATTGAGAATTTTACTTTAATCATCCCAAATCTCCGTAGATGTTAGTATTTGTATGCAAAAAAGAAAATAAACAAAAAAAGCTTTAATGTCTATGCTTAAAAAATATTCAAAGAAAATCAGTTATTTTTAGACATTTTTGTTTTTTTGTTATTTCGACAATTCACTGTGAAGTATTTTACAGTGATTTATCTCAAAGATAAAATTCATAACAGAAAAAGATTTCCTTAGGCCATGCAAAGTTAATTTCTTGGCTCTCGGGCCTTTTTTTCAAGAAATGTGATGAGTGAGGGAGGCATTTTTTTTTTCTTTTTTATTGCCTCCAAAACATGATGAGGCAGCTTTTTACATTGTACAAAACCTCAAAAAATGATGAGAGAGGTGATATGTTGTTTTTATTTTATTGATTTAGCAATGAAAAAGGCCAATGAGGCACCCTTGGAAGAGATGAGGGAGGGCCTGAGAACCAAGAAATTAATTTTTTATGGCCTTACGGATTGGGAGAAAACAATACATGTTCCTAATAAACCTATACATGTATCTAATTGTAAAATTTTACCTAATTTATCTTCTTTCAAAAATCATTTAAATATAAAAAATAGTTTTCAAAGTTCTTAAAATAAGAAATACTTTATACAATTTCCAGATTAATGTAAAGAAGAAAGTTACTTGCAAATTATATGACTGTGATCAAGTTTTAGTCTTTTTGTAAATGGATCCCTGCGTTGAACTTTCCAAACATATTTTTCCCAATGCTGGTATAGCATTTTTCATCACACAATTTGATCAAGTTCTTTAAATCGATTATCAGAATACAAATACCATCATTCTGAATTTTAAGAAAATGAAAATTAATTATAGAAAAAAGATCAAGCACATTCTACATATACATGTACATGCTACATGCATTAGTAATACCACGAGGACATGATAGCCGGGGGTAAGGGAAACAACCTCTTCCTTTGCTGACGGTTAAAATTGGGAACAGAACAATTATTTCCCTCTTGCATGTTCCTGTCCATGATTAGAATGTTCCTATTTTCATCAACAGATTTACTTTTATAAGTAAAAGAAGACTCTCTCTTGTTTTTCTGAAGAATATGAGAATCGAGAATCTGATGGCTTTTCATGGAATCCAAGAATTGTGATGGAGTGTTTGATTTAAATTGCTCTGTGTTCTTGGTTTCTCCATGTTTTCCTTTATCAACATACCAGTAATTATTGTTACTGCCGTCTAAGAGTTCATGCTGTTCACACTGTTCAAACCAAGGAGAGACTTGAGACTGAGTAACTATGCTGTTATGATTCTCATCAATTTCTGAGGGGTGCATCCGAAATTCCTTCAGAAAGTCTTTTCTGCCTTTAAACCTCACATTATCTGTTTCTGACTCTGACAAAAAAGATTCCCAAGGAATGACGGGCAGCAGTGGTGGGGAGAGGTCAGAGATATCCATTGTTTTCTTTTGGGAACCATTGGTAGGTACTGCCTCACCAGCAGTATCAGAATCTTCTGCTTCCTTCCCGCTCATTTCTTGACAATCACCAAGGTTCCTTAGTAGATCAGGCATCAACTGTGTCTGTGTGATATTGGGAAGCTTGTCTCTTGAATTCTGGGATATCTGCCTTGCAGACTGTTGTGTCAGTGGTAAAAGGTGTCTCTTTAAGTCAGATTTGGGTGTCATCACTGAATCATGTGACAACTGCCAAGGAGAATAAGTGGCAAGCGGTGCATGGTGACTCTTAGAGCCAGAGCAATGTTTCTTTTCTAGATCATAGGATACATGTCTAACAGAATGGGTAATGTGTGGTGCAAGGTTGCTCTGGATTTCATTGGACAAGGTCTCTGCAGAGGGAAAATCAAACAGAGACTGACTGATGTATTGTGGGAAATCACTAAATCGTTGGTCGATGGTTTTTGTGAAGTCAATGACAGGTTTTTTACTGGATTTCCAGACAATCCCTGGAACATGTGGAGGCCTCTGAAAGACATTACTACCTAGCTTAATTGCATCTGTCTTCTTCATAAGTGATCGTTTCAAGGACAAGCAATTGATTGCATGGAGTTTTGGTCGATTGGAACCTGTTTCCTCTGCTACAAATGATTCTTCATTGGATTCTTTAAGCAGGTTTAGTGGTACAATTTGGTCTCCACTGCAGGCCAAAGATTCTGGTGATTTCGCTCCTTCAGGGGCAACATTCAAGCTGTTGTTTACAGAGGGAACAATCTTTGGAGAACCATCACCCTTTACTAAAGAATAGGGCAGGACAACATTGACTTGTCTTCCATTATCACACCTGTTCTGCACCTTGAGGCCAATTCCTAGGTGTTTAACATTCTCTTTATTTGATGACATCTCAGTTTGCTTTCCCTTAGACCTGTGATGAATGATTATTTTGTCTTTTTCTATCTTTATAGTAGTAACACCCTGACTGAGTGATGAGGGTACATGTATGAGTTTTTCTGAGTTTGGATAAATCAGAGAGAGATTGCTGCTACCAATTTCAATATTCTTTTCTGATTCATGCTTTTGTTCTTTTGGTAAACTTAGATCCAGAGGAACATCTTTATCCTGTCCATATGCTGTATTTTTCTCTGAGTTTCTGAACTTATATTCAAAACTTGCTGCAGTATGCCTACATTCCAGATCTTGAGTTTTGTTAGCATCCACAATGCAGGCTTCATTGTTAGACATCAATTCTGTAGAATTGTTTGGCTTTCCTTGTCTTTCATAAAACAGGTCATCTGCAAATGATGGTGAAGTGATCCTCCTGTTATCTGTGATATTTCCCGTATTCCCTTCCTGAACATCATGAGACAAACCTGTATCCTTCATTCTGGAATCCTCTGTAACATCTGTAACATTTCTTAAAGTTGTACTTTCAGAGACATCACAACTCTTAACACTGTGTATGACTTCATGGTCAGGGACTCTTTGCACTTCCTCACAAAAGGAATGGGCAGCAGTCTGTAAAGATGAATCCAAAAAAGTGTTTGGGGGCTCTTCCTCACTTGCAGCATCAGCTTCAGGATAAAGGTGTTCTTGGTTTGATAACGCTATATCTTGTGAGGATGTACAAGTCTGTAACTCTTGTTGGACCACGTTGGAACAAGCTGATTCAAGATTATTGGATTCTAAGTCATGTGTGTTCTCTGGTTGCAGAAATGGCTCTGGAAACACACTTAAACCCCCAGGCTCTAAATCCAGGAAATCTGGTTCCTCTTTCAGAACAAGCTCTGGCATTTCCTGGAAGTGGGTCCATCCATTAGAAGAGAGAAAAGACCGATATTCCTCATCAGAAAGATCTGGTTCTTCCTTCAAAGTAGGCATCTCCCCTACTCCTTCTTCTGTTTGACAGGATGGTTGTGTACTGGTACCAGAATTAGTTTGCTGTTCCTCTGCCTCTACTTTACAAACCCTGATGGCAGAGGTAGCAAACAGAACATCATCATCAGACAACCGAATCTGAATCACTGTGGCTTTCTCTTCTTTGGAATTCTGCTGATCAGCATCTGAATCCAACATATCATCAGTCAACATTTTGATGTCTTCTGTAGCATCTGGCTGAACAGTCTGAAGCATGTCACCATCTGACATTTGGATGACCTCTGCATTCTCTTTATTTACACACTCCCCTTGTGAGTCAGAGTACAATTCAGGAGGAAGATCGTTCTCAGACAGATCATAGAAATCAGGAGGGATAAGTGGAAACAGGTCAGGGAAGTTTGAAGTACATAGGTTGGTGAGAGAAGCATCTATGTTAGTGCTATATGCTGGTGAATACATATTCTGGCATTCCACAAGACAAGTGCAGTCCACCATTCTACCATGCAAACTACAGGCTACATTGTCACTACAAGCAACACCAAGTGCTTTTGTTACCTTGTTAGATTTATTTTGTTCTTCAGTAGGTTCAGCTTTCTTGAGCTTGACAGGTGGAGCCTTATGAGTCAGTGTAGCCACAGCCTTTCTCTTGGAAGCTAGTCTATCCTTTCCCAACCCTCTCTTTCCTAGTCTGTTGTTGTTGATGACCTTTGATGGTGAGCTCTCTTTAGGAGGTGGGGTTTTAACAGGAGTGATGTTCAATGTCCTTGGAGGTCGCCCACGGCGAGCTAGAGGTGACTTGGTTTTGGGGGTCTTGTCTAGTCTTTTGACCCCAGCCAGTCCCCGGCAGGTCTCTGGTGTACCCGCACTGGCCCGGGCGGCTTTCTTACATGGCGTAGTGAATTTGTTAACCTGAAAGTAACATTCAATCTTATTACAAATACGCCTGGTACATAGTACAATCAGATCTGTATCATACCATGATCTACAGAGTAAGACATAAAACTGTTATTTTTGTCAAATGACAAATCTGATGATGTCAATCTATTCATTCAAAAATTGCTTTAACAAAAATGAGACAATGAGTGTTCATTATCAGAAAAACTCAACATTTTTTCATTGGTATATTGCAGAGTGTATGAATTGAATGGTGTAAATATCATTTTATCAGTGTCAGTGTTGAGTGTGTTTACTGACCGGTGTAAATATCATTTTATCAGTGTTTGTGTTGACTCAGACTGTGTTAACTTTGTTTACTGACCGGTGTAAATATGGGGTCCTCTGTTCCGTTACTGATACTGGTAGAGGAGGAGGTAGAGGAACTGTCTATACCGTTACGCCCACTCAAACCGCTGTTATCATAGCGACTGTAGTTGAAGAAGTCCAAATGTGGTGGCAAGAGAGAGGTTCCTGTATTGAAATACATAAAGTTATTACAATGGACAATTATGCACTGCATATTATGAAATAAAATAGTTGATAAACAAAAAGTAAATGTGTAACGAAGGAAAAAATAAAGAAGTTTTTAAGAACATATATGCCTTGTATGTGGCAATATTTAAATGAATTCTCAACCTCCTGCTCTACAATTTGACTGAAGGACAAGTCTGAATCACATACTCCTTGGGTGCGTTCAACAGTGTAGCTGCTATGTAGCCGCTACGTAAAGCTACACTTTTGAACAGAGAGCTAAACTAGCCGCTACATAGAGAGAACTAGCTTTAATATTTGATGCTAAGTACCAAATCCAAGATGGCCTCCTTACTTACAACTTTGCAACACAAAACTAAACGGTTTTAACTAACAAGGGTATTATTTTCTCTATCCAAGAGAATTAAATGTAAATTTACATGTATATTTCCGCTTGAAATAAAATCTTTTTGTTCCAAAAATAAGTTTTTACAGAAATATTTCTATCCAAAATCTGACACTTAGCAGCTAAGCTAGCTGTCCGTTCAATAGAGATAGATATCTTACACCTAGCTGCTAGGTTAGCCGCTACGGTCTTGAACGCAGCCCTTGTGTCATACTCATATAAAATCTTTCTTCAATTACAAAGAAAACTATACAGTTATTGTACCTTGACATTTTTCTAATGTCACTGTAGCAGAGTCATGTTAAACTTTACTCTACTCTACAATACTTTTATTTACCCTACATTAAAAAGTTATGAGCAAGGCAAAATTTAAACTAAAAAGAAATGCTCCAGCTCTTGGGAAAAAAAATTAAACAAAAAATACACTTGATTATGGGGAAGGGGTAAAAAATGTTATAATGGCAGATTCCCTGTACCTCTGAGACATAGGAAAGTCAGGAAGTCCTCTGTCTTTGCCCTCTTTGGGAACACAATAGTTGATGATGTTGTAGCTTTAGGAGTGGGAGTAGAGCTGGATTCTGAAGGGGTAGGAGTAATAGTGTTGGGCTGGTTCATGGCAAACTTCCTCTGGGCACGAACTTTGGTCCTGAAATATACCCAGTAATTCAATGTATATCTACTTAAATGTTTCTATAAAATAAATTTCATTGTCAAGAGAGATCTGATTAAGTAATTTCATATCAAATTATTTATTAGATTTACATGTAACTTCTTTAATGAGACACGTTAACTACTCAAAGATTTCTTTACATTTAACATATACATATACAATTGAATCAAACATCAATTAATGCGTTTTTAAATTCAGAACAACCCCTGAAATAAAAGTACAAGTTAATAGCAAAATAATCTGGATCTCAATCATCCTATAGAAGATTTCTTACTTCTTTGACTGGAGAGTAGATGTGTTGATTGGTAATGATACTGTTGAGTCCTGACTGGTCTCGTCTACACTGTTTACAGACTGACCACTAGTGACTTGTGTGGACTGAACGTTAGGTGAGCTATAGCTCCGAGTCATCCTGGTTAATGATGGCTTGCTTTTGATTGGTCGAAATCCTGCATCACTTGGCGTCTTCCACTCTTCTGCTTCATCTGGTTTAGACGTTGAAGTTTTTTTCGATTCTTGCAGTGATGCATACAAAGCCTTCTTTAACTCCCTTTCCTCTTTCCATGATAAGCCAGCTGTGATATCCTAAAATCACAAGCAAAAAAGTATACCAGTAATAGTTTAATACAAACCCCACCAGTAAATATCTTGAGAAGAGAGTAAGTTGAAAAACCTTGTCTCCAATTGACTCCAAATTCAGTTGTTTACTTAGTTGTGACAATGAAATGTGTTCAAACTGGTGGTACATATATATACAGGTATAAAATATCTTGTAAAATATAATTAGGTTAAGTTCATATTCACTTGCCAAGAGTGTCTGATATGCTACTCTTTTCATAAACCCCTGGCCTACGGTGTTAAAAAAGTTGGGGATTTTTTCTCAAGTTGTGATTGGAGTGGATCACCTTTAACAAATGAACATAACTCAATACTTTCTTCTGAATTTTTCTTTAAAAAATTTATTTTTAAATATACATTTTATTTCTGTCAATGATGCAATCTGTGCGTGCCTGGTTAGATTCTAGATAGCAAGATGAAAACAATCCCTTCTTTCGACAGCACCATAGGCCAAGGGTTTAAGAGGAGTGTAGCATATCAGAAACCCTTGATTAGGGAAGATGGGTTAAATTTGGTATGTCGACAACCAGGCATATGCTGATGTCTGTCCATGATCTTTATAGTATTTTCTATACATATCTGATTCACTAAAACTTGTTGATCATGGTTATGTATACTACCCTCCTTATCGCGACTAATATTCAATGTACCAAGAACAAAATTTACTTGGTATACTGTATGTGCATATAAACTGATTTATACAACACTTTGAGCATTAACTGGGTATAGAGTAGCTTGCATAATCAAGCAGTAGCACTACACATGTCCACATTGATGTGTTTCATATTCATTAATGAATTATTAACTGTATCGAAGCATTAGCCCATCTTTATCAACATTAGAGTGACTAAAATATATACAGGGTCTAACCCATCTTTTGAGAACAAATACAGTATATCAATATTGGAGCAACTTTTTGATCTGTTGAATATGTGTTTGTCAGATGGTCTCTCAATACACAAAGGCGGGTGTTGCTAAAACACGGAACGGAAAACGGAACGGAAAGCGGAACGGAACGGAAAACGGAAAATTTTTGTCAAACAAATAACATAGATTCGATATAAATCAGATAAAAGAGCAATATTCTTGTTGTAAAAGTCATTTCTAATAAAAATTTATTGTAAACTATTATCGGGTATATATTTATGAGTCATACACACCCTCCGTGGAAAAATGGTACTGAAAGAAATTCGATCCCCCCCCCACCCACACACACACACGAAATAGGATTTTCGTGTTTGGGCAAAGAACAATCCCCCTTTTTTTGCTTGTCAAATTTGTTGCATGTTGGAAATTTATTACTGAACCCCCACCTCCCCTTTCAATTTGTTTTCAATGTCTGTAAAGACAAAAATAACTAGTTATTCTATTCAGATTATGCACGCAGTGTCGAATTCGCAATCATGAGAGGGGGATCGAGCGGCAGTCTCGGGTCTGTGTAGTGTCCCACAGCCACATTAAAAATTGATTTATTATACCTTATATATATTTTGGAAACAAAAAGCGGGGCAGACCTATTACAACTTCTCGAACCTTTCCGATGAGCGGGAAAACAAACTCATTTTTTACGGGTTCATTCATATACACCCCCCCCCACCCATACATACACACATATGTACCGCAAACAAACAAAATTTAACTTCATTGAATGCAAAAATTCTGCATTATATCTACCACATGAAAGTTTTCCAACTTTGTCTATCCGGAATTTAAATATAAATAGAAAGCGACTCTATTTTGAATAAAATTTTAACAACCTGTGTGTATAAGAGATGTTTATTCTAGCTTGCCGTAAAGGTTTGCCCTGAACGTAATCTTAATAAATTTGCTTTACATTGTATTTCTCTTTCCATGGTTCATCTAGATATCAAATGCCCCCCCCCCCCCCCCCCCCAGTAGTACCTTTTAACTACGGAAATGTTCGTTCAAGTTGACATCCTCACACTTTTTGTGAATGTAATTAATGTAGTAAGTTAGTGTAAAAAAAAGTACTGAAAGATGTTATAGTTGGAACTTATCCCCCCACCCGAATCAAACAATTTTTTTTCCTTTTGTGTTTTTGCTTGTCAAATACTTATCAAGTTCGTTTGCTCCCCCCCCCCCTTTTCAAATTCGATTCTAAATGACCGCTATGTCAGCGATTTTCGTAAATAAGAGACTGAGCATGACAAAATCAACTTGCATTTAATAGTTTGGGATTGAATATGTACAAGATATCAGTATCGTTTATGATAAAATTTGTGTATTTTAAGTGATTTAATCCAAAATAGTATATTCCGTTTTCCGTTCCGTTCCGCTTTCCGTTCCGTTTTCCGTTCCGCGTTTTAGCAACACCCCACAAAGGCCACCCTGTGCATCTCAACATTGTAAGCACATTATTTAATTTTATGATGACCTTGCTTGTAATGCAAGCCAATGCATCCTCAAATGCACTGAAGGGACATTAATTAATATACTTAAATATAAAGGTTGTGTAACATCACTAATAAAATGTACATGCTTGTATCTCATGTTTCAATTTATTTAGAAAAATAAGATGGCCATTTTTGAAAACTTACATAACTTTTGGGTGAGATGTTTCTCTTGGGTCTCCTAGATCTGTGGGGCACTGCAGGCTCAGCTACAACAGGGGGCTTCTTACTTCCAGAGGAACTCCTTCTCCCAACCATCTTTGAAAATCTTTCTATCTTCATACAAAAGAAACTAAATGAAGTAACACATACATAAAATAATTAAAGAACTGCAGCTCTTATAATGCAAGTTTTAAAAAGCTTGTTTTTAAAAAGGGGTTTTCTGGCAATAGTCTAGCTGCCTCTTTATGCTAATCCACAGGCATTTTTAATCACCCATAAAAAATGCAGCATATCAATGTTACACTGAATGTATTTCAAAAATTAAGACTTTTTTTTACTTCTCTTTCAAATTAAATTGTAGCATTTACTGTTATCTGAAGTGTTTTTTTTTTAACAAATTCAATGAAAAATTGAAATCAGTAAGTACAATCATAATCCTTTTCACTTTCCTTTTTCTTTATATATTACAAATGTCACAGGGTGAATTATAATTAATTGATTAATATTACTAATTATCATTCATATCATTTTCATATCTTATTATAAGGCATCATTTTCTTTTATTACACTTTCATGTTAAATACTAAAATCTGATTGGTTTAGACGCAGTTAACAATCCGTTCGATTACCCTGAGCCTTAGCAACACACGTGACAACGGGTAACACAACGGTAATGCCACATGCGTGGAAATTATGCGCGTGAGGTTCACCGTAGAATTCTCAAAACGTCCGTTGCGCGTTTGAAACAACCGGAATTAACTTGACGTCAATAAAAGCTTGCGTCCGATATAGCTTACTTGAAAACAACAAACGACAGACGATACATGCTTGCGAGTGTAGGAAACATGCTTGCGAGCCAGAAATAATGAAACTTTATATGATAAATGACTCTAATTCGAGTATCAAACAAACAATAAGGAGATTAGTGAACCGGTGAGTGTGAAAGCTTTCTATACATGAACGTAAAGACGATCGACGGTTTTTATTTTGCTGACGTCCTAAATCAATAAGACATTCAGTATAATAAAATAAATGGTGCCTGTTTTGGAGGGTAACATTTGAAATTGACACCCCTCGGAAAACCATTGTCAACCTCCGCTGACGCGTCGGTTGACAATGGTTTTCCTTGGGGTGTCAATTTCAAATGTTACCCTCCAAAACAGGCACCATTTATATAATAGTAACTAGTGAATTCCGTTGTCACTACGGAATTTACTATTTTCATTCACGGCCTTATTCATTCATTCATTAATACGGGTGAGTGGTCAGTGAGAGTATCCGAGAGTGTGAGTAGTCAAACTGGTTTTTCTATGTCTCCTGCGCATTCGCACCAATACTAACTTCTCGAGCACTCCAACCTTAGACTTTGGGGAGGGAAGACGCTCTCTCTCCCCAACATAACTTTATATCTTACGATATTGTGGCATTCAGTCTAGGATTACGGTAAGAAATAATTGTTATATTATTTCTTAGTATTCAATTATTATCCAGTATCTATTTGATCATTTTATTTAACTGAAGTGATTTCTAAATTATATAAATTCATAAGTTTAACTTATCCGCGTAAAAGTGTGAGAGAGGTGAGGAATATTAAATACATGTTTTATTATATTGCAGATCACCCTTTTTCTGTTTATAACGTTAATTATATAAAAGACATCGAACCCAGCAGCCGTGTTTGTGTGTTCATTTCTTCATTACAAATACCTAGATAAAGCTGTGACACATCTATCACCCATCTCTCCTTCTTGTGCCATACAAATTATGTCTTTTAAAATGTTTTACTAATGCGCTGATGGAATTGCCCAAATACCAGCCAAGAAGCTAGAAACCTCAGAAAAATTCATTTGGAGTTTCCATGTAAAAATTGTGGAAAATCAGACATCAGTAATTTATTTATCTTGTTTGTCAGAATTTTTTTATTGGTCTGTTTTTGTTCAGCCTGAATAAAATTTTTCGAGACTAAACATCAATGTCAAAATCATTTCAAAGCAAATTTATATAATTTCCATTGCTTGAATAACTGTACAACAGCTGTCACAGTTGCGCAGCACAGTTAAGGTTACAAAAAGGAGGCGGAGCCTAATTTGTACGGGAAAACTTGACTATGACATCATACACAATATACGTCATACAACATTTCTTTAAAATACTGTAGACGTACTTTTTTCCATGGGGTCATAATTCCGCGGAATCTCAATTTCTGTTTAATCCGCGGGTAGAAAATTACGCGGATTTCTTAGACTGTCACTATATGCTATACATTTATATTAAGTACGCTAGGACATATTTCCGCGGAAAGTTTGTGTCCGCGTACATAGCGTAAATTAATACCACGCGGAAAAAAGTACTTCTACAGTACCACAAAATGAGCTTATATGCTAATTTAACCAGTAAGAAATCATCAAACTACATAAAAACTTACTACAACATGTTGTTTTGTCGTTAGTTAAATCCCACATTACAAGTTATAAACAAGTCACTGATCGCAATACACTTGTCAATATGACGTCATTTCTTACAACGTGACGTAATTTGTATGCAGTGAGAGATAGATCAAGTAATGTTTTCTCAGCAAAATATGTATTCTATAATTAAATAAAATATTATTTACAGATATTCTATGGGCCAATAACTTGAATTTAATGTCTTATTCACTATTTTATTAATATATTTTCTGTACATTACGTATTTAGTTGACACTGCCGTATATTTGTATGCAAGTTCATAGGAGGGTAATGTGGGGGGTCTTAATAAATCGATCTAGTGCAAGGGCATACACTCTATGGATCAAAGTAAGCTTTTACATTTTAACTATAGAACTATTAAGGTATCTGAAAAGTGATGCGATCCTGAAAATCGAAAAAACAATTTAATTATATCAATATTTCATGCCGCTGACCAGCAAAAAATATAGCATTCTGTCATACAAGTATAATTTTAACAAAGAAATTGCAGAATTTAGACAGGATCGCAGCACTTTTTAGAAACTACAATGCGTGTTGAAAATATTCATATACTAAACTTGGAAATTTAACTTGGTTATGCCCTTGCACTAGTGATATTTATATGTATCATCAATACTTCAAGTCAATGTGCTAAAATCGCGTGACTGTCGCATCACATGACTAGTGTTAATATAAAACATAATCGTCCTTGATATGTAGTCATTAATCATAATTACAATTATCCGATATAAATGATGTACTAAAAATAATCACCATCCTGATTACGAATACATTTTTAAATACAAAATTTAGTGGATATTTCCATTGCGCACCTTAACTGTGCTGCGTGGGGATGGATAAGTTTTATTGCAATGTTTTACATTGTGCTTACTTTTATATTACCAAGAGCAGGACTTCTCAATACTCATTGTTATCAAAATTTTGTTCCACATGTTCAAGAACTAACTGGCTCTATGGTAACAAATCAGCTCTGATTAAGAAATCTGATTGCTCAATTAATCTAAAGGTGACATACCTAAGATACTCTTTTTAAAATTTCATTTGAATTTCTGAATATTTCCAAGTTAAAAACTATTAGACCTAATGCATCATAGTGAATTTTTTTAAATTGTAAAAAAATCACGAAAAAAAATACAATTTAATAGGTACATAAAGCTACTTCGAGCAGCTAAAAGTATGTAGGCAATTAAATTCACATTCAAGATATTTAGATACGTAGCTAAATGCACCAGACCTTATCGTCGTTGATATTTAAATAGCATGATGAAAAAATGCACCAAAGATCCTTTTCATCAGAACGTATTGCTTTAGTTTACATTTACCTGCTGAATGTTAAAAATCGATTTACATAAGTAAATGCATCAGCTTAAAAATATGCTTTTGATTGCGTATCATCTCTTTTCCCTTGTCTTTGTGCAGCAGAGCACCCAACTAACAACAAAATCATGTGCTTCCGGTTAATAGAAAAAGTCGATTTCCTTTAAAATGAATGGTTTAAAAGACGGTCAAATTAATATTTGGTTTTCAAACAAATATAATGTATTACCAAAACTAAGTTTTCTCATCAGAAATATCATTACCGTCTCATAATGGAACAATGATTTCTTTATTCATATCTTGGAAAACTATATTGACAAATTAAATCTTGATATTTATTTACTGCGATCCGGTCATTTTAAACATGGTGGTCACTGCAGCAAAACAGCCGGTCGAAGGATTCAAAAATGCATTTTTCTCTGTGATATTCGCGTTAACTCTAGCAAATTGTGCTCACAACGACAAATTTTCAGAAGAGCTATTTGTAAAACCCTTATCTAGTGGACATGTCATGTTTCATTTTCAGTTTACAACTGTTTGGAATGTTTCGATCGATAATCCTGAATCATGTAAGCACATGAACACTTTCAGGATATATCATTTACAATTATTATTGTTATTTTAAGTCTCTTGCTAGATGTAGATCTGTAGCTCACTTGTCTTAAAACAATTGGGATGCATAACCAGAGAGCTCCAGTGCCACCATAGAAAGTTGCACTTGATTTTGGATTATTTTTATGCACCCGTAAACGAAGTTTCGGGGGTATATAGTTTTTGTCATGTCCGTCCGTCTGTCTAGCTGTCTGTCTGTCTCTCTGTTTGTCTGCGAAAACTTTAACCTTGCGGATAACTTTTGATTTAGTGGAGCTATGACTTTCGTATTTCACATGTGTATTCCTTGTGACAAGACCTTTATTTGGGTAGCACCAAATTTGACTTTTGACCTTGACCTTGGAGTTTGACCCACTTTTACACAAAAATTCTAAACTTTTACTTTGGTCATATCTTTTGAACAGTAGATACCGGGACATTTATATTTCACATATGTATTCTCTGTGGAAAGAGTTTTCATTGGATACCAACAACCATGACCTTTTGACCTTGACCTTGGAGATTTCCGTCCATGTGAAAAAACCATTAACCTTGGCCATAACTTTTGAATGGAAAGAGATAAGGCTTTCATACTTCACATATGAAATCCTTGTGAGAAGACCCTTCTTTGGATACCAAGAACTTTGACACTTTGACCTTGACCCTGGAGTTTGACCTACTTTTAAAAAGCAATCATTGACCATAACTTTAAAAGGGTTATGGCTAGAGCTTTCAAACTTTACATATTTCATCCTTGTGACAAGACTTATTTAGGTACCACCAAATTTGACCCTTTGACTTTGACCTTGGAGTTTGACCTACTTTTCAATATTGGTAACCTTGACAATAACTTTTGAAGAGCTAGGGTTAGAGCTTCCATACTTCACATATGTATTTTTTTGGCAAGAGCTTTCATTAGATACCAATAATCTTGACCTTTTGACCTTGACCTTGGAGATTTACTTACTTATGAAAAAACTCTAACCTTGGCCATAACTTTTGAACGCCAAGGGCTAATCGTATCATACTTCACATATGTAATCCTTGTGACAAGACCTTTCATTTGATATCAAGAATTAAGACCCTTTGACCTTGACCTTGGAGTTAGACCTACTTTTTAAAATCGGTAACCTTTGCCATAATTTTTGAAGCATTAGGGCTAGGCCTTCCATACTTCACATATGTATTCTTTGTGACAAGACCTTTCATTAGATACTAATTGCATTGACCTTGGAGATTTCGGTACTTATGAAAAAAATTTAACCTTGGACTATTTTCATATTTTTCAACTGTATTTCCAGTGAAAATACCCTACTTTGGATACCAATATATTAAATTTGCATGTAAGAAAAGTTTAATCTTTGCTATGTTGCCATACGGAGGCATCAGTGTTTCACACACACATCTTGTTTTTAAATATATTCAATCAGTGCTTATTATCTGTTCAAGATATATTACTATAGTCAGGTACGCTTCACACAAATTGTTCCGACAAAAATAGTTCCATCATGATTAGGTAGGTAGATTTGATATTACTGTTTATGATTAGAATAATGCTGTGTATGTCATATTTATACGTTAAAGAAACCAAAATTAACGTAAAAATATTTTTAGAAAATCACTTTCCCCCCGAAATGCAAATAAAAAATATTAATATTCCTAGTAAGCTTGCTCCCTCCTCAGTCCTTTTTAAACATGTTTAATAACAGAGAATATCTAGGTCATTCTTCGATTGAAATTTTTTCACAGATGAATGGATTATTCTATATCAACAATTGTATTAAGTTCATGTTTATTGTTTGTTAATTATCATACAATTTCCTTTTAGAAAAAAAAATTAATCATTCTGTGTATTAAATTGTGAAGAAAAAAAAGTTCACCAGATTTCTCTGCAAGTAAAGCATAATTTTTCTGCCAAATGCCAAGCTACGGTGATGGCCTAGCTAGGCCTATATTTTCTTATTGAAAATTCAAGTAAATTGAAAAGTCGAAGTCTTGTAAATAATCCAGAATGGTTATACAACCCCGTACCTGCCATCGTAACTTCTTGGCAATACAAATGTGTTTCTCCGAGCTTGCCAGATGCGTTTGACATTCTCATCGCACGTGTGAAGACCAAGGCTAACTGGTCTATTTGCACTGTTTGCTAGGAGACTGGGTGACAGTAATGCTGCGTACTCATGAACTTAACACCAGTTCCATAACAACAAAGTGCAGTTTTTTTTTTATAGAAGTCACTGTTAAATCTAAAAGCCGAATATCTTTGGATATGGGGTAACCCATATCTATTCTTGTCAAATTCTTACCTCAACTGTACAAAAGCTCATTTTCAAAATATCCCTTTGACCTCTTTCAACTACTCTCACAGATTTGATATCTGCATGAAGTGCATTGGATCAAATCATCTTACTGGCAAAATGCAGTGTAAACAGACAAAATTTCAGATGATCTCAATTTCAGGCCCATGAGGGCTATTTACCACTGTTATAAGAAATGTTTTGTTAGGAAAATAGTACTAGTGACTATTTGAGATTATAGTCCAAAAAACTTGTCCAAATACATCAAGAAATTGCACAATTTTTTGTGAGCAATGAATACCCTTTTCCATTAGGTGGCACCGTAGCTCTCCAATCTGTCAGTGTATTTTTTTTTGTTCAGAGAGCAACAGTTCTGCAGCTAGTCTCTTGCAAGAATTTTTAACCTTTATGAGACATCGCCATACATAGGTGAAAGACTTCAACTTTATACTTGACTCAGCATTCAGGGTCATTAAGCACTGCAGTAAGAGTTCTTCATCTTGGCAAGGCCTACAACAAAATTAAACCTCATTATTTAATGTCTAATCCAAAATGGCAAAAGACTCATGACTTTTACTTTGATTGCTGTGTGTTTGGCAAAGAAACAGTTACTTCCTGTGTTTAGGCTTTGGGGGGGGGGGGGGGGGTAAATCGTATTTCAAGTCAAATGATATTAAATAATTTTTTCCCAGGACGGGAAATATCGGTATTTACCACCGGTAATTCCCACCACTAGTATTTCCCAGCAAACCCTGATCACAGGATATTCAAAGATTAATGGGGATGGGTAGAAAATGGGGGGGTTCACCATAGGTATTCAGCTGTTGACATCTAGAGATTTTGTATTCCACGAATCAAATGTTTGAGGTTGATTGATTATTTTGTTGTTCAAAATTCAATAAAGTCTTGCAGTTACTTCAGTTAAAAAACAATTAAACCACGTTTTTTGTTTTGAATAGCAAATGCTTGTGATTGTCATGTATCAGATGGCTTAACTAAAAGTTGCTGTTATTTTTTCCTTCAGTCCAACACTATCACCTGTTTCCCAAATCACTTGGTGATGTTTTAACAACTTATAAAGTGAAAGAATTGCATCTGAGTCAAACACAAGGACTGTGGAGACATGATAAATGGGGCTACCCTCCAGAAGATGCACCCCCAGGGGTAGAGTTGTGGGTGTGGTTCCAACCTCATGTTGGGTAGGTTATAAACTATATTTTATGATAATCAAATTTGTCTACTTCAAATATATTTTCAATTCTTTAACAATTTCATTCTAAACATTTGATAAATAAAATAATTATTTGGTTTAAGAAAATGGACAGTAATAAAAGGAGAGTTTAAATTGTAAACATTTCATACTTTGAATGAATTTCACAGAAAGTATCTAAATTCTTTTGGCCAGTTCTGTGGTAAAAACAATTAGCACACTCTAATTTTTTCACAGTGTGGATAAGACCTGGGCTGATCTTGTGAATGCTTTATCTGGCTTGTTCTGTGCCTCTCTGAACTTTATGGACAATAAGTCAACGTTGCAGCCTCGATGGAGTTTCCGCCCCACAGGATTGGCCTCTGAGTTTAACAGCGCTGATACACGGTTCATCAGGTATTCAACACTCCCAAGAGAGGTGGTCTGTACAGAAAACCTAACTCCATGGAAGAAACTTCTGCCATGTGGATCCAAGGTAATAAAGATTTATATTTTGTAAAGAAAGCTTCTATATAATCATACACATTGTAACCTGAAGAATCTTCAAATCCTTAGTTTGCATAAATTATCATGATTATGTCAATTGAAGATTTCAGTTGATACTTACAAATGTCATAAATGTTTTATCTTTATAGATTGGTCTTGCCAACTTGCTTAACTCAGTAAAGCTCTATGATGGATTTTATCATTCACTTGGGGTCCATGTCAGATCTGTATGTCAGGTAAGGAGGCTAGTACTGAATCCTTTTTTAATAAGTTAAATAATGTTTTAGATTACACTGAGGTGTGTTGGAATGTAAAGAAGCAATATAATATATAAATTGTTTAAAGAAGAAACAAAGTAAAATTATATAATCATTGTATAATGCTTGGAAAGTTAATTTAGTATAAATTCACATATCTTTATGTAGAAAAAATATAATTGCATGGCAATCTGTGAATGATTTACATGTACTGATTTTGTGTATTTTAGGATTCCCAATGTCACACACAGGCTACAGAGCTAAAGCAAACACTGACTGTAGTATATGATCCTACTACAAATAAAAACAGCAAACAAGGTGAGAAACGAATCTGATACTCCTGTAAGGTTTATGTTGATATAGTATGTAAATATCTTAAATTCTATACCCTGTTTTGTTTTTCCCCTCTAGACTGGAGTTTTCAGAGTATGTTTGACAGAAGTCTACAGTCCCAGTGTCCTCTGGCTGATACCAGGAAAATCTATGTAGATGTGACAACACAGGATGTAAGTTTGATACCCCCAAACATTCCAATGCAGTGAATTTCAGTATAGATTAAATAATATCATTCACAGTATCAAAAAAAAAATATTTTAATAGGGTCAACAAACATTTCATGATATAAATTCTGTCGTGGGTGAAGTAGGGTGATTTTTTCTTTTCTTTAGACTTATCCCAAATTTACATTGACCCCCCTACCAGATTATACATTGAATCAAAAGCGACCTGGAGAGGAGAGGAAGATTGCTGTTTATGAAATAGGAAATCATTTGTCAATGAACAAACTAAATCTGAGAGCTTCATATGAGGAGAAAATGAAATTCACAAATTCCTCTCTGCCGCCCATCTATGCCAACAGATTTGTCACAGGTAATGTCAAAATTGTGACAATCAATGTCAATTTTTTTGACAGGACTGGTGTGGCTGCAATAACGTTGCCCTCTCCATCTTTACCATTTTTTTGGGTTTTTTGGTGTGAAAATATCAGTCTCTTAAGAGAAGTCTACATTATTGCAGCTAGGACTGATAATGTTAGTGAAGTTTGTCACAGGTTTTGGATAGAAATGCTATCTTATTTGATTGGGAAATGTGTCTGGAGATAGACTTGTCTGATGACTGGACACAGCCAGTTGGACAAACATTTATGTTGAGTTCTGTGCACAATAAATTTTTTTTTTTTGAAAAGTGTATTGTATGTTTTTACAAAAAGGAATGTTGCATTTCTAACTCAAAATGGTCTTTTAATATGTATAATACATGTACACGTACAGTATATATTCAACATGATAATCGCCATGACAACCAAAGATGCAAAATTTCAGTAACATTTTTCCTGTCTCCTGTAATATGTTTATAATTATGGAATGTTCTGACTTTGCAGGATATGGATTGGAGAGAGGTGGTGTTACATGTATGATCTACAACACCATGGAATTCAACACTACTGTTATCTTCATGGAGACTGTACCCTGGTTCCTGAGAGTGTACTTCAGCTCACTAAAGATAGAGAACAATGGAAGGGAACTTAAACCTTGTGTGTATACATATAAAGTATAGATTAAATATGTGTACATATAAAGTATAAATTAAATTGTATAATGAATTGTAACTTTTAAGAAAACATTTTTAGCTCTACTGGTCAGAGAACAGAAGAGCTTATGCGATAGTAATGCATCTGTCATCCGTCCGTCTAGCTGTCTAGCTGTCTGTCTGTCTGTCTGTCTGTAAACAATTTTTCAAAATGCTACTCCTCCTACAGTTTTGGTCTGATTTCAATGTAACTTGGCACATACATGTAAGTAGACTACACTAAGATACATAATTCTGTTTATCTGTTTTTGATTTCGATGAACGGTATTGCCGTGGTTACTAAAACTAGAAATTTCTGTGAAATACTTTTAAAATGCTACTCCTCTTACAGTTTTCGTCTGATTATAATATAATTTGGCATGCCAGTAGACTACACAGAGATACATAATTACCAGTTTTGTGTTTTTCATTTTGATGATTATTCTATTTATTGCTTAAAGTTTATGTCCCAACTGCTACTTTTCTCTTCCTTTATTATAAGTACAAACCAGTAGAGCTACAGTCTCGACAGAGACTTCTGGTTAGTTTATATTTTTAATTAAACCTGTCCAATTTCCATCAGGCTTTATTATGTTTTTTTTCTATAGATAAAATCAACTTCATCCCAGCAAAGGACCGAGCCAATCCATACCAAATGGAGATAGTGTTTCGTCTTTTTGCCAACTCAGTCACTAAGATCACATACTCATTTGAGCGAGCCTTCCTGAAGTGGACAGAGTATCCACCAGATGCCAATCATGGCTTCTATGTCAGCTCTGCTGTGATATCCAGTGTGTTACCAGTAGCCAGTAATTATACAGCCATTCCCCAGTCTGCATCACTTCTGGAGGAAAGGTGAGAGGTTTTACCTTACATTTATAATTTTTGTTCACTTAACATTTTGTCTGATTTCTCAGTTAAAAGGTAGAAAATAAAAACAGTATTAAGCCAATTGATATTGCACTAAAGAAGGATTAGCTCCAGTGACAAATTTGTTTTTTGATTAAATGGTCAAACTCTTCTCTGTCTTTTTTGGTTAAATTATTATATGAGCACATTATACATTATGTCATATGGTTGCACTGTTGCACAGAATATAATGTAACTCGTGATTTTTAATACTAGTATTGGTAAAGGTAATTGACTTTTTCTACTTTCAGTTTCTCCGACAGTTCCGGGTCATTTTTCCTGCGGTTACACACAGAAGCTTTGCTGGTCTCCCTGCCCACTCCTGACTTCAGCATGCCCTATAACGTAATCTGCCTAGCCTGTACAGTCGTTGCCATCGCGTTTGGTTCCCTTCACAATCTTACCACCAGAGAATTCACTGCTTCTGACCCAAACAAAAAGAAAGGCCTTATATCTAAGATAAAGGCTTACTTTAACAAGGATAAAAATAAAACTAAGGAGGAAGGTTCTGCAGGAGAACCAGACAAATCAAGTGAAAGTGATAATGATAATTCAAGTAATTCAAAAGAAGAGACAAAAATAAAAGACACAAAATCTGATACATGATCACTCCCTGAACTTTTTTTAAAGCAAACATCGATACTCTATATGCAAGAACATATTAATTTGTTATCCATTGTTGACTGTGTTATTTCTCGAACAACACTATATTTTTTTTTTTACAAAATGAATGCTTTTGTTCTAAAAGTCATTTACACCCAAATCTGATTTTGATTCCATTTTTGAATATCTGAATGTGTATTTTAATAATTATTTGTGTACATGATACATCCTTTTTTGTGAACTTTGTTAAATATATCAGTGATAGTGAAACAGTTCATCAGGTGTAGTAGGAAGATAAAAGAGGCAACACTAATGTTCAATCCATGTGCATAAAAATTTGTTTATCAAAAATGCATGAGGTGCAATTGTAGGTAGATGTTCATTGTTTTCTTCATCAAGGCATTCAGGACTTGTTCCAATCATACTGAATTATTTTTGATGAACATCTGTGAAGTAAGAGATTTTTCATTTTTTGCATGATTATTACTTTTCTATGGAAATGATGAATTACATTTTTAGAAAGTACCGTATAAGTAGAATTTTTAGCGAGGATTTAATTTTGGCATAATTAGCGAGGGTGCCGATATCGCTAAAAATTAATATCACTACAAATTGATTGTGTTTTATTTGTAATAGCTTCTGTAATGTGCATATTAAAATCGCTAAAATAACATCTCGCTAAAAATAAATTACCATATTTTAAGGACAAATAGCTAAATTTGCGTCTCGCTTAAATTTCCACTTATATGGTATATATATGAATGAAGTATAATTGTTGAATTGATAGTGAAATTGTAAATTCATTTTCTACCAATCACTGCATGATGATAAACTTTTAAAATTAATGTATCTGAACAACTTTCATGAAATACCATACTTGATCATCCGTATTTTTTTTTACACTGCTGAAAATTATTTAGATGTCTTAGATGTGCAGTTGTAAGTTAATATTTTTAATAGTTGTTTGCAATGCTATGCATATTTAGTCACCAGTTGAGAATATTTATGAGGATCTTTATCAATATTGGGATGTCGTATTCACTATTCACCAAGTCCATCTGTCTGTCCATCCATCGACTCTTTCATTTTTCACAAATGAATATTCATTTAATACAAATTTTTATTTACTATGTATGACTATGTGAAAGAGGGGTAATGGAAGATAGTTGTAGTGTGTGTGTGTGTGTGTATTTTTAAAATAAATTGACCCTAAACTTGGATGGAAAATAGAGTAAAACACCCTGTAATGTTCTGTAACCTAGTATGGACCTAGGGCATTTTTTGCTTAACCCCATAAAATCTGCTGACGAAGTATAGTGCTGCCATAGTAATTCTGGTGAACATTGTGGTCTATGGGCCTCTAGTTAGTGCAATATTTGTTTTGTGAGAGTTAAAAGGTACTACATGTAGTATCATTTTCTAAGAAAGTTGGATAAAAATACTTGTCGTGTTAGGATGGATTGATCTCAATATGTTTGATGATTTACATTTGGTGTGAGTACGTGTGATCAATGAGTGAATACTTTATTTATATTTTTGTACCAGTAACCAAGATGTCCAAATTTATTTTTTCCGAAATGAACAAGAGTTCACTTAAACGTTTATGAAACCAAATAAAATTAAGTTAAAGAGATGTTTTTCTTTCTTTTTTCATGTCTGTAATTTTTAGTCATTTGATAAAAAATACAAAAATAATACAAAGATTTACTAGTGTCTTGCTTTAATCTCAAAAATTGTGTCAAAACTAGCATGTTTTAAATTCAGCACAAATAAGTCATCATGGAATACGGTGTTCACTCTAATGGAGTTGGAAAAATCTTCATGTCACCCTCCTTAAACTGGTGAATATTTGCCAAAATTCAGAACCTGCTTCTGTATCAAATAATTAATCTCAACCAACAAATAGGAATATTAATCAATAAGTTAAAATCAACATGGATAGTTATTCTGTGCTCTAAGAATCCCTATTATCACTTATTTACTGTAGTTGGGTCAGTATCAATTTTTGTTTTTCTCACTGCTCAAAGCTGAACATGACTCGTAAATATGCATACACCCTTTTCCATATCAACACCAGGGTATACTCTTTGCATTCGTTACACCTGCCTTTTATTGTCACGCGTATCTGTGTAGAATGGCGACCTGTGTTCGTGCTGGTTATCTTGCATTACCTTTGTGTACATTTTATCGCAGTTTTGTTTGTATACTGCACTGACCTGTACAACTATTGTTAAGTTTCTTTGGTATCTTACTTTCCTGTATTAGAAGAAGTATAACTAATTTTTGTCACTATCAAGTGCTGTATAACAAATTAACGTCTGTCTACACAGGTGTCAACTGATTATACTGAATAGTGACTAAGTCAGGCCCTTTATATAGGGGTATCAGATATAGCAAGAGTCCAATCAAAAATGCAGACACATTCTTTTTACAAACTGTGTTCAGCTTTAAAGCATCATCAATCTGTACCCCCCTTTCCCTTCAGCTGTATTAAGCTTTAAACACCCTGTCTGGCCACCTTACAACTAAGTCTAGTCACTCCAACACAAACAGCATAGAAAGTCATTTATTGGCAACATTTATTTCTCACAGTCTGTGACATACTCTCCATTTAACAACAATCATAAAGTGCTATCATCCTCAAACATGTATATATACAAAATAATCTGCCACCAAGAACGACATTAGATTTACACTGGTAAAACGTACAACCACTGTACAGAAAAAAGAAGAACTCTTCTAAAACTGTCTTGTTAGTCAACTATAAGCTAACATTACATCTCATAATATGATCCAAATACATAAATTTTAGTTAAGTACTAGTAAAAAGAAAGATTTAAATCACAAACCTTGTGTTTTAGACATATAATATTACTATACTACCAGGGTATATATTTAAAAATTTTAATATGAATACAGGTTAACCTAGAACTGGGAAGCACTTTGGGGCTGTTAATTACACAGCATTGCACAGCAGGCTTATAGAGTCAAAATCTCCAAAATTACTCAAGGTTTTCATTCTGTAAAATCCATAGATCTGCTTAATTTGAATAACTTAATTTAAGTTAATATTAAAACAATTCTAAGAAGTCAAATGCAAGTTTTTCAAGCTTTCTGTTTTGGTTCAATTACCGGTATATTTTTAAAGGCATAGAATTAACTTTGAAATCAATACGAAATTGATTGACAAATTTGATTTTGATATACATATTTTGGAATGCTATTGTTAAAACCATATGTGCAATAAATTTTCTCAGAGTTACATCAAATGAATCATATATGCCAATGTTCTTTTGTTTTCCCCCACAATTAAGTGTTATCTTTTTTTTTTTAAATCAAAGGTGGTACATGTATATATCATAATCATTAACTTCAAAAATTGGATATTTTTTACAATACTATAACATGAAATGAATAGGTTTGAGAAGATTATGAGATTTTAACAGTAGTGACTATCTCCGAGCTATATTTATAGTATTATGCATAAAAAAAAGAAAAAAATCTTTCTGATCAACTTCTGTACAGATGTAACAATATCTATGGACCAGCCTCACAATGGCTTCAACAGCGTAAAATATTGTCCATTGAAATATTTTCCAATCTCAACAAACTTAACGTAGAAAATTTTGTTAACAAATAAAAAGTTGAAAATACAATATTTTTTCTCTTTCAAAAATTACAACATATAAAAGCAGGATTCATTTAATACACAAGCATTTAATGACTCAAAAGTGGTCTCCCCTGATAATTTGAGAGTTACTTATTTGTTAATTGGTACAATGCAAATATATAAAGTGCATTTTGAACACTGAAATAAAACTTTATAACTTTAACCAAACTGATGCCAAAAATAACCTATCATAATATCAACTATTTAGGATTTCTAGTAATTGAAGACAGGTGTATTTAATTGGTAAAAATGTTATTTCCTTTCATATCTGAGATGCATAAAAGTGGCAATTTGTAAAGAAAGTGTACATGTACTGAAGGATGACAACAGCACGTCTCAAAGATATCAACACTTACATATGAAGAGAAAGATTCAATTTTTCATAGTAAAAAAAAGAAATAAAAAAATAAAATACCCATGGTGGTTTCAGCAATTCAGAAAATGTGGGGGTGGGGAATCTGTACAAGGAAAGAAAAAATAAATACTCAATACAATTTAACATGAAACCTTGTATAATTCTTCAGAAAGCCTGTACAAGATTTTTCAAAATTCTTTAAAGCAAGTGGGGGGAACAAGAAAACTTAAATATAAAGCCATGTAAAGCAGTGGTGGGTTCAATGAAATAAACAAATGAAAAGTTTGGCCTTTTGCTTTGCACTGCACACATTATCATAGACTACAATACTTCACGGAAGTAGAAACAGATTACCTTCAAAGGAAGGCTATTCCAAGGACACAATTTATCTACCTCTCACAAAATTATGCAAATTGAATCCACCTTCATTATTCTTTTATGTAAATATCTATTTTATTCAAAAGTAGACAGTTATTATATCTTTTGCTTCCCTCATATGCTTTGGTTTCATCAGATAAAATTTTGAGGTAAACTTCTTGTGAAAAGCAAATAAATGCTGCTCAGGCCAGATTTTAAATTCTGTTAAGCATCATACGTGTCCTAAATAAAACAATATTTACACATAGTACGGTAATAAATAATTTACTTGATATGAGTTTTCTATCACGACATGAAATTATTTCTTTGTCAAGATCTAGAGAAAGAATAAATGTACATTTGGAAAGTAAAATACATACACCCCTTGTGTTTCTTTGAAAAAAAAATTGATGAAATTATTGTAAGAGAAATACACATGTGCCAAGCTAAGAGATTCATTATATTTACTTAGTACTTATTTTCTATATACTGCATCTCAATCAATATATAAACTTCCTACAAAATTATGTAAAAGGTTTGCTATATTTTCATTTTCCCTATTCTGGGTAAAAAAAAAAAAAAAGTCTTATCCACTATTTAATTTTCAATTCTATAAGAAAAAGAAAGTGAGAGCTATCATCTGTGTTCAATTTTTGCACTGTATCTCCTAATTTCTGGCAGGACATTTCCAATGGATGACAGAGGTAGCTTAATTCACAAAATGGAGGGATTGATCAGTGACCCCGGGCCTACACATGAGCAATATTTACAGTAACCAATTCTTGTCATCTAATGGAATGCCATTTCTCTTTTATTTTATACTTGTACATTGATAAACCTTGCTGCCAAATTCACCTATTTTAGTTTAAAGTACAACAAATATATTCTTGTTAAAAGTATAGAATATACACTGTAATGAAAACAGTAAAAGAAAATCCATGAATTATGAAAAAATGACTTGTAACAGATATATAATTTATGTGGTGAAAAATTCTATATTTCTTATATTACATGTATCTACTTTGGTACATGTATAAAGGTTGTATCAATAACAAAGCTCATTTCAGTAAAATGCATACCACTATTTAGCAAAACTTGAATATAAGAACTTCTTAATTGAAGTGTTTTCTATGGAAAAAAAGAGTATCTAATAAAAATTACAATGCTCTATAGATCAATAATGTATCCTATCTATCTAGTCAAAATTCTTCTGTCAAAGTGTATTATAATAACATTTTAATACCTGACACAAAAACAAATAATTACAATTTTCTCTTAATTCGAGATCACACTGTAACATAGAACACCTGAAAATGAAATTCTCAAACACTCAAAACACACAATAAATATTCCTATCTTATCAACATTCATAACAAACTTCATATCCATATTGATAATACACGAATAATATTGCTCTAGTTTTCCTTCTGTCTTATACATGTACAAAAAAAAAAAACATACTCATATACTATTAACACTCATCAATTTAATCAGAGCAGTGATTTTCAACTTTTAAAATCTCCAAAATTCAGACCTCTAAAAACTGTCTTCTAAAAAAGGAAATCAATCAATACTCAATATCTATCTTAATCTTCACATCAAACATAAGGACAAAAAAAATAAAAACTCACAAAAAAAAAAATAGAATAACAATGATAGTGACTTAAACTCTAGCTGTACTTGTGATCAGAATATGATGACTTAATTCTCTTTTCAAATGACCCTTTGAACTCCTGCACCTGCATCCAGAGTGACGTATAACACATGAAGTAAATGACGATGAGAAGAATGAAGGACAGGAAGATGCTGCGATTCCGACAGACCTTCAGCTGAACAATTTTAGTACCGCTCATCTTGAGACTGAAGATGACGGCCCCCAGCACTAGAATTAATAATAAAGCTGTCACTACACTTCCTCCCTTGGCCAGCATCTGAAAAAAAGATCCACAGAACTGCAGACAATGTATCATGTTAACAGGTACATTTAATGCATGTATTCAGTGTTTTCCCTACGAACTGGCCGGCAAAATTGACCGCTTCAATTGACAAAAATGCCGCTTTGAAATAACAATTTGTTGTAAGGTCCTCAGAGATTTTGTTCATAAACCTCATACCCTAGCCTGTTATAACTGATCTCTAACCCTTTACTTTGAAATAAAAGAAAAACACTGTGTATTTCAAATAACATACCTCCAACGATAGTATTGCTAAAGACAAAGTTTTGAAAAATAGTGTGGCTGAAAATTTTATCCTTTGACTACAAATTAGCAAGTTTAACTCTTTGGGCTTTTTTCTGTAACAAACACAGGTCAAACTATTATTGTTAAAAGTAGATTAAATTTACTTTGTGCATAATTAATTATTACCGGTAGTTTTAATCTCAGAGAGGACCTGGCCTGGGGGCCATAAAACTTGGACGAGCTCTTTTTTTTTTTTTATCTCAGTCTCACTTTCTCACTACATGTATATATCCCTTTGGTAAAAGTGATACTGAGATCAAAAGTGAGCTTGTTTAAGTTTTATTGCCCCCAGGCCAGACCTTAAATACATTTTTATATTTCTCTGATTTTTTATTGTCTTTTTAACTGAATTTTTAATAAAAATTGTCTTCATTGATCAATCATAGCTATGAATATAATTTAGCAAAAAAGGCCTTCACCATCAATTTTTTCTTTGAGAGTAAATGATACCAAAGACATAGAGTTTTTGACAGAAATAAAGATGGGAGGAAGTAAAGAGTAAAGATAATATACAATCCCCGCTAAAAGATTCAGATAGGTGAATCTCACACTGAGAAATGGTTTTGCTCTTTTTTTTTCTCCAATATCCTACAACAGTCCCATATTTCAGAGTTAGTCATCTAAAAACAGTTAATTCTGAGTAGTGTTGGTATGACACACTATCACAAGGGCAGGACAAGTGCAGGTGCAACTGAACTGGGTCTTACTTGATTGCACTCTGCCATACTGCGGCCGCGCTGCTGAACATGAAAATTAAACTTTTCAATCTGTACCAGGTTACAGCGGTCGCCCGTGCAGTTGTGGGCCCGATTCCCATCCCTACGATGCCCTCGCCTAAGACAATAATCCGGTCCACTGATCTGTCCAACAGCCAGGCCACGACTGAAACAGTGAATTAAATATTTATATCATGAAAACTGCAACTTATTTCTTTCATGAGCACATAGGTGCCATCTTCAAAATGTTTAAGTTCTGTGATTATATATCTCATTGAAACTCAAGAATTTGAGTGAGTCACATATTTGAATCACAAAATAGTAGGAAGCTTATTTAGCATAAATATAGCATGAAAAACAAATGATTTTATAGTTAATGGTACAGGTTCCTTCAAATACTCGATCTCTGGTGACATTACTGTTCTCACAAAATAACAGTGAATGCTTTGAAGTACTTGAAAAGATTTTAACCTCAGGTTTCCTATATATTCCTATGTAAAACTTTTATCTTTGGCCCCACCCTACCGGCCGCAAACTTGAATCTACACTACCTGGGGATGATTCCACATCGCGGACGTTTTGCTCCATATATCTCTCTGTAAAACTTTGCAGCCGAGGCCCGGGGCCTGTGTAATAAAGGTGAAAATGTATAAACAGCGTTTACAACCCCTAACAATAACAAAATTCACTTCGCAGATTATGTGTTCCTCAATATAGATATTTTGCTTAAAATTTTCATCTACTAAGTATTTTCCTCCTATACAGTATACACAATGTATTACGTATCAGAAGATGGCATGTTCCCTGACATATTTTAAATTAAAAACGAAGGTTAAACACAGAAACATTTTCAAAAAAATTATATATAAAAAATGAAGCAACACTGGATTGAGGTCCTATGACCCTTGCTGGTGGTTTACTTTTTGAAAACTTACCATAGTGTGGTCATTAGATTTTCATTGTCAATGTACTCTGCCCAAAGAGCAGCTTCACCACCCAAAACTTTCTTTTCATCAATTTGATAACCTAAAATTACAAAAAACAAAGTCAGTTGTTACTACAAAAAACAATCGAACCTTAACAATATCAAAAAAAAAAATTTTTAAAGTCTCTATATACTCCTATGTAAAACTTTGGTTTGTACTTATAGCAAAGGAAGAGAAAAGTACTTAAGCAGTTGGGAACTGAAACTTTACAACAGCAATAAATAGAATAATGATCCTTGATTACGTCTCTTTATGTTCTTAGTGTAGTCTAATTGCATGCCACGTTATATTTTAATCAGACTAAAACTGTATTTGGAGTAGCATTTTGAGAGTATTTAACAAAAAATTTCTATTTTTAGTAACCATGGCAACACCGTTCATTGAAGTGAAAAACTGATATACAGAATTACCTATCTAAGTGTAGTCTACTTGTGTGCCAAGTTATATTGAAATCAGACCAAAACTGTAAGAGACATAGCATTTTGAAAGAATTTCACAGAAATTTCTATTTTTAGTAACCACAGCAACACCGTTCATTGAAATCAAAAACAGATAAAGAGAATGATGTATATAAGTGTAGTCTACTTGTGTGCAAAGTTATATTGAAATCAGATCAAAACTGTAGGAGGAGTAGCATTTTGAAAGAATTTCACAGAAATTTCTATGTTTAGTAACCATGGCAACACTGTTCATTGAAATCAAAAAAACAAATGATTTTATAGAATGATGTATCCTTAATAAGTTTCAGTCTACTTGTGTGCCAAGTTATATTGAAATCAGACCAAAACTGTAGCAGGAGTAGCATTTTGAAAGAATTTCACAGAAATTTTTATTTTTAGTAACCACGGCAACACCGTTCATCGAAATCAAAAACCGATACATAGAATTATGTATTTCAGTGTAGTCTACTTGTGTGCAAAGTTATATTGAAATCAAACCAAAACTGTAGGAGGAGTGGCATTTTGAAAGAATTTCACAGAATTTTCTATTTTTAAAACCAAAAACAAAGGTTAAACACAACATTTTCAAAAAAATGATGTAAAAAATTATGTATCTTAGTGTAGTCTACTTGTGTGCCAAGTTATATTGAAATCAGACCAAAACTGTAGGAGGAGTAGCATTTTGAAAAATTGTTTACAGACAGACAGACAGCTTCACCAGACGGACGGAAAACTTTCTTTTCATCAATTTGATACTAAAATCGCATAAGTCAATTGTTCTGGTCTCTGACCAGTATTAAAAAAAAATTAAATGTTTATTTCACATTATTATCATTACTATCAGATAAAATCAATAATCTATCATCAGTATTCATTAGGAATACCCAGTAACAGATCTGGTTGTTTACACTTTTTGGAGTGGGTGGGGAGGATCCCTTACCCATGGAAGTGTCTGCTGGATCACAGTTGTAGTACTTGGGCCATTTTGTACCATATTCAATGAGGTCCAAATACCAGCAGGTAGAATACAGGGCATTATACCCCATGTCTATTGCCCTCTGAACATCGCCCATATCGCCCTGCCAAATCTGGATGATTGTGTCATTAGGAAGCTGAAAAAGAAACAGATCTTCTGAACAATGCTCCAATAAACAGACATTCTCTGGAGTAGTCACTTATCATTCTACTTATTTGATGGAAAATTACATTATATTGTCTCTTGGGTTATATGTAGCATGTTTTACAAGGATGAATTTTACCTCTGAGTCACATAAATATGGGGCACATTTTTCTACATTGGAGAATCAATGCATTGTTATGTGTATGACATGCACTTCATATGAAATAAATGACTACTTTCTAAATGATAAGTCCTCAAAACCATCCTTTCACCTCAACCTGCTACTGAATAAAAATCTTTTTTATATATTTGTAATATACCTGGGTAATACAGGATTTTTGCATCCCTGATATGAACACAGGTATGCGCCCTGTATTACACACCCTTAATCACACCCTTTATCACACTCTTTAATTCACCTTTCCGGAACATCTCTTTACTTTTCATACTGAGTACCTTGGGTCTTTTATTATCACATTCAATATGTTGTTTTCATTTGAACACACATGGAGCCTAATAACTGACGTTACATGAGCATTAAATGACATCACAATGTAAACTATATTTAAAATACATAATAAAAACAATACATGACCAAATCTGTAAAACACCCAAATCAACCCTCCACCAATATCAGCATGCTGGCCTTCGGCCCTCGGGCTGATGTGTGTGTCTTGGGTTGATTTGGGTGTGATACAGATTTTGCCATGTATTATTCTCTATTTATAACACAAGAACATGATCTCTCTGTGTCATTACCTGTATATTGTTACTATGACCTGTCTCTGGTTTATAACTCACCTGAATGTTGTTATTCATTATTTCCTGCCACATGACCATGCGGATTCCATTCTTCCTGTTTCTTCCAATGTCCTTCAAATCTTGTGTCAATCTATAGAACACAATCACTCATGAATCATACTCATTAGGATTGAACAAAATGTACATTAAATTTGTTCACTTTTCTTCTATTAATCCTCAGACTTTTAAGTTTGTATTCAAAGCACACAATTCTACTTTTCATTTTAGAACACATATACTGAAAGGAAAAAGAAACGCAGGGTAAACTTTTGAGGTGAATTAAACTTATTTTTCTTTTGATATTTTTCAGTATTCCTATCTTACTTTTAAAACCATCTTTCAAGAAAAAACCAAAATCCCATTTGATTTTGTTTAATAATTAATGAGTTATTGAAGCTCATATGACGATACCCCCCAAAAGTGTAAATCGAAAACTCTCATTATCTTCAATGTCTCTCCCGCGCATCTGTCATGAGCCTTATTTCTTCTTTGCATGAAATTCATCAGTGTTTATCCTTCAATCCCTGGCTATATTGGGCAGGGTAACCACGCCAAAAAATTAGTCATACGACGCGCGCATGCGCCAATGAGGGGAACTTAACAGTAAATTGACCGTCTCAAAAAACCAAATTGCGGAATTGTTTTCTTTCATTTTTCGTGTGGATGTAATGGTTATAATAGTCTACTGTATAAAAGGCGGTTTTGAGGGTAGAAAGATGGCGATTTAAGAGATGGCAGGACAAATAACCCGCTCGTAACATAACTCTGTATTGCGTTAACGTCATCGTCACGGTTGATTGAAAACCATTCAAGGCCCTCTCTGACAACAGGTAACAAGTTTTATGTGTTACAATACCCGTTGTTGCCTTTTTCATTGATTAGGCAACACAATCACTCATGAATTCATAAACAGTCAAGATTGCAAGAAATTCATATCGAACAAAAAACAATGTTTACCTCATTAAATTTGTTCAACAAGATTTTTGACAAATTCGTAGTTATCAAATTGCACATGTTTTAAGTGTTTTATATGTGACAAAGCACACAATTTTAGTGCATACTTTTCTCATCTGACCAATTTTTGTAATTTTCGGTCATGCAGTCAAATATTTTTCGAATATTATGCTACCCTGCATTTCTTTTTCCTTTCAGTATATAAAGAAAACTTGTGACATGTAATACTGATTTTTGTGATTCAATGGAATTTGCAGGCTTGAAACCATTACCTTTGTTCATAAAACTCCAGGACTTTGCGGATGTCGTAGCTGTACATGTAGGGATCCACATTCTGAAGATTGATTGGTTCGTTAGGCTTACCATTCAACTGATTCAGCAACTTAAGGACTTCTGGGTTAGAGGACCTAAAGTATTCAGAACTCAAGATTAATGTCAGGTCCAGCAGTAACTATAAACATATGTTTCTCCACAGAGTCACAATTCCACAGAATCAAAATTCATTCCACGGGTACAAAATTTCACAGATTTCTCAATTTGCCACTATATGCCTTAAAAGTACTTCGAGTACACTGGGCAAATTTCCATGGAAAAATTGTAACTGCATATATAGCATAAATTAATGCCATTCAGAAAAAGGTACTTCTGCAGTTTACATAAATCTTAGAGCAAATGCTCTCTCCTGATGTGACAAGTAACATTATTACATGGTAATCAGCCAAGAGATTAAAGAATGGGAGAACTAACCAGCACGTCATTGGGACCTCGTCACCTCCGAGGTGTATGTACTGCTCAGGAAAGGTGTGTAGCACCTCTTTGAAGAATGTTTTGAGGAAGCGGTAGGTGTTGTTCTTACTGGGATCTAGCGGGCCGAGGTAGCCACTGACAGGGTGGGCCCCCTGGTAGCACTGAGTGAGGAGTTCAGGGTGACTCAGGCCCCAGGAGTAGGTGTGTCCTGTAAAAAACAAAAGCTTTAGCATTATGGTTAAACAATAAAGCATATAGTTCAGTTATATATTCTATAAAAAAACTATGCTGATTTCTACACCCCTATCAACTAGGATCCACCACATTTGTAATGATTCTATTATAATTGTAAACATGGACATTTTGGTTGGGTAATATTTTGCATTTTCCTTGTAACAATCTTTTTCCATAGGGATTGTTTTAATCTGCAGAATTTAGAGAACTCTGTACTTAAGCAATATAGATGCACCTGATAACAAAATTTGCAAAACTATAGTTCTTTTCTCCCCAAACTTTCACTTATCAGCAAATTATTCATAACACAGAAAACAAAATGTCTATAATATGGTCAGACAAGATTTGGCATTGAGAGACAAATTTGATTCATAATTAATATTTTTCTGCTGCTGTCATGCAGTATATTGATTCGTACCTGGGGTATCAAATTCTGGCATCACTCTTATTCCCCTCATCCTGGCATACTCTATAATATCAGCGATATCCTCAGGGGTATAGGTAAAGCTGGGATGATAGGCACCCTATCAAAACACAGTATTAATTATGCAGGCTATAGAACATATGTATTATCTTGGTGTCCATTTATTGTTAAAACATAGAAATCAATGGTGTTTTTTTCATTTCTCTTGATGCTTGTAATAAATACAGAAATGTAGCATATTTATGTTTCAATATCAATACAGAAGACATTCTGAACAGTTACATTTCAAACAATTTGGTTTAACTCTAACAATTTGTCAACATGGTGTTATGCATTGAGGTGAGCCACCCTTTGAAAAACAAATAGCCCTTAGCTTTGAGTTTTTCATCCTATTTCTGATGAAATAGAAATATTTTTCTTCATTTCTTTAGAAAAAAAAAAAGAATCAATGCTTAAAAATATCCCTTTCTACCTTAATATTTACAAGAAAAAATAATACAAACTGAAAAACCTTGCCTATTCTTATTGTTTTCTTTTTTTAAGAAAGGATATATTTTTCATGCTTTAAATCATAATGAGCCTATATGATTTAATTACAGTTATGATATTTCTAGATATACATATCTGAAGTATGGAGAAAAATTATCTGTCTTAGTTAGAATATACAATATTAAATAATATGATATTAGTTCTATCTGTCAAACATTTTCATAGTACCAGGTATACATTACAAAACATTGATCTATTACTTCTTTAACAGATGATGAATTAATCAAAATGAGCTTCATATATATATTTGCTAAGAAGAGAGATAAAAGATGTATTAATGTCTAAAGTAAGAAAAAATCCATTCATATCAATACATTTACATGAGAGCTTTAACTCAAATGTCCTATACTATACATGTACATGAATATTATATATGTGAAGTGTCCAGAGGATTGTTACCAATTTTCATATACTGCATCTATTAAGTGCACAAAAAATAAAAAATACAATTTATGTACTGTAGATCACTTAATTTTCGCAACACCTTATTTTCGCAGGATAGTCATTGACTCTTTATGAGCGAGACAAAATTTTCACGAATTGTGCTCATTGTTCTATATAATCTTAAGGAGTTCTAATATACGCAAGAATGAAATTTTCGCGAGCCTTCCATCTCGCGTAATTACGCGAAAATAAAGTTCTCACGAATAAAAAGTGATTTACAGTACTTCTTTTAGAATAATTTGTCCAAAGAATTAGGTCATTCATTTCTGATTAACAAATTCAATTTTCTAACAAGGTTTCATTGTCTTCCTTGTATCTCATAACAATCTACTTCTTTCTTATTTCTCCACTCTAGTCCAAATCTCTTTATCGTTTTACAATTTTAAAGTCCGAGGACTTTTCAAAAAGCTTTACGTGTACAATAACCACATATCTTGATTGTCTCTTGTTTCTCCACTCTAGCCCAAATCTCTTTATCGTTTTACAATTTTGAAGTCCGAGGACTTTTCAAAAAGCTTTACGTGTACAATAACCACATATCTTGATTGTCTCTTGTTTCTCCACTCTAGCCCAAATCTCTTTATCGTTTTACAATTTAGAAGTCCGAGGACTTTTCAAAAAGCTTTACGTGTACAATAACCACATATGTTGATTGTCTCTTGTTTCTCCACTCTAGCCCAAATCTCTTTATCGTTTTACAATTTTGAAGTCCGAGGACTTTTCAAAAAGCTTTACGTGTACAATAACCACATATCTTGATGTCATGACAGACTTGAATCCGATGGAGAATTCTTTCTGCACTAACCATAGTCTAAACAGTGTTTTAATACATATCTAAATTAAGCTAAATTTAGTGGTACATAAGGAGAAGCAAAATATCCTTGAAGGAGTTAAATCCTACAGACACTTAGAGGACCCTTTTCTATCTAAGTTTATAACTATCTTAGTTGTAAATACTGCTTAGTGAAGGGAATGTTTTACTATCTTGGATGAAACAATTACATTTTCATTGACTTTAAGAAGGTTTCACTGTCTGGCTATATCAATAATGGTTCTGCCAGGTTCCGTGATTTTTCTTGTCTTATTTACTGTAATATTCATTTTTTCGCTAAGCTGAGTGATTATTATTGTCTTGGCTGTATAATATTAACCTTTTCAGTGATTTTTCTTCTTAGCTGTTATATTTATTTTTCCACTGAGTTGAGCAATTTTTTATGTCTTGGCTGTTAAATTTATTTTCCACTGAGTTCAGTGATTTTTATTCTCTTGGGTGTAATTTTGTGATTTTTTCTGTCTTAGCTATAATATTTACCTTTTCACTGAGTTCAGTGATTTTACTGTCTTTGCTGTAATATTTTTCTTTTCACTGAGTTCAGTGATTTTACTGTCTTAGCTGTAATATTTACCTTTTCACTGAGTTCAGGGAAGGTTTTACTCTGGTATGGGAAGGACTGGTCATCCACAATGTGCCAATGCATCACGTTCATTTTGTTCTGTGCCAGACCCTCCTGCAAATCAAAATAACAAAATAACGTAACACAGAGTTAAAAGAAAATCCACTTAAATTTCTTCAAGGAATAAAAGAGGTATATTGAACTTTGGATTCTAGTGAATTCATACTCATAGGAAAGTGCATGAAGAAGTGGGCCATACTCTTCACCTTATTTAGGTTTATGAGACAGTACAAATTAAACATATAATAAGAACATAATACCCATTCTGAAATATTAAACTAGAATGCTTGATTCCATTTGTGGAGAATATATTTTTTGGAAATAATTTCCAGGCATTCCACTCCAAACTTAGTAATATTTTAATTTACAAAGTATATTACAATTTCAATTCTAGAATGTACCAGTAATAAAAATATTGGATCATGCAAAAAATATTATTTGTATTATGTCAAGACTGATGGAAAAAGCATAATCCATATTGTCAAACTGAAATAGTTTTTTCTTTCTCTCAATAGGATTTATTTGATGTAACTCTGTATCCATACTGTGTTACAATAGCATTAAGTGTATAAAGATGGCAATCGGTGTGTATAATCAGAGAGAATAAAAGGATTGACAATCGAAAATGCCAAGATAATGTGTGACGTGATTGATCAGACCGGCTAAACCCAAGATCCATTAATAACAAACCATAATCAATCCTAAAAAGTACTTGTCTAGAAAAAAAAATACAAACACTGAACAAAAAACACTGACTTTATATGGGAATATGAAATACCATTAGTACGTAGACACTTGAGAGGAAGGCGACTTTGGACGTTAATGCGACAAAGTACCAAGCTTATCAGGAACGCAGCGGAGCAATGAGGAAGTACTTAGACAATATTGTGACGGAATCACGAGACGATGTACAGGACTGCACCTGCCTCCCTGAGAAAATATCTGTTCCGCTGCATTATACCAGGAATGAGGCGATTTATTTACAAAATACAGAGGAATAGTGAGATCCATAAGTATCTTCAATTTAATTCAACTAAGTTCAGTTTAGTCCACTGGATGATGTGTCAATCAGTAGTAATTCTGAACACTGCCAATTAAAATGCAAGAGGTCAGTCATGCACATGACATTGCATCTTCTATGTAAATTAGATTTCTCACCACATCAATGATGAAAATTTATGCAAACTATGTCATACAGAATGTAATATATAATTTGTACAACATTCTGTTTATAAATTAGCAAGTCTTAGAATAAATGTTTTCTGCTACAAATTCATAAAATCCCTCTGCCTTTTAAAGCTTAAACAGCTGCATTAACTTCTAGTAAATGTAACAATACTGAAAAAAATCAGTTTTATTTTTGCTTCTTTCATCCTCATCTCGAGAAGGCAATCATCAAAGACAAGAGTTATCTTATTGAACATTACACATGCTAAAATATAGTATATATATATATATGTATCTAAATCTTTTAAAGACCACAATGGGGCCTGATGAAAGTTGTAATCCGATTTCCTCTTGTTGAAGGATAAAATAGATTTTTACACTATATGAAAGTCTGGTTTTTTATTTAAATTTTTCCAATCCATACTAATTTGTATCTTTATAAGGTCACATAAATGCCTTGGGTTTAGTGTTACTGTGATTTCTAACAGTAAAAACATGAAGCTAAAACATACCAGGGTAAATGAAATCCCCCAAAACTGCTATTTTATTGAAAAGATAAAATGTTATATAATATCACTCAATCTCTAAGTCACAAAACATGATAATACTGTCTAGCAAGGAAAATTAGAATCTGATGAAGGTACTGGCAACATAAAACTTCAGACCACATAAAATTTATCTACTGCCTTGGTATTCAATAAAATCTATTAAATAAATCCCTGAAGCATTGCCTAGTCTGGCTTTATGTGTCCACTGAAACTCATTTTGTTGGCAGAAAAAGTTAATCGGGATAAGGATAAAAACGAGCTTTGTGTACGTCCATGCTTTTGTACAGAGCACTGTAGGGCCCTTTTGTTGTCTACATTATGGCTTTCCGTTCATGTAAGAAATTACACATTACATACGACTTTCCTCACGCTTTATTGGAACGTCAGTAATTTAATTTACATCTATAGTGCGCTTATTATTACCTCTGCTTTATCAGTTTCAGATAATTAAAAGATCTTTTGCCAAAACAATTTTGAACTTCTACTAGGATCCCTTGGCCAATGATTCAATAAATGCATTTCTGCCATTCAAATTTTGGCAAACATGACGTTAATTCTTGGAGTGTGTAACCATGTACGATTTCACTACCTCCTCAACTATGCGTAACCATGATTTCTAATCACAATTTTGCTGGGCACTCCTATATCATTGTTCACATAAATGTTCAATAATGCATACCAATTGCTATGAGTATATTCAAAGAAAGAAATGATAAAATCAGAATTGAAAATGTCTGAAGAAATAGGAAAAGAAGGCATAGTGCATGATATGACAAAAACATTTATATCTAACTGCAGATATCAATAATTCAAGAAACTCTACTCATTTCAAAAGCTTTTGATGCAACAAGAAATCATTTACAGATCTGTCGCGTTTTTTTCTTCACACATCTTTCCCTCTGAACAATACAGAAAAGTGACGCATATAATTCCTTTCATCAAGTATTATACTTTGAAATAGAAATTAATTTCAAAGTCAAATGCATAAATGAGAATTGTTAAAATATTGATCTTTTTTTTATATTCATGTTTTCTGCCTTCTAGGTATGTATAGGTTGTAAAATTCTTATATTTCTTTAAAGTCATAGATGGTAATCTTAAGAGCAGGTGCTGAATTTGTTTTGGATTTCATGAAATACAGGACAATTCTTACCAGTATATCATAGATGACTTCTTTGAAGATGAAATGTCGTGAAGAATCCACCAGAAGTCCTCGGTGAGGGAATCGTGGGTAATCGTTTATAACTGTGTCTTTGATATACAGCTAAAAAAACAAACCAAACATTGAAAAAGTTGAGTAAATCTTGTGGACAGAAAACCTTGCCCATCTGGAATATCTAATCCCTGAATCTTTAATTCTTAGAATTAAAACTGCATTAATTACTATTTCGTATTATATAGAAATGCAATTTTTATTGGTATACTGATATACTTTGAATTTTTTTATTGCACATATCATGTAACAGAGATATGTGATTATGTAAATTCTAGAAATAATTAATTTTTATTGTTCATGCAAACTCTTGAATTACAATTCCAAGAATCATAAAAAAAAATGTAAAAAAAAAAAACAAAAAAAAAAAAACAGCATCCTAGTATCAAAACGCTTCATTAATGTATAAAATAACTTTTTTTTTAAAGTGAAGTTATGTTTTCACACAATATTTGTCACAAATATCATGAAAATTTATTTTATATCATAGTAAAAATTTTAAATAAATGAAAGAAAAAGTGAGCTAGCTCACATACCCCACGCTCCCCCAAAACTTGACAGTGATACACATAATGAAAGGCACAGCTAGTGCACTTTAAATACATAGTATAGATCAAAAAGGGCAATACATATAATTGCAAAAAATTTTCACATCAAAATGTCTTGCATATGAGGACATTTAAATGTGGAATGAAGTTTCTAGATAAATAATGGAATCAAAATTTCTTGGCATTATACAAATCCAAACATTAATTTGAAGTGGTTGGGGGGGGGGAGAAATTTTCTTGAATAATAGGCAAAATTCTTTGGGATAAAATAATGGAATATGTCCTAAATATCTGCATAGGTGGAAGAAACTATGTACAACAGTTTAAGAGGAGTGGTGCTGACAAACTGTTCATCTGTATATTCAAAATATGGCCAAAAAGTCTAAGTTGGAAAGTGTGGAAATTCCCGGAAAAATAAAGGAATCGGAATTTCCTGGTAATATGCACATCTACATATTGTGTCCTAAATATCTACAAAGTTTAACGATATTCTGTCCAGTGGTTTATGAGGAGCTGCGCTGACAATCTGTTCATCTCTATATAAAAGGTATGGCCAAAAAGTCTAAGTTGGAAAGTGTGGAAATTCCCGGAAAAATAAAGGAATCAGAATTTCCTGGTAATATGCACATCTACATATTGTGTCCTAAATATCTGCAAAGTTTGACGAAATTCTGTGCAGTGGTTTATGAGGAGTTGCGCTGACAAACTGTTTATCTCTATATAAAAGGTATGGCCAAAAACCTAAGTATTTAGTGCGGAAAGTCCCAGAAAAAATAATGGAATCAGAATTTCCTGGAAATATGCACATCTACATATTGTGTCCTAAGTACCTGTAATGTTTGACGAAATTCTGTGCAGCAGTTTATGAGGAGTTGCGCTGACAAACTGTTCATCTCTATATTCAAGGTATGGCCAAATGCCTGAGTTAAAAAGTGCGGAAATTCACGGAAAAAATAATGGAATTGGAATTTCCTGGGAATATGCACATCTACACATTATGTCCTAAATACCTGCAAAGTTTGACAAAATTCTTTGCAGCAGTTTATGAGGAGTTGCGCTGACAAACTGTTCACCTCTATATTCAAGGTATGGCCAAATGCCTAAGTTAAAAAGTGCGGAAATTCCCGGAAAAAATAATGGAATCGGAATTTCCTAGTAATATGCACATCTACACATTGTGTCCTAAATAACTGCAAAGTTTGACGAAATTCTGTGCAGCGGTTTATGAGGAGTTGCGCTGACAAACTGTTCATCTTTATATTCAAGGTATGGCCAAATGCCTAAGTTAAAAAGTGCGGAAATTCCCGGAAAAAATAATGGAATCGGAATTTCCTGGTAATATGCACATCTACACATTATGTCCTAAATACCTGCAAAGTTTGATGAAATTCTGTGCAGCGGTTTATGAGGAGTTGCGCTGACAAAAAAAGAGGACTGACTGACGGACTGACTGACTGACTGACTGACTGACTGACTGACGGACGGGTCAAAAACATTATACCTCCCGCAACTAGTTGCGTGGGGTATAAATATCATAATATATTCATTATATTTTTGGGAAAATAATTGTGATACAAAATATTTGCTGATACCCATAAGGCATTTCAGCATCTTGACGACCTTGTATATCTCAAATACCATGGATACATGTGTGTGTCGAGAGTAATTTTTGAAGTTCCATGCAGCCACTTTAACTTTCTTTAAGTAATTTACAATGCACATCTTGAATACCCAGATATCTTGACTTGGCCCCTTCAAATTTGAGATAATCAGGCTTGACTGTAAAGTCCTTCCCACTTGTCCAATTCTACTGGTATCTCGCAAAAACAGAACTTCCTTTCATCCCAATGTCCTTTGCTAAAAGTGGGATCTTTTGAGATAGTCTTCATCTTAACAATGTCTAGTTATTAGTAACTTTATAATCTAAAATCTTTAAACTACATATGTACCCCATGGCCTTGAGTAAATTAAAGATATATGCTTTTCTAACAAAAACCCGAGTCACATTTTCAAACTTATTCAGTTATTATGGCAAAAACGGATATTCTTTGAGTGATAGTTGGCACTGTTTTGCAGCCATTATCTTGTCCAATTTTGACCTCTATTTTCGAAGGCCAATCACTGATCATTGTTTGACCATCGATAGACAGTTTGTTAAGTTGCTTCTCTGTCGACATTGGGTTTTTCTAATTGTCACCTAATGGTAAAAATCAAACCAACGCTTGAGAGGGCAACTATCAGGCCAGGTGGAACAATTTACATTATAAAATTTTTTTTACGTCATCATGATTAGTGTATGTAGGAATTATTCTGATTGCTTGGCATTGCCTGATCCGTTTATAAGTGCCGGTCAATCATTTTTTTTTAGCCAACGATACAAGAAAAATTTGGTTGCCAGATCATATGGGCTTACATGTAATCCAGCTATAAAGGAACAACTTAATATCAAAACAGAAAAACTGAAAATAAGGCTTATCAGGTAAAATCAATTTATTTGTGAACTAATAGTAATTTATAGCAATTCCCCTTTCCTCAGCCTAAATTCAATCTCCCATAGGGCTTTGAGTCTATCAATTATGCATTGTTTTGTTAAGGTGACTTCATTGTACAGGGCATTAGAAATAAGTAATCAGAAATTGGGTTCATCCGCTATATCAATTTTGGTTTCATGTAATCCAAATCAATCTAATTTAATCTTTACTATAACCTAAATTTAGCCACCCTCGGACTTGACTGCTATAATCAGGCACTTCTTTGCCAAGTAAGGAAGCTAATGGATATTTCTGGTAATATGGATCATACGTGAAATGTGAATTCCTAAGAGCTGAATTACTTTGTTAGCCACATGTTTACTCATCTGAAAAACCAACATGAGAGTCCTGCAAACCTTTCCTTCACAGAAATCCATTTAATACTATTGCAAACCTCTCACATTTTCTACACTAAGTCTTTAAAGGTACAGATTTGCTTTTACCGGTATTTATTTTTAGAATGAATGAACAATATGTAACGGACCTGAGCTGTTTGGATCTCACGCACAAGTACTCCTTAGAAGCCTACACGGGAATAACCCATGTAGTACTCTGATGATTAACGAGAATAACCCGTAAATAAAGATCTCCTATAAAAACACAAGATTTACCTGTGTTTGGACTCGCAAATAACTACGGGGAAGTTAAATGATAAGCCTTATTTAAAGTTTACAAATTTATTCAATAAATAAAAGTCACAATATGTATTAATTAATATTCAATTACAATAAAATTCAATGGAAGTCGGGAATCACCCAAATTCACAATGAATTACTACACTAACACAACCTTCGTATTACGTTAATACGATAAAAGGGGGGGGGGGGGGGCGCACTAAACGAGAATGACCCGAATAGTGAATAATAAATACTATAGAAATACCTTAGAATAACCAAAGTATTTCTGAAAGAATCTACACAATCTATAAAATTATTTAAAGCAAGAGATTTATCTCTTTAATTTCTATATCAAATCCTAGTCTTAATTCCTGCTTGAATATTCCAATAAACGCAACTAGTTTATCACTTTAAATTGATTGAATTCCTAAATTCTATCAAAGATAAACAATTATTTACACGGAAAGACTTCAAGACTCACTTTCAGTCAAACCGTAACAAAATTATTTAATCGTTTAATATCGAGATTAACCCAATATAAACGTCCTACGATAAATACTAGTAATTAATAGTGAAACGAGATTAACCCGTAATCACTATAAGAAAAATTGATGAATTAATTCAAAAATTACTAAATTCCTAATGAAAAATGCTAAGAATCAAATAAACAACCGCTAACCTCAAAATCTAAATGCCGAGTCCCACCGGCAGTTCTTATCCTCTGCTTATATAGCTCTGGAGAGTCCCCCCGGAGACCCACGCGCTTCCCTAGGGACGACCGGCAGATCTCCGGTACCACCGGCAGTCACCGGCAGCCACCGGCAATAATCATTGTCAAATAATGTTTAATAATAACAATAGATAATCGACATAAAAATATGACAATCATAATGTAAAACATTTATACAATATGACAATATTCCCTAAGTATTAGATTTCGATAAAAATGCTTAGTACAGAGAAATTACAATTACAATTGGGCGTGATATTCCACAAAATAATCATCATGATGGCGGTATCTATAAATAAAGTTACAGAGTTAGAAACGATATTTACAACAAATCCAGCGTATTACAATATTGATATTCATCCAGGATAATAAAATTAGAATCATAAGATCATGTTCTTCTAGAAACGTAAGTACAGTGAATCAATAATAAGAAATGTAACCGATTATGCGATCTACAAATGGGGGAAAGTACAATGTACAAACAGGGTAACATGAATCCTATATAAAACAATCGGCATCATTGTCACAATCGTGACATTTTCCCCCTCTTAAAAACTTTGGTGTCCTCACCAAATTCTTAAGATATAAAACAACAATATTTGTCTATATACATTCGATACATTTCTCCATCAGTAATAAATTAACATAAAAAAAATGTACACTAGACAAAGTCATATAATTTCCCCAGTTTCCCAATCCTAACTTTACTTCAATTGTTAGAAATTTTTCTTTTAATATACAACAATAAAAACAAAATTTAAAAAATGTGTATATTATATCTATAAACTCTAACCATACTTACACCACATTCTAACTAATTTTCTTTACTGAAGATTAATCAACGCTGGTCTGCTAGCCATTGTCAAAGGTCTTGTACACGAATCTTCCAGCACCATCTTGAATTCGACTCGCTTTTGTGAATGGTATCTTACAGCCATTCATGGAAATGAAACTGTCATTCAAATTGATAACTGCAGGCCCAAATTGACTGTCCAACAAGATGTCCATTCCTAAGAGGCATTCATCTTCAATTCCCGCGACAATTATCTCCCTTTGAAATGCTAGATTTCCTAGCTGCAATAGAAATTCAGATTTCCCTAAGACTTTAAGTGGATCTCCATTGACCGCTACAAGGCTTGAAGATTCCTTTAGCTCTGGTCTTTCGTTCCCCGGGAGTCTCCAAAATATTTCGTCGGATAATATAGTTCTTGCAGCCCCTGTGTCTGCTGTGAACTCTACTTTTATCCCTTTAACTGTTCCCTGAACATAAATTCCATCCGCCTTGAGGAGCTGTCTCCTAATGTACTCCCTCTGAGCACTCAGTTCCTCTTCCCCTGAAACGTCCCTGACGCAAGGCTGGAATTTCCCCTGGTTTTCAATTTTCTCCCCCGACTCATCTAAATTTCCACTTAAAATAGGTTCAGTTAAAATTTTACTGTCATTTTGGCCTTTGTTACTTTGGGTCGTCTCGTGGCCTCCGGAGCTGACCCTTTCTAGTTTAAAAGTTTCTCCTGTTTGTCTCCGCAATCGTTATCCAAGTCTACATTCCATGTTGATTGATGACTTGGTTGAAATTCTGGTGCATCAGGTGACATTGTACTTGTAGCTTGGCTTTGGTTTGTGTTTGGCTGTTTATCTATACTTGGCAGAGATGATGACAAGGTATTCTCAGGAGGTTTCCTGTACTGTGATCTTTCTGTTCTGTGAAAATTCGTATGCGGACACTCTCGGGCATAATGTCCGGGCATGCTGCAAATAAAGCAATTCCCTTTTGTCATCTTCACGGAATTTGCATTTCTCTTCTCAGCATAGCAATTGTCTCCCTTTCTATAATTCTTAGTCTGTCTAATAGGGTGTCTCTCTTCATTTGTGTTTAAATTGGATGTCACTGACATATAAGCAGCTACCTGCTGTGCTGCCTCTTCAATTGTTGATGGTTCTTTGTGTAATTCGATGTATTGCCTTGCCTTAGGATCCCATAGTCCTTGCAAAAATTTTGAAATTAAGTCTTCCTGTCTTGTGCTGGCATCTCTACTAGGGTGAGCCCAGTCATAAAGACGTTTAATATCAGCAGCATACCCTTCAAGACTTTCTTCTTTTCCTTGCCTTTTGTTGTTGAATTGAGTTTTGTAGACTCTCTTATTTTCCAGCGTTCCAAATCTTGATCCTATTTCTGCGATTAAGGTCTCATAGTTCCCTATAGTCTCCTTCTTCAGCTGACCAAAAACAAAATCAGCTGCAATTCCCTGTATTCTTGGTAATATCTGTTGTAACTTCTCTTTAGAGGTCCACTTGGCTAACTTGGCTACAGACTCGAAGCGATTCAGCCAAACTCTCCATTTCTCAGAACCTGTGTAAGGCGGAAGCTTACAATCAAGCTTGATGTTATCTGTCTTCTTGGACTCGAACAAACCCCTTGTGGCAACTGAGTTGACAGATTGCTCATTTTCAGACTGTCCTGAATCTTCATATGATTCCTCATGATTGCTTTCCTTGGTTTCTGTCTCTGACTTGTTATTATTTGAGTTGAATCTTGATATTTTAGGTTTCAGCTTGCTGTTTGTTGTATGTCTGTTCACTTGTCCGAGATTTCGGGTAGTCGCTTCCATCATATTTTGCATGACTTTCATTGTCTGGTCGCTTACTTGTCTGAGAGTTTGAGTAGTTGCTTCCATCATATTCTGCATGGCTTTCATTGTCAGGGCCATCTGTTCCATCATTATCTTCATAGGGTCTGTGACAGAATTATTCTGTGTTGACTGTGTGACTGGTTCTGACAGTTCTGTGTCTGTAGGGATTATCTCCCTTTGCAGACATACAGTCCTTTTGGATCTTCTTATTTTTCTAATAGGCGCTGATATTCTAGCCTGAGTATCTGAGTCATCTTCATCCTCTGTAGAGTTGTCATTGTTGGACATGCTCTGTTCCCCTCGGAGTGATCTGTTTAACGCTGACGGCGATAAATCTATGAGGAGTTCCTCATCTGTGGATTGTCCTCTGGAATGTCCGGGATTAACGGATGGCTCCATCCTAGTCTTAGATCTGGTATAGTACCTATGCATGGATTTTTCTCAACACTGGTTCTGGGTTACGTATCTCTGGATCCACCGATGTACTTGGCAGATCCCACCGCTGCCACCAAATGTAACAGACCTGAGCTGTTTGGATCTCACGCACAAGTACTCCTTAGAAGCCTACACGGGAATAACCCATGTAGTACTCTGATGATTAACGAGAATAACCCGTAAATAAAGATCTCCTATAAAAACACAAGATTTACCTGTGTTTGGACTCGCAAATAACTACGGGGAAGTTAAATGATAAGCCTTATTTAAAGTTTACAAATTTATTCAATAAATAAAAGTCACAATATGTATTAATTAATATTCAATTACAATAAAATTCAATGGAAGTCGGGAATCACCCAAATTCACAATGAATTACTACACTAACACAACCTTCGTATTACGTTAATACGATAAAAGGGGGGGGGGGCGCACTAAACGAGAATGACCCGAATAGTGAATAATAAATACTATAGAAATACCTTAGAATAACCAAAGTATTTCTGAAAGAATCTACACAATCTATAAAATTATTTAAAGCAAGAGATTTATCTCTTTAATTTCTATATCAAATCCTAGTCTTAATTCCTGCTTGAATATTCCAATAAACGCAACTAGTTTATCACTTTAAATTGATTGAATTCCTAAATTCTATCAAAGATAAAAAATTATTTACACGGAAAGACTTCAAGACTCACTTTCAGTCAAACCGTAACAAAATTATTTAATCGTTTAATATCGAGATTAACCCAATATAAACGTCCTACGATAAATACTAGTAATTAATAGTGAAACGAGATTAACCCATATTCACTATAAGAAAAATTGATGAATTAATTCAAAAATTACTAAATTCCTAATGAAAAATGCCAAGAATCAAATAAACAACCGCTAACCTCAAAATCTAAATGCCGAGTCCCACCGGCAGTCCTTATCCTCTGCTTATATAGCTCTCGACAGTCCCCCCGGAGACCCACGCGCTTCCCTAGGGACGACCGGCAGATCTCCGGTACCACCGGCAGTCACCGGCAGCCACCGGCAATAATCATTGTCAAATAATGTTTAATAATAACAATAGATAATCGACATAAAAATATGACAATCATAATGTAAAACATTTATACAATATGACAATATTCCCTAAGTATTAGATTTCGATAAAAATGCTTAGTACAGAGAAATTACAATTACAATTGGGCGTGATATTCCACAAAATAATCATCATGATGGCGGTATCTATAAATAAAGTTACAGAGTTAGAAACGATATTTACAACAAATCCAGCGTATTACAATATTGATATTCATCCAGGATAATAAAATTAGAATCATAAGATCATGTTCTTCTAGAAACGTAAGTACAGTGAATCAATAATAAGAAATGTAACCGATTATGCGATCTACAAATGGGGGAAAGTACAATGTACAAACAGGGTAACATGAATCCTATATAAAACAATCGGCATCATTGTCACAATCGTGACAAATACTGTTATTGAACTATATGACTTATCAAAACTATGGATCATAAAATCTACACTTTGCATTATAATATCACATTTCAAATAATATAGACATGAAATATCACTTGTAAGATTGTTGGGGGAGTCACCAGAGGTGGTCGATATATTGGTGACCATCTTAAATGAAATAGCTTTGGAAACAGAATACTGCCCATGCCACTTACAACAGCAGATGTGCAAGTGAGGATACTGACAAAATTTATTTCAATCACACTGAACATCAGTCAGGATACTAAAAACATTATCTATCACCCTCAACAAAAGCTATGGCAACTAGGATACTTATAACACTATCTCTACCAGGCTAAATATTGGTTGCAGCAATTAGGATACTTATAACATTATCTACAACCCTTATAGTGGTAGCATGTGGCAGGTAGGATACTTACACCATTATCTACCACCCTGAATAGTGGTTGTGGCAGACAAAATACTTACACCATTATCTACCACCCTGAATAGTGGTTGTGGCAGACAAAATACTTACAACGTTATCTGTTCCTCTGAACACCAGTTGACTGAAGGTTTCCAGTCCTCTTAGTGCACCCCATACTTCATTGGCCCAAATGTAAGAGCCTGTTTTCTTTACAAAAACATCATCTGAAATGTCAAATATTAAAACTACTGTGATTTGTATTTAAAAAAGTACTCTCATTAATTTAGGTTATAGTTCAAGGTCATATATGGCCATAATCAAAAGATTCAAGATAAAAAGTTTTTCATCCTGCCAATCTTTCTCCACAAATTATCTTTGTGATTGTGGTCAAAGGCACATGTTGATCATGACAAATCATCATTTGATGAAAAACCAATATGCCAAGCATCTTAAACCTTAGTACCGGTAAACTGATTAAATATTCATAATCAGAGGCTTTAGCTAAAAAAGTTATGATTTGTCTCCATGACCAAGGTTATCTATGGGTTACTACAACTCAATTCAAGGTGATACCCATATGCCAAATACCTCGAGGCGTTAACACATAAATAAAGAGTTTGGTCTTGATGCCGATGGGCTCCAATTTGTGTCAAAGGTCATGGGTCACTGGATCATAATAGCTCAAGAAGTAGAGTTGTTTGATGATACAGCGAGATATGAATTATTGTAATGACCTCAAGATAAAAGGGTGAAAACATGTAATGGCTGGCCTGCATGGACTAATGCTTTAAAAAATGTAAATACTGTATGTGTACTTAACGGCTTTGGCGCAGTCAAATATGCGCTAATTTATGAATACTGCTAAGAAATCATTAAACGGCACAGACATCTACAGTGCTAATTCATGATAACGCCAACTACTCCATACTCAGTGATTGTGCTAATTTTGAATACACCAATTTTTGTACATGTACAGTACTCTTGCATAGTTCAAATTCAGTTTTGAAAAAATAGGACTCACTGGTCTATTTTATTTTTTAAATACTTTGTAGATCATAAATTACTAGTATATTTAATCAAAACAGCTAGGTGGAAGTTTCTATATTGAAAATTGGTGAAACATTATAGATTCATACATATCTGAAATATGACACTTGCTGGGTTCATATATGATGCATACCGACCAACAGCTGGTTGGTATATGTCACTCCTTACATTTACAGATGATTACCAATATTTCTGCTTCATCTACCGTACAGATACTGTGCAGTATAAGTTAATACGTCAGTTTGGTATACATGTAAATTCCCCATGGGACAGAGATTTGTCAATTCAATCATCATACTGATGTATGATCATTCAAAGAGAAAAATGTCCATGTAGTTAATCATCATGATTAAAAAATTATGACAAGTTTAAGGTTATAGGAGGAAAAAATTGACATTCATCAAGCATCAAAATATGAAGACCTGCAACATGTGCTATAATGCCGTTTCAGCAGAAATTTAGCAAGGATTCAATTTTAGAATTTCTAGCAAGGTTAATATCAGTTACTAATTTCACATCTTAGGTTACCCTTATCTTTCTATATATGGTGTATGTCACAAAATCACTAAAATTAATTCATGTTAAAATCAAATAATGACTTTTTGGGGGAAAAAAATTGCTTACTTAGCATCCTACTAACAATTCCATTAATTTAAACAGAATTATATAATCAAGGTGTAAAAATGCTCTAATAACATGAATAATGTATACTCATAATTCTAGTTTTAGATTTAGATTTGCAAAGAAAGGTCCTTTTTCACATGTCAAATTGATCTAAACATTATTAAAATGTGTCCTATACTGTTACTTCTAAATGGTTACATAATCTTGCAAAAAGGGAAGCATCCGATTGCGTGATGGCTTTCTCTGGGCTGACATGTACATGTACTAGCTGTGGCAGATGGAATATGACCGGAATCAATGAGATTATAGTCCCTACTCCATACACAAGGATTGATAATTATAATGCACCTCAATGGGGATTTAAAAGCAGTAGCTTAAATCCGAGATTTTGTAGACAAGCCTAAATGGATTGTTTTATGCAATAACTTGTTTAGTGTGTATATAGCTGTATAGAAAGTACTGGGATTATCAATAAAGATGCACTCACTATCTGTGCACTTTTATGTAAATATATCCTGCAGAATTAATGTCTTTTAAATGACAAAACTGAAAACAAGCAGACAAATTGAAATATGAATAATCTCCTAGCATGTCACTTTCATTGTCATTTTTTATATGATGATTATCGTTTTAATTTTCTTGGTTACAGTGTGCACTTTAACATAAAACTACGTAAAATATCTATCAAGACCTGGGAGAATATGTTCTAGTGGTGATCCATGTATCAGTCATACATTCCTTTACTTATGAGAAAAATCAAATAAGACACATTACACATGAAATTTGTCTAAATGACAACATCTGTACAGCATGTTTAATCCACATATTAATAAGTCAAAGCTAGGTCATGGTCAAGATGGTTATGGACCAAATAGTAGCATTTGAAATATTCCAATCCCATTCCTTAAAATTTGATGTGGCATTGAAAAGATATAAATTTGATTACTTTTGTTTGATTCTAGTGTAGGAAGTGACTGAAATATTCATCTTCAACAGAAGTTTTCAAATATTTTTAATTTTTCTTACGTCGAGATCAAGTCAATGCTAAGCTATGAAATATTTCAAATAAACTCAATGTGATCTAGCTATGTAAGAAGTTTGATAATACTCCTGTAAATAAGACCACCCACAACATCATACATATTGTTGAATGGACAGACAGACAGACAAAGGTGACAGTCCACAGAAATAGGTTTATGCCTCAACATTTGACAAACATCCCCAAAATCTTGATTTGTGAATATTGATTTCATGAACTGGCAAGCAGAGAACAAGATAAAAATCTAATTACAGCATTGATACGATTTATATTTCTTATATGCCGCATGTAACAAGATTTTTGATCTCCTAATAAGATTATTACTTACAGGATTCATCCATCTGATCGTTGGGGAACTTGGTGCACGGACGTCTTATTTTGACGTTGACAACAGAGATAGATGAAGCCCTGATATAGATATCGTCGTTGTATTTCAGGTTGACGTCTCGGATGCTGGTTCCCTGAGCATGCTGCAGATTGTTGTACATTTCTGTAATCGTGTCCTCGATGATCATTTCCCTGTATCGTTCCACTGCTCTTTCTATGATATCACAGGATTCCTTCACAATGTTAAATCGAAATTTGTCCTTGTCGATTTTGTACACTTTGTTAGCTTTTGCAACGTAATATTGTGGCATCGGCCATGGCTCTCCCGCGGTGGCCTGTGGCGCCCTGCGGTTCTTCTGCTCCGGCATCACATACTGTTCATAGTTAATAAGGAAATCACTCCAGTCCCAAACAATCTTCAGACTGTCTCTCATACTAGAACTTCCCTGCTGATTTCCAACATTTACTGGCTGTTGAACGTTGTTAAAGTTATTAAAGTTGTTGTTGGCATTGTTATAATTATTATTGTTATTCACATTAAAATTATTGTTGGCATTATTATTATTTATGTTATTATTATTATTATATGTCTCCACATGTTGCTGATTTTGGTTAAATGACTCAACATTTCCATTTTGTATATTCTGCTGAACTTTATTTAAGTTATTGGCTACTTGATCAAAGGAGTTCTGATTGGCTCCTGGAACATTTCCAGCAACCTGGTTCCAATTACTGTTTTTTGACTCTTGAACATTTTGATCATGTTGAGAGTCCTGCTTTTGCAAGCCATCATTCTGTTTGGCTGCCTGTCCTCCAACATTCACAAGATTACCTACTCCAACATTTTGATTATTTACTTCACCTTGTGGCACATTTTTCGCCTCTGGAGTGAATACCTGAACAGGTATGCCTCCAATATTTTTAGGATGTACAGCATCCTGAACCATTTTGACTTGAGGCACGCCTCGATCTTTGGTGGTCTCTTTAGCACTGTCTTCTTTGGCTTTTTTCACAATATCCTGAACATTAAATACAGGGTCTTTGACTTCTGGTTTGGCGACCAGTCCCCCAGCATTTGGAATGTTAATCTTTGGTATGGCAACATTTGCTCCTCCTGTGTTACGACGCCTTTTCCTTTTCCTGCGTTTGGGGGACTTTGTTACACTTGCGACACCGTCTTTAGAAAGTTTCTGTTCATTTTTTACCCTGTTCAACTCTGTGTCATGGATTCCTCCTTGATTCTTCACTTCAGATTTCTTCACTTGTCCTACCTCTAATGCATTATCTGTGAATGAACAACATTAATCTTAGAAAGAACTCACCATAAGAGCCTTTTGTTTGTTTTGATTTATGCATTTTTTGGTGCAATTCATGATGGCGTGTCATTTATTAATTTTTCTTCAAGTGCACATTCAACAAAATAACAATTCATGACAGCATAAAGAAACTTTAGTTTAATTTTCCTATTGCAAATAAAGACACATTATAAAATTGCATCTCATCTTATTTTTTTCATTACTGAAGTCATTATCAGTCTATAATTAAAACCAGCTAAACTTCTACCTTGACAATGTTAGAAAAGGAAGATGAGGGATAGTTCAACATTATGACACTAATAAAGTTTATATCACGTCAATTATGATATCCCTTAATTAAATTTCCTGCATTTTTAAGTATGGATGTTACCTTGACCCTGGGGTAGGCGTTCACCTTTGACCTTCAGGAGGAAAGCAATGCTGAGGAGGAGGAAAAAGGACAGCTTCATCTTACTTGTGTGGCTTCATCGGTCTGAAAAAATAAAGGAAGATATATACAAACAGTCTCCACAAACTCAGAGATAATGAGTCTAGAAACACATGAAGAACTTTCATGCAGACCCATCATTAGGGATTTATAATAATGGTATAGCATGAAAATATGCAAATATGTATAGCTGAATATATATATATTTCCAGTCTCAATTTTTCAATAAAGTTCTGTTGTAGTCAGATACATAGAAGTCAAAGTTTAAGCCTTTCAAGAAACTTCGCTTTATAACAGAAATTAAATTAACAGAAATGGCATCAATATGTTTAAAATAAAGGATATCTAAATCCATTCAAATATTGATAACTGTTCAGAATTCACCAATACCAGTATTCCTCCACCCCACCCTCTGGCTTCTCTGACAATCACATCAGGCAAATCAAGCCTATATCTGAATTAACTGCTTCAGTAATTAAATTGGCTCATTTACATAGAAAACACAATATGCTGCCAGCAGTTTTTTTTAGTTTTATTAATATACACTGATTTGCAAGTAAAACAAGGGAGTGGAAAATTACAAAAATCTCTGTTATTTGTGTTTTAATTTGTGTAATTCCTTGCAGTTGAAAAAAAAGAAAATATTCTGCTTAAAAGCATAAGCATATACCGGTAAACCATAATTTATATAATGTACACTAACTGGCTATTATTAAAGTAAACTACCGGTATGCTTGTATTGTAATGAACAATTTGGTTTGTTTTTTTAATACATATTTTAAGACATAATCAAACTTTTTCAGATTTTTGTCCCTCAAATGAGGAAGCCCTACTATCTATTAATATCATAATATTTTATCATGAGTTTACATACATGTATGTACGTTAAGAGGTTCTTCAGTTTTACAATGAGGAAGTTCACAAATAGATGATGTTGACAACATAGGCCTGTAATAATGATGAATAGAGACGGAGATTCTTACATGGCTATAATTCTCATCCCTGTGACAAACTGAAGGTCACCTGAATTAATTAGATTATGTAATATTTAAAACTTACCTAAGCTTTAAAACATGCAAAAGAAGTGTCTTGAACAATCATGATGGTAGCAATTTCACTTAAAACAAAGAAATAACAAAAATCAAACTTACAATTTCTTTGAAGAAGATCAAAACAAAACATCATCTACGTATTCTTGTTCATGAAAATGTTTACATTGAGGCCAGATCAATTCATTAAGTTGAAGTCAGCACCGAATTACAATGTGACAGCTCCATACCTGTGTTCTGTTTTGATAATTGAATCTCCCACAAAGATCAAAGACAACAGAGGCAAGTTTCCAACACTTTATCATGTTTATGATGATTTTCTTTAACATAAGTTTTAGAAAAACATTTTCAGATCTAACATTTTAGCGACAATGCTGATTTTCCTAGTAAGAGAAATGCATTCAATCTTAATTTACTTTGACCTATGACATTAAAGAGATCACTGTAGACTTCCTTCATTAGCTAGGTCTTTGATTTAAACCATTGTTTCTACAGAAGGAATTTATATACATCAACCTAGCAAGGTAACCAGCCCATCCATCCCTCTTACTTACTGTTTAATACATGATCGCAATAAATATATTCCTTCAAATCAACATTCTGAATGCATACCGAGTGCTCTAGCATAATCCTTAAAAAAATTCAATAACACAACACGCAGTAACAGGGCCTGTCAAACTGTGACAATTGCTTATTTCAGCTATATGACGTGAAAAACGTGGACACTGTCTCCGAGACTGGGGTGAAAAATATGTACACGGATAAAGTATAACACAATAATTATTAACTACGAAAAACTATGCTTTAACATCCAGACAGCGTACCACTCAATTGTCTATTTCCCTAACGCTAATTTATTTCCCTGTAACATAGGCTTGATAAGTACAAAGATTCCCTGTCACTTTTTCTCCAAACATGAACTCTTCAATCACAAAAAGGAAAATTTCCACGTACGCAAATTTCACTAACAACAACAACACACCTTTTATCGTAGCAGTTTTATTTCACATGAACACCGTCTTCTCATTAATCACCAGCTTCAACATATTTTTTTTTATTTATTACCCTCATATTTCAATTAATAATTAAAATTAGTTCATGCACTGGAGTTAATACCAAATCATACAATAAATAATTCAAGAAAATATTCAAGAAGAAATATAAAGCTTCACAAATGCATGCAGCAAATATGTCAATACACATACTCATGAGCTTTCAAGTTATCTACCTTTGAGTTTTTTCATTGATCATATGTGAGTAAAGCATTACTAAAAAGTTTAAATATTGATTTTGCAATATTTTTATCACATTGAATATTTACATAAAATATATAATACTAGTGCACTTAACATTCCTAAAACCAAATAAATAAGTAAATAAAGCTTCAAGAAACTAATTTTTTTATCCAATTATATTGTCAGCATTAAATCATATATGAGAATGAAATGCAAGTCCAAAAACCTAAACTTATAAACTCTGTATTTGCATATGGCCTTCAAGTGAAGATTGATCTAAAAGTGGGGAGTTTACTTTTTTTTTAACCTATGGTAACAGCTATTTATCCCCAGGAATTTAACTAATAAGAATGCCTGGATCGATTACAAATTTGAGTAAATGAAAAGCACTGCAGATTTTACTGTACAGTGTATTCTACTCTAGATCTAAGGGTAGATTCCCCTTACTGTAAAGAAAACAACAACTATGGTCAACTAGAACTCTTTAGTGTGGTATAGAGTGAGAGGTGAATAAGGGTCCTTAATTGTTTTTCTGGAAGATAACAGACAGAAACAAAATATACTATAAATAAGAATGTATATCTGGTAGCATGGTCATATAAACATATGTAGCTCACCAAAACCTCAATCACATACAGAAGATCCTGATCATGAGTGAATGACTTTGAGTGCATACCTGCTAATAGTTCACACTGTCATCTGAGAAATTCCACAAGTCTACAGCATATTGAACAATCCTTGGAATCGGGAAGATCTCCCGTGAAGAGTGAGGTCTTACCTAGTGTCTCGAGAGTAAGGCATTGATAACGGGTCTTTATCTGTTTGTTTATAATTTAGTTACATGTATTACTTACAGCCATTATTATCTACATGTATAGTTTACTGATGGGCAAATTAAACGTGTGTGTGCTATTTCCAGGTATTCAATGAATGTAAACATTGAAATCTGACCATGCTGACTGCTTTAAATGTTACACCGTACCTTTCTTCGATCTGCTTCCCTTTTTAGGAAATAATACTCTTTAAGTTCAAATTACCATTGATTATATATAGTTAATCTCTTGATCCAAAATCTGCAAACCAACTCAATCCATGATATAAAAAATAATGTATTCAAATTCTTTCTCATTAATGAGCACATGATCATTCACTATATAGAGAGAACATTTCTGTTGTACATATGGTATGTGTGGTATGAACTGTATCATATCTTAGAGCCAACTTAATAGTCATAATTATCCCATATTCAGGTTAAGAATTACCATGTCAACCAGTTTTAAATGTTCAGATTTTAACATGTTTTCCTGAGGGATGAATTTAAGTACATGACTTTCCGGGACTGAATAATAAATAATACACAAACATGTACTTCTATACAGCTAATCCTTAATAGTGCCTTCTTGGACCTTGAGGAAGTTTTTATAAAAAATGTTTATTTAAACTCTCTATATATTTAAATACTAGGGATGAAAATAGAAATACTTCCATACACACATAATGTACCATGTGTTCAATGACATAGGGCTAGATGAAATTCACAATTTTTATGAAAAACTTATGAAATATTCATGTCATATTCAGGTTTAGAATTTATACGTCTTTCTGACTTTTACAGAGTCTTACAAAGAAAGGGGCCATTTTCAGAAAACAAATATTTACCCTCTAAACAAATGAATATATAGCTAATGTTTGTTTAAATACAGAAGGTTCCTTTCCAAACACTGGCATTTCACAATCACTGAATGTACTGAATTTACTTTACGAGCATCACTAAGCAAAGAATTCGGATTTGATTACTTGGCAACAGCAGCAAATTTCACAGGACTTGGATATTAGTATACATACACAAAACCCAGAAACTCTGTCTCAGGACTTTAATAGTTGCTGTGTAAATTTCTGCACTCCAAAATGACCAGAAGTCTTTTTTTCTATAATTAGAGATAAGTTTGCTAACCCATGGGCCCTACACTGACAGTTGTTAATGACACAACCATGGACAAATTAGTCATGCTTACTTTGTAAACTACCACACCGAGTGGAACAAAAAATTAATACAAGGTCACAACTCAAGGCTGACAAACATTGAAACACTGTTTTCACCCACTCCCTAGTGTTTTTTTTTAAAGTTATTAGAATTTAAATTAAAAGTGATTTTTCATAATACAAGAGCATTACAATATCAACATGTCAAAATTAAATGCACAATTAAATTCTAATAACAAAGAATACTTTATAATTTATTTTGATTTAAAGCCTTAGTCACAAGAAAGAATAAGGTAACAAATACATTTATTTTTGTTCAAGCTCTATTTGCTAAATTCATAATGAAATGACCCAAAAGAAAGTAAAAATTATCAAATTTGAGTCACTCAATTCAGATTATTTTCCTAGCATTAATACTGTATGATTTTAAGTCACATAACAGGCCTTTTACAGGCTTGATAGGGTAACATTTCCAGCAGCCAAGAGTGGTATGTACAATTAGCCATTTTAAGAAGCCCGACCAGTGGCAGTAAAACTCATTAGGAGTGAGAGTCCCTGGAGGGACTAAACAGTTGAAGATCTTCTTCATCCTAAACTTCATTATCACACCTAAACTGGAAAGTTATTTCCTCTGTCACAGACTGGAAGCTATCAATTGCCACATTATCTGTCAGAGTATCTGAAAATGTCTTCCTTTTAAGGGTCAAAGTATTCATCTTGTAATTAAGTCAATGGTTTTCAATCTGAAATCTACAAGTAGAGTAGACTTCTAATTGTAAACCATTGGCTAGTGCCTATGCACATTCATGGGCATAGGAGAACATTCTACTTTGAAATTAATTAAAAACTGCACATGCATGCATTGGGTCTTAAAATGCAGTGGCAATTCAATGCTCCCTTCATTTGCATTACATATATACCTATACTTCTTCCTTTTTTTATGAATGATGTGATCATAGGCATGAATCGCATCCTGGATTGGCATGTGTATATACAACCTGAAGCCTGTTACCTTAAAACAGAGTAAGTTTTGAATAATTTGGATGTTTATTTATGCAAAACTCAGTTGCTACTTTCCTCACAACCCCGTTGTTACTGGGATCATCTTAATCTCTTATCACTGGCCAAAAACCTGGCCACTAGCAGAAAGTCTCCTCTAACTGTGTCAGGCAAAAGTGTATTTGGAGGAAACAACTATCACACTACGTTATACGGCATTAAACTTACAAAACTGTCTCCCAAACAAGATACAGCATGAAAGCGAATATTGCTCGTTTCCCATCACAAAGAAATTGTACAGATAACACCCAAGTAATGAGTTTGTCCAAAAAACGTAAATATGGTTTTAGAAATCTCTGCCAATTTTAAGCAACAATTGGACTGAGTGAAATGTAGCCTAAACACAAGAAATTCCAAAGAGAATTGATAAATATTCAAAAAGCTAAAGTGCACGTCCAAACACAAAAAAAAACTTGCAAAACAGACCAACTTCTCAACAAACACTTCATTGAAACATATATTTTAACTTTTAAGTACTGTAAAAGCAGAAGTATAAGCTGGGGAATTTGTTGTTAAAAATCATCAGCAAAATAAAACCTTACACAAAATTTTTATATGACTATATAGTGAATAATTATGCTTATAACTTTCAAAAACAATGAATCAGAAATTTAATGACAACAAAATCTTTTAGATGACAAATCAATACAATTTCTTTCTCCATGATACTGAGCTTCCACAGTAAGGTTCAAGTACAATCAACACTTAAAAAGAATACCAATCCCCTAAATCCAGTATTGCACTGGACAAAACAACCAAAGATCCAAAGATACACTCTGTGTTGCTGTGAGCATGCTGGAGATTGCCTGATCAACTTGTATGCTGAATAGTAAATATTTGATTAAACCAGAAGTCTAAATAGACTGTAGCTCTACTGGTTTATACTCTCTGTTCAAAGGAAGAGAAAAGTAGCAGTTGGGACTTGAGACTTTAAATCAGCAATAAATACAAAAATTATCCTTGCCACTCATCAAAATAAAAACCAATGCACAGAATTATGTATCTTAGTATAGTCTACTTGTGTGCCAAGTTATACTGAAATCAGACCAAAACTGCAGGAGGAGTAGCATTTTGAAAGAATTTCACAGAAATTTCTATTTTTAGTAACCATGGCAACATTGTTCATTGAAATCAAAAACCGATGCACAGAATTATGTATCTTAGTGTAGTCTACTTGTATGCCAAGTTATATCAAAATCAGACCAAAACTGTAGGAGGAGTAGCAATTTGATATAGAATTTCACAGAAATTTCTATTTTTAGTAACCACGGCAACACCGTTTATTGAAATCAAAAACCGATGCACAGAATTATGTATCTTAGTGTAGTCTACTTGTGTGCCAAGTTATACTGAAATCGAACCAAATCTGTAGGAGAAGTAGCATTTTGAAAGAATTTCAAAGAAATTTCTATTTTTAGTAACCAAGGCAACACCGTTCATCGAAATCAAAAACCGATGAACAGACTTATGTATCTTAGTGTAGTCTACTTGTGTGCCAAGTTATAGTGAAATTGGACCAAAACTGTAGGAGGAGTAGCATTTTGA